GCTTCGCTCGCCTCTTTGCCAGCTGACATACAGGATCTTACAAAATCCCTACACCAAGCCACCCGCGAAGGTGCTGAACTGCGTTGAGAGGTTCAGGTTCTGGTGGGCCCAGCTATCTGATTGAAGATGACAGGGTTAGCCAGTTTCCTCGAAGTCCTGCGAGCATATGCGTACGGGAAACATGCTGGGCACGATCTCTGAATGCAACTTCGACGCATTCCAAAGACTCCGCTGCCTCGTCGAGCTCTGAGGAATCAAGAACTACATGTTGGGCGGCGCGAAGGATTTTGTAATGACGAAGCAAGAGAAGCCTGAGGAGGAGCAGGCCGTTCTATGAGATGATACGGCGACTTCAGGCATACTGACAGTACGGAGTGCATGACGGGCAGCGAACCTTTTCGATATGCCAGGGCCCGAGGACAAGTGCAAGAGCGTTCTTCCCATCCAATAAGAACCGGACTGCTTGAAGGGCCTTCTTGATGGACTCTTCCTGATCCGTAGCGAAGAGTGTGAACACTTGTGGCAGTTCGCTCTGCTCCTCGTTTGCTTGGGAGAAGGAACCGGTCAACGCGTAGCATGTGAATAGTGCTCGATCAAGATATTCGCGGGTGTGCATCCAGTTCTCAGGCCTAACCCGAGCCGCGAGCGCGTACATCTTCGCGACCGTTTGCTCAATTTCACGAGCGTATAAAATTTGTAGTTGTCTCCAGCCTGTGATCATCCATAAGGATGTGATTAAGGTTTGTTCATTTCATGCACATACCAACAGCCCAATAGGCAATCCAGACGGGAAGACTGGCGACAAATCTTAGTATTCGACAGGCGCACGAGAGTAATAGTCGCATCACCTCCAGGTCTTGGGTTTATTTCTCATGAAGTTGTTCATCTCCGTGACCGTTACAAATCCGGATGCGTCCTCGTCGATAGCTTCTGAGATAGCTTGCGCATACTGTAAGTCGAGATACTTGATGGCCCAAAGATCATCCTTCGTAAAGTCACTTTGGTTTACCCGAACGAGGTCAAAGTACAGCTCCTTGAGCGCCACAATGAAGAATCGAGCCTCTATGGCGCCTGTCCATCCCTAGTAAGAGTGAGCAAACGACGCACAGTCACATAGGGCGCCTCTTGACGTACAGACTCGCGCCATAGCTTCTGAAGCTCCTATGTTCGATTGGTAACTATCTCTATCAGAACGGGGGGATTACTTACTGGGTTATTAACCTTCTCATGCACGCCCTTCTTAACCTCGTTGAGGATGTCAGCGCGAGCTTGACGTATATCGCTCCTAATCTTCTCAAGTTGTTCCAGTTGTAGATTAAGCTTGCGGTCAAACGTATCGGCGTTGCTCTGAATCGCTTGCTGGGGATCCACCTGCGCTTCGGCTTGGAACCGCTTGCGTGCAGCATCCCCTTCGGACTTTGGCGCAGCTACACGACGAGTGATGATGGACCCCGCGTCCGCGACGACCGTCGCGTTCGCTATCGTGGCGACAGCTTTCTCCGCAAACAGGTCGATCCTGGCCTTGTCGCTTCTGATCACTTTCTCTCCACCGAGCTCATCGACAACAGGGAGCAGCTTGCGCTCTTGCTCGTTCAACAATCGGTTGCTCTCAAGCAAGAGCTTCATAGCGGATCTAATGAACTTGACACTGGCGCTTCGTGAGACACTCCGTCGAGCCAATAACATAGTGTAGATGCGCTCACTCGTTGCCCATAGAGACCATCCAGTTCGCCATGGTGCTCTGAAGCGCGCGATCGACGCTGACCTTCCGCATCTCAAAAGTATCGGAGTAGGTGAGAAACTGTGCGTTCCAGCTTGCGCATTGCAGGACCTTGGTCCACGAGCTGAGCTTCAAATACGTATCGCAAGCATTGTAACAAGCTCGAATGTCGGATGCGATGAAGTAGATGCACGCTCGAAGGGTCGTCCTCTCGCCATCTGCGGGCTTATAACCTTCTGGTATCTTCGTCCCAGTTTCGGGTGTGCGAGAGAAATCCCGCATTCTGCGAGGGCGTTCATTCATGACGGTATCCCAAGTGAAAGGCACAGGCGACTTTACCGGCATAGTACCTCCAGCAACTCTTGGATCTGAACGAGGAGAGCGATGACCTTCTTTTCGTTGTCCCCACGCGTCTTCTGAAGGACGTACACGGCGTTAAAAACGGCGAAAACTCCTGTAATATTGTGTCAGTCACGTCTGTACATGATGAATTAACGACCACGTACCCTCCAGTATAGGATGTATCTTGGACACACTCTCGAAGACTGTTAAGAAGGCAGGAATACTGAGGAGGAAGTGATTGATTTTCTCAATGTTCTCGTGGATCTCGGGCGCGTCCATGACCTGCTGGAGACCTTTGCGCATAGACGACATGGTGCCGCGGGGAACCTGCCCCGCCAACCCGTTAACGGCATCCAGTTTATCGTCTACACAGGCATCAGAACCTATACAATCTGTACGGTAGAATAAGGTGCTCACCTATAACGGCCATTGTCTTTGTGGCGACCGTCTTCTGAGCCGGTACCAGCAGTTCCTGCATTCGCATGCGCAACTCAGCGTCCCGTCCATTGGCGATGTCGTCCACAGTGATTGCCTGCTCGTCGTCGAGAGCACTTGAGCTGCGCTGACGACGTAGCCATCCCAGTAAGCGAGGTTTGAGGCGTATTCTGCTTTCGGAGTTCGAAGAACTAGAGCTGGACCGAAGCATGACGGACATATGGGGCCACCACCAAGTCGGAGAAAGGTGAGGGATGAATAGGCGTGCGATAGACGCAAGGAGCCATGGTAGTCTTATGGCCGAGGGACCTGAATCCGCGTTTCAATCTGGCCTTGAACATGAGAGAAAATCCCACGTACGCTGTCTAGACGCTGTACTAGAAGGCCTACACAACAGTCGCCACTGCTGATGATCATGATCGCGGCTTTAAGTGCTACATAGCATGTGCTATTCCCAAGGAAGCCTAATGCTGAGCGGGAACTCTCTTGCGTGATCATGAAAGTGAGTGCAGTACATGATGACAGCCACCATGCTTGAAGACCATGCGGCACTTGGTGTTAGGTTGAGGACATCGTGGGTCAACATGTCCCGGAGCAACTAGGCCAATCGATCTGGAGGCTATGACTGTAGTATCGATTTCGCGCGCCGGGATTACCAGAGCAACACCGAGGCGAAAGCGTTGCACGCATGGCCGTTTGGGTCGAATGCTGCCGCGCCGGTTGCGCTGAGCACCGTATTTGGCGATGTTGACACTTGTTGACACCGCGAGGCAGTGATGACGTCAGCATTTCCGCACCCTTTCCGCCAAACGCCTATCGCAAAACTTGGATGCATTCGGCCATCTACAAGTCGCCCTTCAATCTAATACCATCTTGGTGCCGTCTTATACATGAGCGCACGCAGCATGCAACGGGATATATATGTGGCTCTCACTTCTTAGTCACTGGGCTTGATAAGATATGGGTAGTCGTGTCACGCCGTCAGGCCTTCAGGTCTCAAGCTCTCAAGTCTGTGTTTACTTACCAAGCGTAACTTGCACCGCTTGTAGCGAGCACGTTTCTCGCGCTAATCCCGTTCCGGCCGTCTCACGTTCTTGTTCATCCGGCTCGTGCTTTATTGTTGTTCAGGCCCATTCAGGCTCGTGCGCTAATGCTGCGCCTCCCGCGTCATCGCCCGCGCAGGGACCACAATGGGACATCTCCGCTATCTACGCTTTGAACCAATACCACCACCGCTATCTCTCCAGTGTCTACATATTACTATCAGTTCTCGAACATCATAATCACTCTTGCTTGCTTGTCCGCCTTTGCTCTCGCTTTCGCCCAGTTCCCAGCACTATGCCTCGTAACAATGCCCGCGCCACCCGCTCAGTCCCCGCCACTACCACATCTGCGCGACTGGACGTCCAGTCCAACGCCCCTATCGCCACCACACCCACTATCAGCCGCTCGTCCGAAGAATCCCCATCCACACCGTCCTCGAAGGAACTGTCCACAAGCTCAACCTGGCGCAGCCGCCTCGGCAGCGCACGAGCGAAGCACTCTCCCAAGTCCACCCCGCACAAGCCCGACGGCAGCGCAAAGACAGGCCTCATTGAGTTCTGGGCTGATGTGTGGGCTTCGGGCGGCGACGAGGACATGTTACCGCCTTTGCCCGAACACAAGCCAACTGAGACATTGACCGTCGGTCTCGAGCTGGACGGCGGAGCAGCGGCGCCGCGCTGCGAGGTATCGCTCGCGGACCTCATCAAGCCTGCGCGATCCCAGCGCAAGCCGGGGAAATGTACGTCGGTCCTCCGTTATCTAAGCGCCCGGACGAGAGTGCTGATACGAGCCGGTGGCACAGCGAGCGACTTCGAGATTGTACCGCGCGTGCGCGAGGTTATCGCGCTTGATGATCGGAACGATGGGCCCGAGCCCGACGAGGCTTGGGAGGTCGTCTCGAGCGACGGCGAAGACGACGGTCGTGCTGTGATGTCCTACGCCGACATTGTCGCGAACAAGACGGCGGCTTGATTCATTCCGAGCGGACCGAGTGCCAGTCGCGCGATAACCTAGACGGACAGATCCGGACTCTTCGGACGATACGACCCCGCTGCACTGCTTGATGCCTCCTGTACCACCACACTCTATCTATCAACCTGTACCACCAACGACGCCACATACCCATTCCTTCTATCCTGTACGAGTGCTTCGACTCCGACATGCGAGATCTCAGATCATACGCTTCCTTTCCTTACTATGGACTCCAGAACACGCTTTCATGTAAAAGCCCAAATACCATACCGATGTACCCTCCTGTACGAGTATAATGTACCATAGAAAGGACAATCCACGCTTTGTATGAAGCAGATTATATGCAATTTTCGATTGGTGCGAGCAAGAGCACGGTATAAGTTATTTCCACAGTGAGGCTCCGAGTACATTAGCTGAAGCCAGTACGAATGGTTGGCTTGAAGATGGGTAGGGGGTGCGCTTCTGTGTTGAAGACGTAGTCTGAAACGCAAAGGTCAGTGCTACATCAAGCAAGGTGGCTTGTGGTGGCTCACCGCTTAAGGGTATCGTCTGATTGTCTGAGAAGAGCAGATAGAGGTACTTGAGGGTCTCGCTCTGCGCGCACGTTCAGCGAACCAGCCCAACGAAGACGACGCAATGAACGCACCATGAAAAACGTCTCCATCTTATCCTCAACCTTCACCGGCATCTGATCAACATTAAGCACCGTAGCAAACCCACCGCTCGGTACGCGACAATGCTTCAAGATAGCGCGGAAGATATTCCATCCATGATTCCTGTACCGGACATCGCCAGTGAGACGGAACGCGTAGAATAGACTCTCGACCGTCTCCGGGCGCAGCATGTACCGCGCGTCGTACGGCGAAGGTGCACCAGGCTTTGCGCCCTTGATGTACCAGTCGCGGGGCATACCCCCGCCGATCTCCTTATCAAGCCCGTCGTTCGGGGTGCGGAAGTGCGCGATCTCGGGTGCGAGGCCTGTGAGGGTATCGTGCGTATGCATGCACGTCTCGATGAGCGCGACACCCGTCTTCCAGTCGCGTTGGCCTTGCTCAGAGAGCTCGCTGGCTTTTGGCGGGATCGAAACTTGGTCTACGACGGCGTGGGCGCGGGTTGCGCCGAGCATGAGTGTGCCGCCGAGGAAGCAGACTAGGAAGTCCTGTTTTGGTTCAGAGCGCCAGTTCCTGTACATCCGTCAGTTGTGGAATGGTAGATGATGGTGAACGAGACGCACAGGCCGCCGTCCTTGAGAAATTGAGGGATGAGCTCCGAGGTATAGATGTGGCCGGTAGTCATGCTCTTCTGCACAAGGTGGGCCGTCACGGCGTCGATGGCATTCGAGTACATCTAGATGGGCATGTGTCAGCCGGATTCGAGTATGAAGGTCCATTGAGCTCACATCCCGATACACCTCTTCCGTCCCGTTCTGTATTCAGAATTAGCAGTCAGTCGCATAGACGACTTCTCCTCAGCGTACCGTTTGGATGTACTGCTTGCTGGTACCAAGTCAGAGTAGACCGATGGTCTCAACGCATACAACTCACATGAGATACTCATAGTATGAATCTCCGCGGGACCCTAGACGGATGGCCGCGGTGTGGAACTTGCCGTTCATGGGACTAATCGCGAGTCAGTCAGAGTACAGCGGGATGGCCGGCGAAACATACTTGATGTAAATGGTAGCCAGAGGTGGAGTGGGCGTGTTGGCTTTGACGATAGCCATGACCCTTTCGGCCTTACGCCAGTACACATCGTCGTCTGTAAGCGCCGACAGGTACTTGAACTCGAGCTGCAACGTCGTAGCCTCTGCGGTGCTGACATAGCCGTTGTTGTCCATGTCGACGACGCCCTTTCGTTGTCCGAGGTTGACTTTGCCGGTGGGTAAGCCGACGCCGCCTGCGCTGAAGATGGGGAGCATCCTGTCTCCTAGGTCGATGGCTTTGTCGAGGAAGAGTTTGTCACCACCAGATAAGTGGTATGCAGAAAGGAGTCCACCAAGCACACGGATGGTCGTCTGGCAGATCATGAGCTGAAGGACTTCAGTAAACTAGACGTGCCCGCCTTACCTCGAAGGTGTTGTACTCCCCATCACGGTCGAACGTCAACTCGTTCTCAACCCACTGGCGTGCGCGCTCATACTCCTCCTTCAGGCCCATAATAAGCATCGTATCGAGCGAGTCGACTACGGTGTATCCGATGCCGCCGGCCGCAGTGAGAAGGGAACCACCCTTGCTGATGGGATGATACTCGTCCATGCCCATAGCGTCACGCTCTGCGCAAGTCAGTATACTACTCTTGAGAGAGAGCTGGTTGACGCGTACCGTACGCGCTCCAAGCGTGCTACAAATATATCAGATGACATGAACTTTATAAGGTCACGCGCCACACACCTGGAACGCTTGAACGATCGCCTGCTGCCTCGGTTCGTCATTGTCGAATCCGATATAGCCCTGAGGCGTTGCGCCAGGTAGCCAGTTCTTTCGCGAATCCTCTTCGACGCCGAGGAACCAGTTCACTCCGCTCGCGACTTGTTGCGGGTACTGCGCAGTACAGCCGTTCAGTGACGCGCATGAATTGGGTACACATATACACTTGCCCGTGAAGCCAATAGAGCCAGAACTGCAGCTCCTCCCCATAGAACAGCTCTTACTTTGCTTCCCGCCTAATGGACAATCATAAGCGCAATATTCCTCCAACCAATTGCATACATACTCTGTGTTCAACTGGCGCCGCGGGAGTAGATTCAGGCTCAGAAGCCTTGGTAGACGCTTGTGCGGCCTTTCCACCGCCCTTACGCTGGCGAGCCCCCTTTGGAGTTGACATTGAATTGAAGGGAGAGTATGGCAGGGCCTGCCAGCAGGAAATCTGCTGGAGAGTGGGAGTAAGAATAGAAGTTAGAGATGCGCTGCGGAGACTGAGCTCAGGCGCGTCGCGTCGCGCGAACGCGACGTGTCGATACGCGATCACATGGGTTATCTTGATAAGGCTCCTAGCACGGTGGCTCCTGGCGACTCTCGTATCGCTTGATCTTCTGAACGACCGTCGTCGTCCACGGGTGCACTTGCATCTCGCTGCTCGGGATATAGTGCAGCACTTGTGTTCGCGCGCGGAAGATAGCATCAAAGCTTATAGTAAGTTTGGTAGTAGCATTGCTATATACAACATGCTACGGAACAAGCGTCAGGTAAAGAAGAAGGACTAGGTATGCTTTATGACGCTTGAGAAGCGACATACGGCTCTTGTCTAGCCTCGGCATTCCTCGAAGGCGCCAACATCGCCAGCAGTCTCGGATCCAACGGCCCCGGGATTGTGAGGATGCCCTGCGTGCGCGCCCATGCCGTCAAGCGTCCAAAGTTCACCCCGTGCCGAGGCATACACCGCGAAAGGTGCACATGCCTGACCGAGTTGTGGCAGATGAATCCGCACATGATACACCAAGACATCTCCGAGCACGCCTGGTAGTCGAGCGCGCCATGGGCGCGCACATGTTCGGGCAGTTGGGCTATTGAGACTTCCTCGTCGCAGCGCGCATTGCGACCTTGCTTGGGAACATTCCACTTGCAGCGGATAGGGCCGTTATGCGATGCGCCCAGCTTGATATTGTGCTCGTACTGCAAGTGATCGAGGTACGACTGAACGCCCTCGCTTTGGAGATCGAACATCGCGTTGCATGGCGTGTCCCGGTCGTGCCATTTGCAGAATATGACGTTCGGGCCGTCGCGGCGGCAAGACCTCCAGAGAGTACCAGTCAGAAGCTCCATGTCTCCCGGACTCATCACAACGGATGCGATCGAGCCGTTAGGATGTAAGTTGATTACACTCTGTTGGATGGACTGGTCCAACCGGCAGACGATGCGAGCGGCGTGTTGAGCTGGCGCTTGACGAGAGGGATCCATGATTCTTCAGGTCAATATGAGTATGGGATGGTCGGGTAATCTGTAGTATAGGAGGGCTCACTGTTAGGTTACTGGTGCAACTTCTGGGAGGAAATGAGGGCGGCATTCCATCGCGCGGGTTTTATATGTAGTTCACTTGTGGTTGCAGTCCTTCAGAACATCCGCTCGTGACTGTGGCTCAAAGGTCCATGAATGGAAGGGTGCACATCCGTGGTCCAAGTAAGTGGCAAATGTGAAGAGACAATAGCTACAATGGACCGTTGTACGGGTGGTTTATGCCACTCAGAGCCTGACCTCAGACGTAGCGGGTTCCTTAAGACGGTCGCGTTTTGAAAAATATGATGACTGAGCCCGTGAATCGTGAGGCTTAGGTCCATCGCGTCCCCTTCGGATTCAACTATATTGAAGCCAGTACAGTATACCAAGACTTTAGATAGAGGCAGAATATAAGGTCGTCGAGGTGGTGAGATCCTAGAACGGTGCGAAGTGCACTTGCTCGTCGTCGTCGCGAACCAACTCGACGCGACGCGTCGTGCCACTTCTAACCCTAACCCGAAGCTGTTCTCAGGCTCCCGGTCTGGACTTCAGACGAGAACCGAGTCGTTATACGATATTGAAGTAAGAAGAGTTTGAGTGAGATAGACACATTAACTGAGACGCTATACAGGCTCGAGTTTGTGACTGTTATTCTTCTATTGATCACCGAGCAATACTGCTACTGTACAACTTCGCCGACTTCCGATGCACAATGCAGGCCTCGGCTCACATGCAAACGCAAGTATCGCCAGCACTGCTTGTGCCACCCTCTATTCAGTCAGATCCAATCTTTGTCTCTGTGTTCCTTTGACCCAAGCTGCCGCCTTCCACCTTCCCGAGTCCAGATACAACCTCTCCCGCGGCGTCGAGAATTAAGCGCTCGAAGACGTCACCTTCGGCAGGACCAGAGGAAGCGGGACGTGACGGCGTGATCATGGTCATGCCAAGGGAGAGAAGAGGGTAGCTTGTTGATGCGCAAGGTATGACACAGGAAGAAGACAGTAAGTACAGATTGTCTGATATACACTAGCAGCTCCATTGCTGACATCGAAGACCATCTACCCTGTTTCCCTCTCACAAGAACGCGGCCATTCCAGTACGCGGATCGATCCACCTTCCCTTCGCATCCTTAACCCAGACCTGGTCCCCCGTCTCCTTGACACGAACCTGCGTCCACACCCCATCCTTATCGAACCCGCATACCCGCACGCCATACGTCTCCAGATCCATCGCCGTGTCAAGAAACGGCGTCTTGGCAATGCACCTGCGCATATGCTCCCCGCGCGGCTGAAAACCATCGACGGAGCGCTTGCAGAGCGCACAGCGTTCGATCTTGCGGCCCTCCTTCGCAGCGCATACACCGGAGTGCTCGAGAACGTGCCTATAGATCCACTCCTCCGCGTGTGCACTGTTCGTGAAGGTGCAGGGGCACGCGCCACAGCCCGCCCATTTGCACGAAAGGTGGCGGTAGTTTCCGCTGCGAAGCGAACCGTCGGGGTGGTTGTAGTTGAGATGTTGGATAAGGTCCGCCAGCGCGCGGGGTCCAGATAGGTTGAGTATCTTGCCACAGGACTTGTCCCAGCGGCAGGGTACTGCGTGAGTATGAACGGCGGTGTACTCGACGAGCCAGGCAGCAAGCTGTTCAAAGTCGCTCTGGCTGAGCTTGAGGGGAGCGAGCGGCAAAGGACCCATGGTAATGGTGTTCACGTGGCGGACCGTAGGCGCCGTCGTTGGGTAGGTGTAGTTGAGCGTGGACATCGTTTGGGTCGGGCGCTAACAGCTTGAATAGGGACGGACAGAGGACGTGAGCATTTATATGTCCATCCCCTTGCAAACCACTGTTCGAGACTCCGGTGAGGAGACGTGGAAGGGCGGAGACGAAAATGAACCACCATCCATACCACGAGGCTATAGATCAAACCAGATCAGTGGTTAAACAGCGCGGACGCATCCCCTAGAAGCCATCGACGTAGACTGCATTCAGTACAACAAACCTCTATTACACACCGCGGGTATTCCAACGCGTACACAAATCAATCTTCCAGGTATACTCCTCTCTCCACCCCTTGCACACTCACTGCTGCGCGACAGCCCTCTGCACAACAGCCTTCTCCTCTTCCGTCAACTGCTGCACGAGCCCCCCGAACCCATTCGCGTCCCGATCAGCGCACTGCTTGAAGAACCCAACCACATGTGCCTGAAAGTACGTTAGCACATTTCAGATAATGAGCAAGACGACAAAACTCACCTGGATATCGACCTGCGCGATCGGATCGTTCCGTAGCTCCTCATCCTCAACTTCGAGCCCGAACACATCACCGTCCTCATCTTCGAACTTGGCGCCTTTGGGTCCGAGGATGTCTGAGAGGAAGGCCAGCTCGTCTGGACGGAGCGGGTTCTCGCCGCCTGCTCCGCTCGCGCCGTCGTCTTCCCAGTCCGAGCCCTATGCGATTCTTCAGTATCAAGGAGAGAGAAGGGAGTGGAAGGGTAAACGTACCTCATCGTCATCCGGCAAGTCCGCCGCGTTGAGTCCAGCAGCAGCAGCCTCGCCCCCGGCCTGAAGCTCATGCACGAGTAACTTGAGCGCCTTGACGGGGAACGGTACGCGCGTGAACTCGACGGGCGCAGCTTTGGTGCGCGAGCGAGTCATGATCACTTCATCGTTGACAGCGCCGGTAACAGCAGCAGGTGGAGGAGGGACGGGGTCTATATGTCAGTCAACCTTGACTCTTGCTGGGTATAATGACGATGAGGGGATACGCACCGTTCTTCGTTTCCTCTTTCAGAATGATATCGCCTTTGACGATAACATTTCCCACAGATGGGCGTCCAGCAGCAAGGACATCGCAAAGAGCCAGCGCGCTGACCCTCTGCGCCCAGAACCCTTGGAACGTGCCGGCGTTCTCGACCCAGCATTCCAAGAACACTTGCATCCCGCTCTTCCCGTCCTCGCCGACATGTATGCCCTCGAGCATATCGAGCAATGCGTCGCGTTGCGCGTGGATGAGGAATGCGAAGGGCACGAGAAGAGATTGGAGGAAGGTGGCCGTCTGTGCCGTGCGCATGCGCGAGAGCATGGCATTGAGCAGGTCAGGGAGGACGGGAAGAACGGCGTCGCCTGCTCCGCGCAACAGATGTACGACAAGCTCTCCGACTGCTAAACCGCCGGCTTCGTCTTTAGCTTGTACAAGCCTTCGGACGAGGATGAGTGCGTGGCCGAGACCGGTGCATCCGTCAGCGTCGGCCCATCCGATGAGCGCTTGGGCGTCGCGCCGGACGATGAGCGTGAGAAGTGATGCGCCAGCTTGGAGAACGTCGCGGTCCTCGGCTGTAGCGAGCGTCGCGAATACACCCGGTGCAGAGGTCGGCACGAAATTGGGACCTAGACCGGTGGAGGCGGGTGAACCGGATGCGAGCGCGGCGAGGAGGTCGAGTGCGGAGGCCGATATCCAGGTTTGAGTTGGGTCGGGGTGATGGAGGGCTTGGGAAAGGCGTGGGAGAGCGACTTCGGAGACGGCGGCGTAGATCTCGGGTGAGGCGTGGGCGATTGTCGTGAGGAGCTCAGTGAGGATCGAGAGGAAGACGGGGTCTGGTGAAAGGCGCATAGTGTTAGTTGTGTCTTCGCAAGCATGTATAGAGACAAGCGACGGACCTTTGATATTCTTTGCCCATACTTCCAGCAGCGCAAGCACGAGGTCACGCGCGAGCGGGACCTCGAGCCAGCGTCCGTCTTCGATCTACGACGCTCTCTCAGCTCTTTGTGTACATCTCTGAGAAGCACAACGCTCACCTCGACAATATTCTGCAGCGTTTCGAGAACCAATGACAACGTGTCTTCTGTCGTCTGCAACAAGAACGGACCAAGGTCCTTCGCCATCCTCGGCGCAGCCGGCTCCAAGGCCTGGCTTTCGAGTGCGTTGCTGAACCTATCATCAGAGGTCAACCTCTGTCCGTATACTGGGGGACAAAGGAGCGTATGATACGCACTGTTGAATCGCCTTGACAGCGCAGATCTTGAACGGTACACCCGTACTCGGGCTCTCGAGCACCTGGACGGCCGCATCGAGGTACTGCCCTGCCATATCGAGAGGCAGAAGACGTGCGAAACGAGATGCGAAGACCAGAGCGCGGCCTTGCAGGAAAGGATGATCTATGCACGGGACGCCCAGCTACATCAGTATCACGTCCATATGAGAGCAGCTGGTGGATACGTACCGTTGAGCTGTACGAGTCCGGGTACGACGCCCGTCAGCAGAGCAGCGATATCAACCGGCGATGGACGTCCACTCTCGACTTCGTCGTCTATTGCGTCGAGGACCGCCTCGGCTTGTGCAGCCGTGACTGCAAGAGCACCTTCGAGTGCACGCCACGGCTCGGGTTCTGCTGCTGCCCACGAGCGGACTGCGCCGTCTAGTGCGGCGCCGAGTGCACGAGCTGCTGCTCCGGGGAAAGCGGCAAGAAGTGACTGCAGATCAAACTTCAGCATCACGATCTTGAGGTTGAAAAGATGAAAGCCATACGCCAAGCAAGTCGAATACCGCGACCCTGACGCTGTACGCAACAGTCTCGTCGTCCTCCTGCGCGACGAACAAATTCGCATCCGCCGCCCAATCCTCTTCATTCTCCGGCGTCATCTGCGCCCACCTCGCCGCCGCCTGAATCAAGTTATCGAGATTCTCTCCGACCCATGCGCGCGCGACCTTTGTGCGTGAGGCGGAAGCGACGAAGTCCATGAGTGGTGCGATGAGAGTAGGCAGTTCTGTGACGTCGTCTTCGGCTGAGGTGCGGGGTGGGAGGGTGTCGGTCAGGTAGGCTTGGGCGAATGTTGGGTAGAGAGCGTTTAGATGGTTTAGGCATGCGCTCAAGAGGTTCGGGAGGTAAGTTGAGAGTGTGCGAGGGAAAGACGTGTGCAGCGTGTCGAGCGTTCTGCACGCCTGTACACGCAACGCCAAACCATCCCAGTTCTCGGTCTGCACGTCCGCGGTGGGATCGGATTGCAAGACCGCCTGAAGCGCGTCGATCCATACGGGCAGGATAGACTGCGCGGCATCTTTGACTGCGTCCGGGTGCGCGCCTTTGACCATGTACAGCGCCTCGACGCATTGGCGGAACACAGATAACGTCCGGGCGCGCGTAAGCGGCGAGTGTTGCTCCGGTGCACAGAGGATGTTGTAGAGCACCGGCAACAAAGACCTTAAGACGGGTAGGAGCTGGTCCTCCGTCAACTCCTCCCTGACGAATTCAGCGAAAACCTCCATCGCGCCGTGGATCCCATTCTGACTTCCACTAGATAATAACGCGATGAGGTCGTTCAGAAGATCGGGGTACTCGTCCGGCCAGTCCGATTTGGCGATCGTGCTCAGTGCAGCGGCAGACAGTGAACGCAGCTTGCGGTGCGAGAGGGATAGACCGGAGAATATTCCAGCTCGGATTTGTTGTTTGAGTTCGTGCGAGGGGGCATGGCCGCGGAAGGTGGAGAAGTAGGGAGACCAGTGCTCGCGGACGTATTTCCGTAAGACGATGGACGCGCTGTATATCGTGCATCAGGCTACCTCTGTATATGACACGTGATGAGAATACATATCTGGCGTAGAGATAGATCGGCATCTTCGGCGCACACGATCTGCGTGAGCAACAGCGCGTTTTCTATCCACAGTGTAAGTACTGGAGGTTGCAGCGTGTTCGTCGCGCGTTGTGGCACGCACGGGGATCGTTGAGGGCTTCTGCGAGCGCGAGCTCGGCCTGGATACGCGCGTTGGGATCCGGGTTGAGCGTCTGGCTCAGTATAGCCGCTAGCTGTGTCGCCATGATGGTGGTACAGAGTCAAGCTTCAACTGATACCGGGACCAACGCGTCGCGTCGCGTCTCATGGTTCAACTTCACAAAAATATATTCGGGGAAATCAACATGGTCACGACCTCGCGGTCTGAGCCTCCTCGTCGTCTCATCAAGTGAAGACGTCCTCGCTCTCACTCTCGGAGAATCACGCGTAGAATGCAGTTTGAGAAGCAATTTTATGGAATTTGTGTAGTCTACGGAAGATATGTACCAGGAGTATGTCGACATGCAGCGCCCTATTAAACGACGACACCACACTTCCTAACCTGAGATCCGTCTCGAGACCACAGTGACAGGTCTTGCGACCCGTCGCTGGCACCCGGTCTGCGGTAGGTACTAACGCTGCCAGGCGTGGCATTGAGTCTCTGTTGATCAAAGGAAACCCGCTCGACGCGAAAATCGGCGGCTTATATACTCGCGTGTCTGTTCCCACGCTCCTCCCATCACTCCGGAAGGCCAGCGCGAAAGTCGCGTCGAGGCTTTGGACTCTGTCGACGACGATGCTGAACCTGTTCCGCTCAGCGCCGAGCAGCGGTTCCTCGACCGTCGCACGTGCGCTGCACACTACACCGGCGTCACGCGCCATCTCCCGCGCCGCCCACGCGCGCCAGGTCCGCGCCCGCAACCAGGCCCGACGCGCCGAGCTCGACGCCGAAGCCTCCTCCACCCGCGCCCACGTCGTCCTCGGCACCCGGCCCGGCTCCTCCCTCTGGGAACAGTCCGACCTCAACTCCATCCTCGTCAAGCCGTCCGAATTGACCTCCTCATCTGAGAGCGTTCCCACCGTCACGGGCGACAAGGTCGACCTACCCGCCGCCAGCGCCTTCGGTCTCGGCCCGGGCGAAAACGCCCTGTTGTTCGAGCATTTGCCGGTTGCGGCGGCAGATATGAGCACCGCGTTCTCGCTTGCGGGGGGCAAGGCGCTTATAACGAAGCCGAAGGACAGAGAGTGGAGGTATAACGACCTTGCCGCTCAGGCTGCGACAGCTGCAGGGACTATGGCGAAGTTGGTCGACTTGAGGAATGCGAACGCACGAGGTGTTGCGTTTGAGAATAGGCGGAGGATTGTGAGGGCGTTTGCGGGCGAGGGAAGGAGTTACAACCCCGGTTTGCCGGAATGTCAGGGTAAGCGCCACTAGGCCACGAAGGAAGGGTTGAATACTGAAAGAAGTGGATAGCGGCGCTATTGACATACAAAATTCGCAATCTTTGGGATCACCTCATGCGCGTCCCACGCGACGTCGCGAACAGGCGTAATCTCCGAGCACTCGTTCACCAACGTGCGAAGGTACGGCTCTGTTATTTGCGATACTTTGAGCTGCGACTGATTATGACTGCGTCTCACAAACAGATACTGAAGTACCTCAAGCGCGTCGATCGCGAGAGATACCGTGTCTGTCTACAGCGCATAGGCGTAGAGGCAGCGGCCGTGGAGGGCGAGCTTACCGTATAGGCTCACAGCTTCAACCTATGCTGGGATGATGGTGTATCTTACAGATAGCGCATGGCGCCCAATTGCTAATACGAGTGTCTGTCTTTCTGGCACTGCTGCCTCAGAAGCCACTGCAATTCTGCGCAATGCAGTTCTTGTTGCGTTGGATGGCTACAGCCCTTTATTCTCGATTCCCACCGTAGCAAGACCCTTTGATCAAGAAGGCAGTGCGCTCTACAGCCTCTCCCCACCAGAGGACAAAGCACCCAGGATGCACCTCTTAGGGGGCGGTGCAACTCGGCCCTCTCCGTTTGTCCGATGCTACCCTGGTTACTGCAGCGTGTATGCCAGTATTTTGTCCTGTCGATGTACGAGTGGTGCACGGGCCAAGACCTACACTTTGACCCATGGCATATACAGCCATATAAAGCGCTATCCGTCCATGCGTCCACGAAATCCGCTGCGGTTCTACAGTACACCTGCTGCCTGTCCCCGGACCAGTACTCTACAACTGGTGAGCAAGCTAGGCACACCATCGTTGGCAGTTCTCAGAACAGCTTGATATAGGTCACAGGTGGCGCCGGTCTGATATACAATCCCACTGCACATGGCATTGCACCCCAAACGCCCCACCCCTCATTACCGCGAGCTCATCGCCCGCCAACCGTTTGGCTTAAGCAACGCAGACCTGTGGCGTTTGCTAGATAAACTTTGGCAGAGATACCTTCCGCCACTCGTGGACGTAGCCTGCGCATGGCAGGACTCGCGACGGTGCCGCCACTCGGGTCGTTTCAACATCGAGCTCGGTACCCAGCACTTACTAGATCACCTGCTGACCGAACACAGAGTGAACCTCAGAGGGCGCGGGTCCATCCAATGTCGATGGCGCGAGGAGCTCGTCGGCCATACATGCAACACGTGGGTCTACAGTTCAGAGCTCGAAGCGCATCTACGGCAACATATCAGACGCGAACGACCGCACGTGAAGATATGCATACTGTGCCGCTGCGCGTTTTGGAACCGCGAGAGTTTCCGTGGACATGCGCTCGAATGTACTGCACATGCTCGTATCTCGCTGGGAGAGCTGCGCACGAGGGTGGATGGACTCTCATATATCACATAGGATATTCAATCACGCTTAGCACGAGTAGTAAATGGACCTTGCATATTCGATGGCGAAGACACGTTCGAGCTTGTGATTGACGGCGTCGGTGTGTAGTGCGACGTGAATGGGCATGAGTGCAAGAAGTACATGGCGAGACCGCCTCACATGGCCGCTTCGGGTTAGGGTCAGAAAATGCCGCGACGCACCGTCACGCGCACTGCAGTGACTGCACCGTTGCAGCGCTGACCTTTCACTCATCTGCAGCGATAGACCGCCCTGGCGTGAGCACTGGAGAGACTGAACCCTATTATCACGATGCGACGGTGCGCGCGACGGCGGCGTCCTCGACGTGCAGGCGCTTATCGGCAGAGAGAAACCCGTTGACGGACGCTGTCATGCCTCTGCTATCAAGAGCACCGCGCTATGGCTCGCAATAGGCGTGCACCGCGTTGAGCGCACAGCTATAGACTTCGTAGTACTGCAGCCTTCTAGCTAACAAGAAGGCAAGCTAGGCAAGGCGCGCAGTCGTCGTGGCGTGAACTTGGTTCCCACGCTCGCACTGGCGTCACGACGTTGGGTGCGCTCAAACCCCGAGGTGCTCTCTTCTTGCCTTCATGAGCTTGCCGTAGCCGTCTACATTTACTGTCCCGCACGGCTGACCGGCTCAATTTTACACCCTCCAATCTAAATGCCTGGAGAATGTCACCTGAAGCCACTGCTGACGCTCGAGTGGTCCTAAGCAGGAAGAACCCGCATAGAGCATCCCGCAAACTCAAACCTTGACATCCCAACCCGCTACGCACAGCCTCCACCAGATCATTGCCTTTGCTACGTTACAATAACCAATGTCCGTGCTTGCTTTATGAATGGCCTGAGGCCTGCGTCCCGGCAGAAACTCCAGACACAATCAGCCGTATTGTTGAGCGGAGGCTTACCGCGCTACAACACTCCATAAGGCGTCTCGCTCGTCTCTTAGAATGCTGCTATCCGACATCCGGATCCGAGATTACCCTTCGCGCGCCTGGTAGACGTTCATCTCGTGCAAACTCGCATAGCCGCGTCCGAACAAGAAGAGTGCAAGCTCAGTATTTATACCTGCCCACGCAATAGTAACTACTGGGCGGCGCTCCCTCGCGATCGGCACCATGGGCAATCAGCTATCTCTCACCACGGTACGTAGCCCTACAAACTCAGTGCTCATATGTTGACAACTGATCATGCTGGCCTGAACAGGCTGACCATATCGATCAACTCCCAGCGGGAACCGTGCTTGCGGATGAGGACACCGCGCGGCAGCTCATAAAAGACGCCTTGTCCAACGATCCCCGCAAGCTAGGAGACGACACCTGGGGACTGTTCAGATCAACGCGTCCACCACAAGCCTACATTCTTGATTTGGCCATCTATGCAACCCAATTGGCGGTCGATCTTGATAATGAGCTGGGTGACCTTCGTCAACTTCACTATGACTTGGGTGTGCGGCTGTGCGCCCGTTCAACCCTCTCTGGCTCGCTTGACGATCTCGACGAGGCCATTTTAGCCTTCCAGCGCGCAATTGACCTCTCGTCTGACGATGAGACCAATCAGCCCGAGCAATTCAGCCAACTGGGTCTCGCCAAAACTGAGCGCTTCAAGCGCCTCGGCGAGATACATGACATCGACGATGGCGTCATGGCATTCCGTCGTGCAGTTGAATTGACGCCGGACGACCGTCCTGTTCAGCCCTGGCGATACGTCAATTTGGGCCTCTCGTTTCGCCTGCGGTTCGAACTCACTAGGATGTTCGATGACATTGAGCAGGCCGTCTTGTCCCATCGCCGCGCGGTTGAACTTGCTCCTGAAGATCACCCTGATAGGTTCAAGCTATTCGATTATTTGGGCAACTCGCTGCTGGCGCGCTCCCAGCACACTAGTGGGCTTGACGACATTGAAGAAGCCACCTTGTCTCATCGCCATGCTCTTGAGCTAATACCGAATGGTCATGCCGATAATCCCCTGCTTCATAGCAACCTGGGCAAAGCTCTAGCCTTGCACTTCGAGCGTTCGCGAGGACTCGGTACACTCGAGCAAGCCGTTGCATCGTATCGCTGCGCCCTCGAGCTCACGCCGGATGACCATTCCCGAAAGCCCAGTCTGTTCCAGACCCTGGGCCATCTACATTCCGTGCGCTTCGACTGCACTGGAGAACCCGGCGATATTGAGCAGGCTATCTCGTCTTATCACAGTGCGGTCGAGCTCACGCCTGACGATCAGCCTGATAAGCCTCAACTTTGCATTGACGCGGGAAACTTGTATCGAACGCGCTTTCAACGCACAGGAGGGCTCCGTGATATAGGGCAGGCCATCACATTCCATCGTCAGGTCATCGCTCTTCTACCAGAAGTCCACCCCAGCAAGCCCGCTCAGTTCAATAACCTGGGCCGCTCGCTTCTCCTTCGCTTCCAGCGTAGCGGCGAGTCCGACGACATTGAACAGTCGATACTGTCGCATCGTCGCGCACTCGAGCTTGCCCCGGAAGGTCATACAGACAATCTCGCTATATATAACGACCTGGGTACATCTCTCTTCAGGCGCTTTGAGCACGCCGGAGAACTCGATGACATTGGACAAGCCATCTCATGGCATCACCGCGCAAGCAATTCCACACCGGACGATCATCCGGATAAGCCGACGCGGATTGGCAATTTGGGGAACTCACTTTCTGCGCGCTTTGCACGCACTGGACAGCTCCAAGACATCGAGCAAGCTGTCTCCTGCAATCGCCGCGCGGTCGAGCTTGTGCCAGACAGCCACCCCGATAAGTCTTGGCGATTGAGCAATCTAGGCGCTTCGCTCCGCGCACGCTTCAGACGCACTGGCGAGCCAGATGATCTGGAACAAGCCGTGCTATCCCTTCGTCGCGCAGTCGAGCTCACGCCTGACGGTCATCCCGACAAGCCCGCGTTTCTCAACAATCTAGAGGCGTCACTCAGCTTGCACCCCGTTCACACCGGAGAACTTGACGACGCGGATCAGGAAATCACATTACAGCGCCGCGTGCTCGAGTTCACGCCCGACGGCCATCCCAACAAGCCCGGGTTCTTGAATAACGTGGGGAACTCGCTTCTCACACGCTTCGCGCGCACAGACGATCTCGATGACTTGGATCAAGCCATTACATTTCATCGCCGTGCAGTACAGCTCCTTCCACAGGGCCACTCTATCCAGTCTTTACTGCTCAATAGTCTGGGCAACTCGCTTACCGCGCGCTTCAAGCGCACACTAAAGCTCGATGACATCGAGGAAGCCATCTCACTCCATCGTCGCGCGGTGGGGCTCATACCAGACTGTCACCCTAGCAAGTCCTTGTATCTTAATCATCTGGGTAGTTCACTCGCTACACGATTCGAGAGCGCTGTGCGGTTTGGTGACATCGCGAAGGCTCTCTCCATGCAGAATCACTACGTCGTCGACCCTATGCAAAACCGCCACTTGATCAAGCCAACGCCAAGCGGCAGAGCTGAGGTTCCATCGGATGACAGCACTCCGCATTCTCCTTCTACCGCGCAACCTGAGCTCGTCGGAGAGCTCGAGAGTATCGAGCAGAATATCGCATCGCTTCGTGTCGCGATTGAACTGATGCCGGCCAGTCACCCCGATAAGCCCGCACGATTGAATGAATTGGGCGATTCCCTCTCCAAACGCTTCACCTGCACCAGGCAGCTTGATGACATCAAGCAGGCGATTTCAACATATGGCCGCGCAGTCGAGCTGGCACCGTCTGGCCATCCCGACAAGCCCTTGTATCTTAGTAATGTGTCCAACTCGAGTCTCGAGCGCTGGATGCATCTCGAAAGACAGAAGGCATCCGAACAAGGTATCTCAGCCCTTGAATCCACTGCTGTGGTCACAGCGGAAAACAGCAACGATCGGGGAAGCCGAGTTGGGGTCGGGTTCGAGAACAAAACCGACGTCGACGACGAAGCTGGCTGGCCCGAGCGACGACCAGAAAGTTTGGGTCGTTCATTGATCTGGCATTTCAAGGAAGTTGAAACTGCCCCTGACTTCGATGCAGCCATAAAGTCTTTCATGGAGGCGACATTACATCCATCAGGCAGTCCCTCTACTCGTTTGGACTCAGCCAAACATTGCGCTCGTCTGCTTACCAGCCATCCCTCGAACAGTGGCACAGAGTCACTGTTGTCCGCTCACTCGCGCCTCATCGACGTTCTTCCTGAGATCATATGGCTCGGACACGACATTCTGCGACGTTACGAGGAAGCGTCCCGGCTAGGTGAACTTGTCAACGCTGCGGTTTCTTCGGCTATAGCCGCTGATGCCCTGACACGAGCTGTGGAGTGGCTCGAGGCGGGCAGGGCGCTCATCTGGACTCAGATCCTGTCCTTGCGCACTCCCCTTGACCAAGTACAGAAGTCCCAGTCGAAGTTGGCAATAGATCTTCAGAGTGTTCGAGAACGCCTCCTGTTGTCCGCCAAGAGCAACTCCGCTCCTGAGATGGAGAACGTCAGTGATGTCCCCGGCCTCAAGATCAATCATGCGGCAGAGAAACATCGTGCACTGGCAATCGAGTACGGCGACCTCCTGAAGGAGATCCGGGCATGCGAAGGCTTCGATGGCTTCTTGCGTCCACAGCAGTTTGCCACTCTCACCGCCCCATTGACAGCTCTGAACGGCCCCATCGTCTTCATCAATGTTCACGAGTCACGCTGCGATGCCCTCTTGCTCTATCCAGATGGTCAAAGAGAGTTAGTTCCGCTACTAAGACTTACGTCGGAACGAGCAGATCAACTGCACTCGCTCTGGACCACCGAGCTCGCATACCACAGAGACCGCCTGCGTGACCCCACAGTGCCGCGGCAAGGAGCCTTGCCACAGGATATCATCGCACTCTCTAGGCATACTTCGCATGTGTACGAGGATGGGGACGACCTTAGCCACTTGCTGAAGTGCCTTTGGGAGTGGATCGTTTACCCTGTCCTTGAAAACCTTCAAGTCACGGAAGTGCGTGTGAACCGCTTGTTTATCCTTGCTCATCATGTGCTGATGTACTTCATAGACGAACAGTAGTTGTCTACCGCACCTTACATGGTGCCCTACCGGTCCCCTCACACAACTTCCCCTCCACGCCGCAGGGATATATGACGATCCCTCGGGTCCACGCGCGTTCGAATTCGCGGTTTCGTCATACACTCCTTCTCTATCGGCGCTCCTACGCTGCCTCGAGAGCATAGGGAAGCGGGAGGCTTCCCCAGCCATCCTCGTTGTCACGCAGCCAAACACGCCAAAGTGCTCGCGGCTTCCCGGGACATTGGAGGAAGAACGGCGCCTTCGAAAGGTCCTCGGCGCACAGATTACGAGTGGGGTGTACAACCATGACAAGGCCACTGTGAAGTCCATACAGGATGTCATGGCCCAGTATCCCTGGATACACCTCGCATGTCATGGCTCGCAGAACCGGGCGGACCCGACAAAGAGCGCTTTCCGGCTCTATGACGGCCCGCTAACGCTTTCGGACCTCATGAGCACCGTGTCCGAGAATGCAGAGCTCGCTTTCCTGTCAGCGTGTCAGACTGCTGTGGGCGACAAAGATATACCAGAGGAGTCCGCTCATCTAGCGGCCGGCATGCTCGCGGTCGGGTTCAAGGGCGTTGTGGCAACCATGTGGTCGATCATGGACGCAGACGCGCCTGTCGTCGTCGAGGCGTACTACAAGGAGCTTATAGCTCTTCGCAATTCCGGGAGTCTGACGCAAGGGGAGACGGGCGCTGCGTATGCGCTGCACGAGGCGACCAAGGTTCTGCGGGAGAAGGTGGGCGAGGCGAACTTCATGCGATGGGTTCCGTTCGTACATTTTGGCGCTTGAATATAGCTTGAATGCCGAGGTCGTCGCTACAGTATTCAAGCGCGTGTGAACCGATCTGACGTCTTGTTCTCATGATGTACGGGCACGGATGATGATGTACCTGAAGCGCGCGTTGGTTCGTGGACATTTGTACTGTAGTTCGAGTTTGGACTCTGCACGCATCCGTGTTGCATCGAGCACAACGCGCGAAGAAAGCACTCAGGCCGACGGCGTGTCATAGCGGGTATGACATGCTTATGCAGTATTCAACAACAACAGAGTCTTCTGGAGAATCCTGGATAAGAGCATAATATCGAGTAGCGGAAAGCCGCGGAAAGTCTGACTGTGCCTCCGTGGGCCGCCATGGACGTTCAGAGCAAGAGCATGCAGCGCCGGCTTCACTCTCCTCTCGCCTTCACCCCAGTCGCCTGGTCCTACTGCTCTCTCCTTCTAGCTCTGCAGCGTACCACTATGTCTACACGCGCCTCCGCCTATAGGGACTCATGGGCCTGTGCGCACTCTCTTGTCCGCGACGGCCCACCACTTGAAGCTTGAAGCACGAAGCACTTGCCCTCGAAATTATCTGCGCTCTGTCTACGCGCAAGCTTGGCGCGCCAGGCCGTACCAGGTTCGACGCCGAGGCTTTTTCCACCCGCACCCGCGTCGTCCTCGATGCCAGGCCCGGCTCCTCCCGCTGGGAATGGTTCGACCCACACTCCATCCTCGTCAAACCGCCCGAATCAATCTCCTCCGAGAGCCGTCCTACCATTACATGCGAGAACGCGCTGCTATTTGAGCATTTGCCGGTCGCTGCGTTGAAGATGGGCATTGCGATGTCGTCTCAAGGCGATCACTACGAGGCAGGAGGAGAGGGCGTGAACGTGCAATGCCCTTATTAGTCCGCGTTCAGTTGGTTGACTTGGCTCACTGGTGTCAGGGTAGGTCGCCATGATGTATGCGAAGATCAAATGCTGAACGGCTTGCATAGCGGCGCTATTGAAGTATGAAATCCGGCATCTGTGGGGTTACCTCACGTGCGTACCCTCAATCTCGCGAGGAGGCGCAACCTGCTTGCCCCTGTTCACCATCGCATGGAGGTACAGCTGCTCCTCAATTGAACAGGCCTTCCGAAGCTAACTGCCACACGAACAGATTTACAAGTCCCTCGAGGGTGTTGGCACAAGTGATATTGCATCTGCCGCAGCGCATCGGTGTCGCGGACCATGGAGGGCGAGCTCGTACAGATTAGCGTGATAGATGGGGGTGGAATGGTGTATATCGAAGAACGTGTGTATGCGCAGAGCTAGGTATCATCACTCGACCTTCGCGTCGTCGATAAGGGCTGTTCGATGCATTCGCGGGGCTTCTAACTGTCGCATGCCGATGTTCAACCAAGTAGCCCGTATACATAGCTCAGTGTCAGAACAACTCGAGAGCTTACGAGCATTACAACGCGTGCAAGCAGGGTGCTGATAATATCGTGACTACCTACAGTCTGGCTCGCTAGCCATCCCCACTACACCGTACCCTCTACTACTCCGTCACGATGATAACACAAGAATGGACCTCATTACAGGACAGAGAGCTGTCCGCCCGGCGGAACCTCCGTAACACCACGTCGCTCATCTTCTTTGGAGGAATACACGTGGGGCAGCAAGCGCCTCCAGGTATACTGCCCGGGCTCCCCTGTGTAGAGGCCTTCAGACCTCGCGTTGCTGACCTCGTCGAACAAACGGCGCTCAACAGGGACAACCGTGACACCGGGCGATCCGTCCAGACTGCTCGCCAGGTCATCGAATGCGTGCTCCTGGGCTAGGATCGGGTCATCACCGTGTTCGTCCTCGCCCTTCGTCTCAGAATACGGGTGCACACCCATGAGTCCACGCTCTACTTCGAGCGGCATGCGCCTGGTTACACCGTCCGAGCCGCGTGGTACGACCGTGACGCCCCGGGGCGTGACGCTATGTACCGTCTAGGTCAGGACTGGCAGTATAATATGATGATGGGAGATGAAGACGCACGGGAGTGCTATGACGGCATCGGAAAGTACGGCGAGTATGACTGCCAAGCTGGCAGCGATGCGAAGGAAAGTTGTTTGCATGATGTTTGAATGAGCGGTAGAGTTGCGCGGAGTCGATGAGTCCGTTGCTGAGTCGGTACGGTGCAGACGAGACAGTACTTATATGCAGTAACTTCTGTTCAGCCACTTGTGAGCAACACGCAAGGCATCAGTACGGGTTGGCGCAGGCTGATAGATAGATCATCTACCTAAGCGAAAGGACGTGGACGGGTTATACGGGGATGTCATGCAACCATCTTCTGCGCAATGCTTGCTCCTCAGTTTGAACTACATGAGTCCATAGACTTGATGATCACACTTGTGCGGCTTCTTGCGCCCGTGAGGCTCTGCGAATGCATCTGGCTTTGCATTGTCAGGTACTTGTGCAGCCTCTACAGCGCAAGGGATATCGCGTCATGATGACAAGTTTAGTGAGGAGTCGACTGTGGAGGAGGCTTACTATACTTTAAACATAGTCATCACGATGCTTAGATACACTTCTCAACCGTGATTGAAGCGGAGCCGTATTGAATTAGACTGGTTGTTGAGCCATGGAGATATTTCTTGCCCGTACCAGCATCATCCGTGGGCACGTATCGCGTCGAAGCCTCCGAAGACAGGCGCTCATCCGGCCTCATCAAAAGATATTCGAAGATGCCGTTGAAGCCCGCTAGAAATACGTATAATAGTGCCAAGAGGCCGAGCATGATGCCATTGGACGAAAAGATCTAGCGAGAGCCGTCAACGCCGGGCTGACGACCCTGACATGTCGAAGTGATTGAGGATCTTGCGGCGAAGTTACGGGCAGGACGGTGATACGATGGTTCTCGAGAGCGCATCCAACATGAGCGCATGCGTCGGGCTCTGTCTCATGGTCCATCGACGCGTGCGTAGCATGCGGGAGAAGATCCCATTCATACAAGGTGAGACGCTTCTAAACCTGCGCGCGTTGAGAGTGCGTGAGAAAGGCTCGGGGTTAGGGTCAGAACAAGTCCAGCACATGTATCGTTGCTCTCAATGCGTTGTGACACATCGGGTAGCATCGTGCTGGTGCACTAAGCACTCCTGATACCCTATTATATACGTCACTGCGGCTATTAGCACTACGACGAGGAGTCATGGACCAGAATGGTCGAGCACTGACTGATGAAGGCTGTGGATCTATTGGTGTACTCATAACCCAGCCTTGTATCCATGCCAGTGCGTCTACGTTTGTATAATTACCAGTTATCGTCAAAGCCAATCAAGCTCATCGAGGGGACGCAGCCACGAGTGGTCACAAATGTGTCGCGCCCTGAATGACCATTGTGGTTTGCGCCTCGTCAGTACGTTAGCCACACCCTATGCAAACGAATTTAGGCGTGCACAACAATAGAGCTCGCGCATTATGTACGCGGAGGCAAGCTGCGCCTTGATTCGTGTGGTTTGGGCGCTGAAATGTGGTTTACATGCAATGGGTATAAAACACGATAGTCGCTCGACCTGCTAGGTAGCCACTCCTCCCCGTCCCCCGCATAATACCCCACGCAACATCGCCTAACGCGCTCGCCATGGCTTTCTCCAGACCTCCCAACGGCAATGCACCGCTCGAGCCCATGCAACTCAACCCTGCCGACTTCGCACAGCTAGCTTTCTGGCTCTCGCCACCTATCACATGGTCTATCAATCCTCGAGATGTATCCTGCGACTGGGGGAAAACACGCTGCTCCCGAAGATTAGATATGACCGCACCGGCGACTCATACCCTCCAGCACCTTCAGGAAATGCACCCAGATGTACATTTTCGTACTCAGGACTATATGAACCTGACCTGCAAGTGGAAGGACTGCGGTATGCGGGCAGACTTCCGAAATGAAGCAGACGCGGGGGAATGGCTCCATAAACACATTCTGGAGCACAGCGGCGCGGGCCCCGCCATCTCGGGACGAATCCTCCATTACTGCAGACTATGTCAGCGTACCATCGATCTTTACAAAGGCTCGCGCGTAGAGCACATACGCAAGTGCTTCACGGAGACCCTCTTCCCCAATACCGCGGAAGTTCTCACGAGCCGCGGCGTCATTGTATCCGCTTTCGATTCAAGAGGAGAATGGACAGAAGTGTCTGTGAAACTTGCAGGAAGTTATCATCCATGGAGAAGGAATTCTGCGGGGCAATGGGTCGACCCTGTGTCTGGGCTACCCACAGACTTGCAAGGAAGCGAGATGGACGAGGTAGCAGCAGTGTTTGGACAAGCATTGGCTGTAGATAGGGTTATGTAGTTTGTCGACTGCTCGCCATGTATAAGCGCCCTCTTAGCCTGGAGCGGATAGCCCGATATTATTCTGTCGACGTCGTGGACTGGTGCAAGTCTGAGTGAAGCCAACAATGTGGAATCCATCGAATACACGGAACTTGCCGGAGAATCATCCCACGATTATTCAGCTGTCTGACTTGACCAAAAGTCATAGAAGATACGTAGCAATCTCGTGTGCGTCTATATGTACAGAACAAGGTCTATGATACAGTCATGTCCGTGAAAAGCAAGATCGTAATACGCTTATGAATCCACTTTGTCGCCGAGACGCCTCTTCTTCGCTCTCCTTGACATTGTTGTCCCGGATGACCTTCAGGAACACGCTTTCGAGCGACGCGCGCTCTACGCTGTAATCAGAGAACTCGCTCTGGGTGGCTAAGATGTGGAAGAGTTGAGATAGCGACAGATCGCTCGTGATTGGGACCTCTAGTCGCGTCGCAACGTCGTCGGCCATTCGTGCTCCAGGTATTCGGGCGATAAGGCCGCGAGCGCGATCCAGGTCTTCGCGCGTGCGAGCGGAGAGATGAACTTCGTACGCCGCAAAACGGTCAACGAGGGCGTCGGTCGTGCCGGACACTGTGTAGAAGACGGGTTAATTCGGCGGAAAGATGGTCAAGCAAGCCTTGAACTCACCCAATAAGCGTTTGGCGATGATACCAACTCTACCGGCTAGAGCTGCTGCTTCTTCCATCGAGTCTACAGAAAGTGTGAATATTTGCGCATATAGGCGATGATGATGTCTCACGAGTTGTAATGACAATAGCTTTGCCAACTGCCACTCGTCTGAGGGTGATCCACATGTCACGCTTCATCTTCGCGTCGATACCCGTAGAGAATTCATCGATTAGGACAACTGAAGGGTTACCTATCGGGGGCCGGTCAGCATCATCGGCGTCTGCATTCGCATTAGACACTCACCAATCAGGGCGATGGCAAGAGCCAGTTTCCGTTGATTTCCACCAGATAGCTGACTGGCCAGTCGATCTGCGTACTGAGCGAGCGCAGTCGCTTCCATGAGAGCTTCAACGTCGTGTCCTGCAAGCCGGCCGAGACCTTTGAGGCGCGCATACACGAGTAGATGCTCGCGAACAGTGAGTTGAGTGTCTATCGCCGTGAACTGCGGGCAAACCCCGAGCGCGAGTCTTGCCGAACGCGGGTGTCGGATGACAGAGACCCCGTTGATAAGCACATCGCCTCGCTCAGGTATGACTTCTCCGCCTGGAAACATGAGGTCAACCAAGGCGCGTTCTGTATCAGATACTTTCAGACGTACGGATGATGTTGAATGTAGTTGTCTTGCCGGCGCCGTTGGGACCTAGTAAGGCGAATATAGTATCTTCTGATACACCAAGGCTGACATCGTCCACGACTGTCTTGGCCTGTCGTCCGCTCCCGAACGTCTTGGTGATGCTGTCCACACATAGAGCATCCCGCCCATCGAGACTATCATGGTCCTCCTTCTCCACCTCATGGGCGTCGCCATCAGTTTGGATCGTCGTCGGTTCGTGTTGGCGCCGTGTCGAGCGTAAACCGGCTCGATGCAGTACTGAACCGGAGTCTGTCCAGACAAGGATGATGAAGAGTGCGATCGCGTATACGATGAGGTAGAGGATGGGACCGCCGAATCGCGTGATGACACCAAGCTCTGACGCAGTGACAGACTGATCTCCGGTACATGCGAGTGAAAAAAGGTTGACGGATACGAAGGCTGTTCGTAACTGTAACTCTCTTAGTAATGCACAGAGGTGGGTTAATGATTGCACGCACAATACTGGCGACAGGTGCCACGATGGACAATGTGAAGTCTAGTGGTGGCGATTCAGTGGGCATCGGTGGACGGACATGGACCGCAGCATACGTATGATCGTGATGATGGACGCCGCCTCGGATGTCTTCGCGTATGTCAAGGTCAGAAGGTACGCTGCTATGTATGCCTGGCAAATCCAGAGTGAGCCTGAGATCAACGGGAGAACTGCAGAAGCGTACAGTGAACATGATGATTTGATACCCAGCGGCGATGGCGAAGGCAGCCAACGGCGAAGACGTGATGAGGCTGACAACGTAGGCGAAGAGGGCACCTGCCACACCGTACAGCGTCAAGATGATCCACTATTTGATGGTTAGATTCGCATTGTCGTAGAGAACTCAGCGTACTCACGACAAATCCGAGCCCATGGAACTGATTGGAAGCCGCAGCAAAGATAATGGTGATGATCGTCGCCACAATGACCACGAAGATCGAGTCGAACATGGCATGCCCAAGCCACAACCCAACGGGGTTTGATAACCCGTTGGAGAACTGCATGGCCTGCACAGACGAGCGACGCTCTCGGCTAACGTACAGCGAGAAGAAAGCGGGATATACTGCCTGAAGTGAGTGTGAGAGTGAGTTGACGCGCGCTTAATGGATGGCGTACCATCGCAGCTCCGAAAAAACCCACCCACTTGAGCGCCACGAGAGTCTCAGTATCAACCGCCGGGAAAGCCTCATAGTACGCTTGTATGAGTGTAGGCGCACTAGGACCCGAGTTCAAGACCCTATTGAACAAAAGATTCGATGCCAGGTTGAGCATGATGGGCCCAGTGATGCCCGGTGGTGACGCCTCCCAAGCCACCAGCGCCTGATTGGTGTCAGGCAAGGATATGCCACCGCGCGTGAGGTTCCGATAGTTCGCGCGGATGCCGCTCGTAAATGCATTAAGGGAACTGTAGTTTTGACCCGCGATGAGCGCAGTGCTGTTACCCAGCTCACGGATGAGGCCAGGTGGGTACTGACGAATGGCGTTTGCAGAATCGAGGAAGGACAAGAAGCTGATAGGCGAAGTCGGCAGATAGAGGGATAGGCTAGTGGAATTGACGAAACGTGTTGTACAGGATTGCGGTCGATTCGCCATAAAGAACAGAGGTACGCAAGCACCGGCAATCGCGACGATAAGCATGAGAATGGGCGTGAGCCAACTTCGGCGGAAGACCAGGTAGCGCTTGTGGAAGATGGTGGTAGCTTGACGAAGTGGCGATAGCTTGCGCCCGTTCGAGAGATGCAACGTGGAACTGAGGTTCACGCCGACGTGATCCAGCGCAGGTGACGCCGCGCCGTCGCTCTTCTGTGTTGGCGTCACCGTGGAAGCTTCCTCTACGACTGGATCCACTTTCTCGTCCTCCAAAGTCTTCTCCGGGTCGTGCATGAGGTTGAGGAAAATGTCCTCGATACTGGTGCCTTGAATATCGTAGCGAGCGATACCAAGGTCCTGACCATGCTCTTCAAGCACTTGCAAGGCACGCTCAACTTCTCCAGTCTCTTTCGAGCGCAAGTGGTAGAAAGCGCGATGTGGCGGCGAGGTCGACATCCGGGTCTCCGGGGCGACCACCCGGAGGCGTCCGAGAACCTCTGCACTGGATTGGTCGAACACGCTCTTCGACTCGAAACTGACGATGGCGGTGTAACCTTCACCAAGGGAGGACTTGAGCGACACGGGTGAACCGGCGGCCACCAGCTTCCCTGGAGCAGCCAAGATAGCAATCTCGTCAGCGAGAAGGTCGGCTTCGTCGAGGAACTTCATGCGTGATCAGCGTATGAGTATCTGACGAGGAAAGACAACATACATGGGTGGTAAATATCACGGTTCGCTCATGGCGAACATTAGTCAAAGTCCGCCAGAGTGCCCGACGGGAAAGTGGGTCAACGCCGGATGTGCACTCGTCCACAAACACGACTGCAACACGTCAGCATACGAGCCTTTCATGATTGAGAGTCACTCACTCTTCGAGCCACCCACTAGACCTATTGCGAGCTGCAGCTTCCTCTTCTGACCACCCGACAGCGTATTCGCATTCGACCCCGCCTTGCCGATTAGATCGCAATCAAGGAGCAGCTGCTCTAGATCCTCTTTGCCGCTCAACCCGGCCTCAGAGTGCTTCACCGCCTGCCATACCCGCAGAGTTTGCAGACACGTAAGTTCAGGGAAGAGGACGTTCTTCTGAGGCACAATACCAAGAGCACCACGGGGAGGTTGTGATGCTCCATCTTGGAATGTGACAGTACCTGAGGTGCGTCCCAGGAGCCCTGCGAGAATGGACAGTGTCGTGGACTTCCCAGCACTGCGGACGAGATTAGTTGATGCATGTGACCCGTTATGTTGGCGTACATACCCATTGGAGCCTAGCAGGACGAAGATGCCATGTTTTGGTACCTCAAAGCTCAAGTCGTCCACAGCGACAACGTCACCTCTGCTCTTCCGAAAGAACGGAGGCGAGAAGGTCTTCCTGAGGTTGCGCACGGAGATGGCAGTATTCGGATCAGGTATGACAGGAGTGGCTTCGATATTCATGGTACTGGAGTGACGCCTCCCGAATCTCCAACGAGACTGCCGTTCAGAAGGAGGATTTCGCGCGTCGTAGAGTCTCCTCTCAAGGAGAACAGCGAGATAAGGCCAGAGAAAGATGTCGATCTGTAGCACCTGTCAGTTTTGCATGCATTTGATTGTAGCGGAGTACTCACGATGCCCGCGACGATATTGGGCAGAAGGCGCATTCCGCTATCTGGATCCGGATCGACCACGCTTGTTGGTATCTGATGTACCTCGAAGCCGGCCATGGATCTGAGAGCAAAGATATAGTACGCGGGCGGAAATACCAGCGTGAAGATGAACGAAGTTCCGTCTCCCACAGCCCCAAGTACAAGCGCAAAAATGGCGAACACGATAGACAGAAAAGTAGAGACCACCGCCGCTAGCTGCGGGCTGTTTCCAAATGGCGCGCCGACGAATAGAGACCAGCTGGCAAGACTGAGACCCATAATGAGGTGCACGACGAATACGAGACCGCCGTTCGTGCCGCTAAAGATCTGAAAGTGCCAGATGATGCTGACAATGGTCCAAGCCGGAAGGTACGCCAGTGTGATGCTGACGAGCCATGAACTAGTACATAAGGTGGCCAGTGAGCAGAGGTTTGATCAGCACGAAGAGAAGGGGAGCTCACAAGATACGTGCGCTGTCGAGCAGTCCCATCACTTTCAGGTGCGCAGTCAAGCCCAACGCTCGTTCTCCCATGAATGATCCTGGAAGCTGATAGACGATCCCGACGAAGTCAATGAAGAGAGCAAGTACAAGCAATGTCCGTAGGCCGCGAATATAACCTGGGACGATTATGAGCACGACAGTGTTGCATTATGATGAACACATACTCAGGCGCGTGTGAGTACTCTGTTCCTCATTCGTCTCCTGCGTAAACGGCCACTCTTCCGGTGTGGGCACTGTCTGCCCTGATCGTAGTTCTATGATGGCCTTGTAGAAAGAATGAGAACAAGATTTTTGATCGGTGACGGGAAGCTCACCGAGTCTATAGCCCATTGAAGCGGCAGAATGCGCTTCTCATAGTCGCTGTTGTGACTGACGACATCTATATGAAATAGCCCGCCGTCCGCGCGTATAGTGTAGTTCACCGGTGCCCCAACCTCTGCAGGTAGCGAGTTGAAGACGACACCGGCCCAACATTCGCTAAACAGATTGAAATTCTGAGGGCAAAGGCTGGGGATGACGTCGGCTGAAGGTGCTTGCTTCACCGCACCAAGTTGCTCGCGAGAGAAACCAGAGGTCACACGAGACATGATCTCTGATGGGGAGGCAAAGGTGTTCGTTTCTCCAGTCGTCGCATCGGCCCAATAAAGCGTGAAATCAGGGTCGAATTGACCGGAGAGGTTGAAGACGGAAATGGGGTTGCCAATCCCGAAGTTGCTGGGCTTGACGAGGAACACTTGTGCGACGGCCAGGAAGATTCCGTAAGCAATAGGAAGGACCAGACATCGCAGAATATTGAGCTGCAAGAAATGTCAGTATGTCTTGTGATGTTCAAGAATAGAGCGCGCACCAATAGATGGCTTCGGAGGACAATCCAGTTCTTAACGAATAGCGCGCCGAACTGGCGCCAGAATAAGGAGGGCATAGCAATTTCGTTCGTCAGGTAGACCTAAGTAAGCCTCCAGGGCATGGTGGTGGTACGAGTGCAAGCTCCGCAGCCGTGCTGGAGTACATTCTCATGGTGGACACGCTTGGGCGCGCAATCGGCTTGACGCGTACACGCGCGTCAAGACGTACCCGTCGGAACATTCAAACGGAGCATCAGATATACTCGAAGAGTGGGAAACACACAGAGTAAGCGGTAGTCGAACAAGATGGGTTGCCGCTTCTGCGAACATCGTCGTCAGCGGCGACCTCGCCCGCCTGTATCGCCTTCCAGATGGGCTTGTCCGGGCCGGGCCGGGCCGGGCCGACCCGAGACGCGATCGAAACGCGACGCGTCCGCCGCGTCCGAGACGCGTCGCGCTCTTTATCCCGAAACACCACACTGGCAGAAGGATGCACGCTCATACCTCAGCGAAGGTAGTCAGTGCTACATTAATTTGACTGCGTGTGCTAACTACATGTAGAAGCAAGAAGAACGCGTCGCTGTGTTGCAGAAAGAGGTCGAAGAGTTGCAAAAGACGCTCGGGTGCGCGTCGTCGTTTCGCTTTTTCTCCCAGCTCCGCCCCATTGACACGGTTTTCAGGGACGATGTAGACCCAGATAAGATTGTGTCTAAGCATATCAAACTTCTGCACCGCTATAATGAAGCCAAGGACGCGACGCAGGTGAGTTACGCGTTCTTTCATCTACACTCCGCCTCTAAACCTTTTTGCTCATATCCAGATTCTGATCGGAAAGGTATGCGCAAAATAGTGTCTGGCGCATGAACACAATGCTTACTGTAAGCGCAGCTGGCTGGTCATAAGCAAACGACCATACGACAGGTGCACGAAGACCTCGGCCTCGAAGATGACGACTAGCTCCGTATATGCATCTCACTGCTCGGTTTCCTATCCATTCTCGCCTCTCTTTCGGATCGCTTTCGGGCCATTTCACGGACACCTGCATGTTATCTGTACACTACTGTATTCGCTAGGCGCAATTGCACGCTCCGTACATGACCTGGTCAAACGGAAAACTTCCCTTCGTCAATCCTGCGTCGGGCCGTGCGGGGGAGCTTGTGCACCGCTCTTGATGATGTCCGCAGCCTATGCTGGATCAGTGGCTATCCGAATAGCCCCAGAATGTCGCATGCATTACCTTCTCAGCTAACGCGTACACCGTTGCTTGTGTGTGGCCAGCGACAGCAACTGGGAACACACTCGCGTCGACCACGCGTAGGTTCTTCGTGCCGTGCACCTTGAGGTCCCCCCCGACGACTATGATCGAACCCGTCAGAGAGCGCCTTGCGGAGAGTACCAAGCTGCTTACCGCCACCGATCTCTCTAGGTGCCATAGCAGCAGTGCCGATGAGATGACCGCTTGACTGTGGAAGGTACGTGAGAGATCGGTAGCATATCCTGACGCGCTGTACCACTCACCAGACACGCCATCTTCACGTAGCCTTCCAGATTCTCGCGAGGCATAGGTGGCAACTGGCGTTCAAGCACTATATCCTTGAATGGAACCGCTTCCGCGAACTCTGCATACTTGTCGAATGCGATCAGTGAGAGATCCATATCTGTTGCATCATCATGGTCAATCACTATGGACAGTCAGACGTTGTCGGATCAACCCACCAAGCTCATTCGAAAAGTAGTTTGGTTGGATCTGAGGGGGGAGAGAGGCTTCACTAGACTTGATGTGCACATGCCCGCGCGAAAAGGGAGTCTACACATGATCAACGAACGGTCACGGCGAGCATGGCTCCATCGAGGACGTACCAGAAGTCCTGAGACTAACACCGTGTACGCTTGTCCAGGCTGAGGGTCGACAAATCCAGCCGCGAATTGCAAGAACTCGAATAACGGCGTGCTCTGCGCCTTCAGCATCTCGAGCTGCGCGGCGTACTGCGCGCGATGTAATGGCATCGTCTTCTCATCTCGAATGAGCTCCTCGATCTTGGACACTATACTATTGTGTGTCGTGGTATCTGCCGTCTCCGCGAGCGGAAGGAAGGCGGTGGCCATGTCGCCGGTCATGAACCAACCACGCTTGGTTGCAGCACTGTCACGATATTCAGATATTGACGATAGGATGCAACGCGTCTCGCTCACTATCGCGCCTCCTCACGTTTGTAGAACTCAGAATTACTATCGCGCAAAAGATCTGGGTGGGTGAGGTCAGAGAGCTTCCAAGGCGGACTCATACGAGGGCGCTAACCTTTCGTTTTGACATGCGGCTTCAGGCGATACTGTACAGGCACAAACATCTGGTCCTGCAAGTTCTCCCCAACTCCCGGCAGGTCAATGAGGGGATCAATACCCAGTGCCCTGAGACGCTGAGCGTTGCCAATGCCGGAGAGCTCGAGGAGAGGGGGAGTACGGAGAGTACCCGCACACAAGATGATCTCCTTCTTAGCGTGCACAGTGTAGACCTTCCCCGCAAGGACGAACTCAACTCCTGACGCTGAGAAAGGCGCATCGCTGATGGAGTTTGTGCCATGATCGAAGACTACCTTCGAGACCTAGAGCAGGCTGTTTGTTATGGTCTGATCCCATGGGGCAGCCGGGGCAGCGAACCTGGGCTCCAAGCAACACCTTGACGTTGTCGAGATTCGCCAGAGGAAGATATGCTGACGCGGACGTCATGCGCTTTCCCTCTTGAAGATCAACAGCACGAATGTGATTGATCACGCCGTGCTTCTCCCCTGCGAACTTCACAATGTATCAATGAGCGCGTTGTAAACATTGATTGTAGCTATCTTACGTACATGATTCGCGCTCGTCGGCACGCCCATCCCGTTCCATGTTTTCACGAACACGCCCTGCACGTCTGTATCCGTTTCGTTGTAGCTGACTTTGACCGGTCCATTTATCCCTGTACTCTCCTCGAAGCCGCCGCCGGCAACCTGGGTCGAAGCAGCGATCATAGAGTTTGGATTCTCTTTGACTGATCTCGTATCCTCGGTCTTTTTGAAGTATGGCAGCAACCCGTCAAAGGACCAGCCTTCACCACCGAAGCGCGTCCAGGCGTCGTAGTCTGCGCGAGAGCCGCGGTCCCACGCCATGAAGTTGATGCCTGTGGAACCGCCGAGCATCTTGCCACGAGGCGCCTCCATTACGCGCCCATCTAGTGAGGGCATGGGTTCGGTCTTGTCACACCAATCATACTTTGGGTTGCTAGTATGGGTGCCGATGAAGCCTGTGTATATGATGAGCTCAAAATGACAACGTCAAGGGGAGGTCGACATACGGAGCTGGTCGAGCATCGGGTCGCTCGTGATGTGTGCGCCGGCTTCGAGAACTCCGACGCGTACATCGGGCGTCTCGGCAAGACGCACGGCAAGAGGAAGTCCAGCCGTTCCACCTCCTGTTGGATTATGAGCGACTGTTAAGGGTATGGGGTTGTTGTTAACGAACCGACGATGATGTAGTCTAGGTCAGCAGCAAGAAGTTCAGTGACCTCGACGAAGACTGAGGATGATGACATGATTCGAGGAAACAATGTCAAACCTGGTACGAAGGCAGCTCAGTGTTATATGCCTCTGGACCAGGCGTACTCGGTGATACGGCAGGTTTCATCAAGCACGCGTTGTTAAGCATGTGTGATCGGGTTCCAAATAGGAATGAGCACATCCGGTCCTAGTTCATGGAGTCCATCGTATAGCTCAGACGACGCGAAACGCTGATATGGCCGGAGAATCAGATGCGCGCTCTTCGGAGCAGCGTCTTCACCACGGAGGTCCGTAGATAAGGCAAGATCTCGGCTACTCCTGCTGAATCTATAAGACGGTGGCAGTGTACAACAGCTCTACCAGGCCTGCGAATACATACAAAGATATTAGTGTGAATGTATACAGGACGTATATCAAGACAAAGGAACGGGAGTGCGGCCCGTCAAGCAATGACCGCGATGGCTTTGGGCTCGGTGACTGGAAGTCCATCTGGGTCCTCAGCGCCACCTGGCGCCGCGTCCGCGGTGGACATGAAGTCGGACATGGTGGCCCTATCGAGACATCAGCTTCAATCGGCATGATGACCAGAAAAGAGCGCACCCAGTGTGAGGTACATTGTCACCATTGGCGGCAGGTGCAGCAGTCTTTTCAGTACTAGCGGGAGCCTCGGCTGCCTCAGGCGCTGGTGCTTCAGGGGCGGCATCCTTCTTCAACCGTGTGCCGTCGGGCGCGATGTTACAATGCCTGCATAATCATCATTAGAGTCATGTATATCATAGGGCGGCACGTGAGCGCACTCGACCATCTGAGCCCAATAGCTCTCGAAGTCATATTCGAAGTTGTAGTCGCCACCCAAATCGGCGTCAAGTTGCGATTTGGGCACCAGTTCGAAGAGATCAGGGTTGAAGCGCATCTTGTCGCGGGTAACGGGGTCAAGGAAAGGCTGGATACCAGTGTAGAAGAACCTGACGGGACAAAGTCAATCTCGGAAGCAAGTGAGATGAATAGGGTCCCCCCACGCACTTCAAAAGGGTAGGAAGGTTTGTGACAATGGCACGGCCTAGCCTCTCGCAGTAATGCTGTTGCAAGATGACAAGGACCTTGCTTGCAACAGAGACGGATGGGTTCGTGCGTAAGCTTGTGCTCTTGTAGTCAACGATAATCATTAGTGATTCCTGGCCAGGCGGCATCATGTCCGTGGCACGCTCTCTACGCCGATTTTAGCGTGCACTTGAGGTAGAGAAGGCGATGTAGCACGTACAGTACCCAGACCAAATGTCGTAGTTGCCGTGGAGACGTTTGGGTGTTTTCTCGGCCGGGTCGCATGTAGATAATTGGCCTTCCATCTTCGTTGAGTTAGCTGTGGCACTTCGCAACCCGGTGACGTGAAGCAAGTCATACCTACGAAATTCGTTCAGAATCGCGTTCAGATAAGGCCTTCCGGACAGTCAACATACCTACGTCATATCCAGTCAAGATACTGTGTGACAATCAGGTCATGAGCCTACTGGGCGACCTGTATAATCAAAGAGGGGCCTACGCACATTTTGCCCGTCTCTGCTTCGATCTTGACTTCATCTGGCGGGATAAGCTCTGGCTTGTACTCGCGCCTCCATTCAAGAGTCTTCTTTATGCGCTTCTTGCCATCCTCAAGCTTCCACTTCGCCGCACGTATATACCGCGGAATAGTCTCAGGACGGTCCAGCCATCGGGCCTCCCATTCCGCATAAGGGTCAGAGTCAGGCAGACGCAGACCTTGCGCGTACTGATCGCACGAACCACAGTCAGTGCGAGTCTTCACCACGCAGAATAGAAGACGTACCTCGCGCAGAGCCTCAATCTTCGCCTTCTGCTCCTCGTCGTACTTCCATATAGGCTTCACGACGGTGCCCGGCGCGGGCTCGAACAATATCTTGTTCGTTTTGGGACCCTTGGAGTCGGACATGTCGTCGTGGCCGGAGGCAAGTGGTGCGGTGCCCACGCATACACCGCGCCCCCGATGCGCGTAGGGGTTCTTGGTCAACCAATTGCTGATTCCGTCGGCGCGGCGAGACCGAGGCGCGTTGAGCGCGCTGACACAGACGTGATCGCGTCGACCTTCGGCTCCGCTCGCCATCGGCTGCGGCGCTCTACTTGCCTCTTGCTACCATGACAGTCGATATCCAGCAGTACCAGACCGCACGTCGTATGTGGATGTCATGGACTATCATTGCTAAGGACAACACGTTTCTTCCCACCTTGCGCTGGCCTGAAGATGTGATGGCTGATTCATGAGAACAAGAATGGCACTCGGCCTACTCACGGAAAGACTCTGGACTCGAGGCCTCTATGAAGAAGTGCGACTCACGCATAGCTCTCTTAGCGTTTCATGCTCTTACAAGTTGCAGAGGTGGTTAGGGCGACTCATTCTGCATCAAGCAGCGCTTTCTCCGCATCCCGTGCCTCGTCGCTTGAAGACTCAACGCGAGAGTAGAGATGTCGACGGCGCCGCAGTTCCGCGAATCTTATGGTAAGGTTCCTGAGTCTCGAGTGGTCTCAGAAGGCTTTGTGAAACCTTGTAAATTACACGCTCTATGGCATCATCTATGGAGAATACGCGCAAGGGTAGCCGAATTGTACCCATCCAGGGCTTTGCTTATTCAATCAGTGTTTGGCAGGTGCACCGCCGGACTGGCGGGCTGGATGTACCCTCAGGTAGGGACCCGGACGGAAACCAGTTTGGGTTGGCTTCCATCTTTCCCCGGCTATATGACCCTTCTCGGAGCGGGAGAGAAAGCTGGCATCGGTCCACCAAGATGTGCGTGTCTCCTCTGGAAATCACCTTCAGTCCCAATCTGATGCGCTGATAATGCAGAGATGACTTCGTCGAACGTCACCGTAGATCGTCTTGCAGAGCTCGCAGATGATTTGTGGAACGTCGCAACCTATCGGATGTTTCCTACGATCGGAGAGAGCGTGGTATGGGGTACGTCATGGGCGGACTTTCCAACGAAGAGCATTTGCCGACCCTTGATGCAATCAAGCTGCGTATACTGTACTGGTGGCCTTCCACTGCACCATTCATTATCGGCGCGTCCCCATCGCGTTTTGACCTCTATTGCGTATGGCTCACCTCTCTGTACAGACAAAATCCCGAGGATCGGGTCTGGCCCGTCTTTGCCGTATCCGCGAGCTCGTATATTGGATGCACGTTGATCTGGGCTTTGGACGTCGTCATTTTGTGGCAAGAGACCGATCAGTTGCTACCAAGTCGCCTTTCGGTGTCTGCATCAGAATCGACGATAGGAGAAGCCCTCAAGGACGTCACTGGTACCACATCAATGGTGCGCGATACGTTCCAGGTATTCGTCGTGAGTATCATGATCCACGCGCTTAACAGCATCATCCATATCGAAACGCAGTACTGAGCATTATTCTAGTTTCTCCTGTGCGATATCATCTCTCTCTGGAGAGCCTACGTCATTTATGGGAGGCCTATGTGGCTCAAGGTCGTTTGCATCATCCTAGTGGTAGGAGCCGATGGTGAGTCGTCTGAATCCTGTCATGCCCGCAAGTGTTTCAGTCATTGAACGTGCAATAGCCATGTGGATTCTTCAACAGCTTGCGCACTGCGCGGCGTCGTACCTGAAGAATCCGCCTATGTCATTGATGCGCCTCTATGAAGTGAACGATGGTATCTTAGGAACAGCGGGACCTGGGATAGCCGGAGCAATATCTGGATCCGCGCAGGTGTTTGCTACAATACTCATCGCGCGCAAGGCATGGTAAATCTGATGAAAGCCGCTTATGGTCCTCTTGCTCACATCGCAGCAGGATCCATCGCCGAGAAGTCGTGACACTCCTTCCTGATCGAAAAGGCTCGCCGTATCATGGACGTTTGCTGGCCGTGCTCTATATTGTGATTGAAACAGGTGTCGTGTATGCCTGTCTCTGGGGGATCTTCAATCTGGCCATTGAGAGTCAGTTCAGCGATACTGGATTCTACTGGGCGCAGTATTGGATGTGCCAAATCGCTGTAAGTCTATCTTATTCTATAAGCCATGTCCATGTCGCGCTGAGAGAAACTCGAAGGGAATCTACCCCACCCTCATCGTCGTTGTGATCTCGCTGCGAACGTCGTTACTCGAACGCAGCGTCAATGACCCGGAGCTCGTCAAGTTATCTATGAGGTTTGCCACTCATCACGACTCCGAGACTTCGCCTTCCGACAATACCCCTGTCCATGCCCGGGTTGAAGATACGGGCTCTGATAGAGATGCAGAACGGGAGAATAATGTTCAGGCGCCAGTTTGAAGGGAGTGAGTGTATGGTCGCCAATATGGGCCGATAGGATCACATAGTATTGTATGCACTATCTAAAACGGTCAAGTGGACAAGAGCGTGAAGAGATAGAGATCATGAGTATGCGCTATCCTGGCAGCATTCAATTATATTATACTTTATACAATTCCATAATCACTCTCGCGTAAGAAGAGACACGGCGTTGATGACGTCGACCAATCAGTAGAAGTGCCGCAGGAGTCTTCATGCTAGAGAAGAGGCGGTAGACGGAAACCTTTTTCCGTTCTGGCTAGAGGGATCTCGGAAGGGGGGCGTACAAGATGGAGAGCGGGTGGGCAGTGGCGGTCACCAACAAGAGACTTTAGTGCGATGTTCGAGTTGCGGGCTTCGGGCCGATGCACCGGCGGCCAGCGCGTCTCTGCCGACGGCGCGTCGCATTCACTTGAATCTCACCATCATGCAGATTATATATCGTCAAGCCGCTTGTTGTACTAATACATCCTCCTCTGAAGATACCACGCGGCCAAGTTGCTCAACTTAGATCTTCTTGTGAACATGGTCCCGTCACTGCTCAAACGGCTGCACGCTCCATCATTCTTGGACTGCGACTCCACGCAGGACTCAGCATGGTCTTCGCAATCTGTAGCACAGCGGACTCGCCATCAAGATGCTCGTGCGCCTGAAAGAGTACGGGGATAGATGAGTCAGCCTTACCAATGAAGATGGGCGCGTTCTGCACAGGAAGCAAGTCCTGGACCACTTCCACTAGCAGGGTTGGGGGATCTGCGTGGCTGATTCTGGGTTGCTGAGGATATGGTGATGACGAGCGGCTCGCTACGCGTTGTGCGCTCACTCCGACCAAGGTCCGTTTCGCTTTAACCACGCTCACGCTCTGCGGCAACTGAACGTGCTGCAGCATGGCGAGCATCGCAATCCATCTCAATGAAGGACTACAATGACGTGAACTTCCCACCTCGTCCTCGCACTCACGATGTCACGACACTTATCACCGACTTCCGCAGTGCTACACTGGTCCGATCGTCGGTCATCCGAGTGTAGGACGCTGCTGCGTCTCCACGCAAGATGTTAGTCCGCGTCTGGTCGCGCTACGACCCGTCGGTAAGCTGGAAACCCGAATGAAGACTGGTATATTGCGGTGCTGTACGTGTACCAGGGAAGACGCGTTATAAGTGCATCGAAGTGCAGTTTTTGTTGAAGAAAGACACCGTAGACTCCCAAGCGGTGCGCAATCATCCGCCATGTTTTCTCGGCGCTATCCTGGCACCAATATTGTATCCTCGAACTCGACCTGTACAGCAGATCAGCTAGCAGAGATTGCACATGAGGTTTGGGACGTCGCCACATTTCGCGTGTTTCCCTTGGTCCTAGAAAGCATGTTGTTCGGTGCGTACAGTAAACGAAACCCAGATGAACACTCAACTGACGCGACTCTCTTGATAGCATTCTACACGGCGCTCATGATCTTTTACTGTCTACGATTCTATGGAAAGTGCGTGTCCTGGGAGGAACAAGTTGCAGCGTGTGGTGCTTATATCGCCTTTAGGAGAGGCGCACAGCGTGTCTGGTTCATCTTCGCCATCTCCGTGATCTTGTACATACTCTCTACGGTAACATGGACCCTCGACATATCGACGCTGTGGTCAGACATGTATTGCTTCCTTCCGGATCGGCTATCGTCAAGGAATTCGAAGGTTTCCCCAGACGAGGCCCTCGCGCGGCTGAATGGCATTACCAAGATTGCGCACGATACTTGTGAGGTAATCGTCGTAAGTCGCCCTCTCATATTCATGGCGGTCGGTCATAAAAGCACAATTAGGTTTTGCTTAGTGACATTGTCTCTTTGTGGAGAGCATACATTATATACGGAAAACCGAGATGGCTCAAAACCATGTCTATCGCAGTCGTCATTGTCTCCACTGGTGCGTGTGACTACACATCGGCGATAGATACTGGCTTAATCGTTTGCTTCGCAGCTCTATACATCGTGAACGAGGTCATGATCTACGATATCTTCTCGTCTCAGCCATATCAGGATGCCCACGGAGAACGATTGGTCGTCGCAATCCAGGTGGTCACCCTATCGGCAACCGCATGTGCTCAGCTATTTGCCACCATGCTCATTGCTCACAAGGCTTGGTACGTCCCATCTTCTCTACGCTCGACATCAATTATCTGAGGCAACCCTGTCTACAGGACCCATCGAAAGCAGCTTCGAGAGCTACTTCCTACTCGGCAAGGCTCATACAGACATCAGCGGCCCTTGGCCGTGTTGTGCATTATCATCGAGACAGGGATCGCATACACTTGCCTTCGAGTTTTCTTCGTGCTCGCGAACTTTGGGACGCATAGCGTCAGGCTGCTGGGAGAGGCCGCGTACAATTGGTCAAATGCCTTCATGAGTCAGATGTCGGTATGTACTGCAAGCCATATCGAACGTGCACGCGTCGCTAACGGCTCCAATCAGGGAATGTACCCTACTCTCGTTGTTCTTGTCGTGTTTGTGCGAGAGTCGTTCATTGAGCGAAGCATTCAAAACGCGTCGGAGATCGGCAGTATATCCGGCATACGTTCCGCAGCCACACCCAATGCGAACGGGGCAGAGCCTCAATCATTTGCGCAAGTAGAGGGTTCTTAGGGCTTCTGCCTGTGTTCTGCCTTGCTTCGTGTCCACGGAGTTTATATTGCTCTCGCGTCATTACATAATCTCACTATAATCACGCCTCAGTTCGGTAAGTACTTCAGCTTCGACCTCTAGCACCGCCAGATTTGTTTCCTTCTCTTCACGACTGTATTCCATACGATCCTTAATGTAGTCCTGAATCGCCTCGTGTATCCATCACCTGTGTATCTTACTGTATGGCTGCTCCGTTTGTCTCCTTCTGCATACGCCGGAAGACTCGATCGATCGTGCGTCGGCGGGTGAACACCGGATGTTTCTGTCGCTCACCTATATTGCGCGGCGAACTTTGAGCACGGCACAGCACTGCAATGTTGAAGAGCCATTGTCAATCTGCACTCATGTTACTTCTCGGTGTCTGTGCTCATGCCGTCCCGTGCGTCGCCCCTTCGGCCATGAAAGTTGCCAATGCTCACTACGATGCGCAGTATTGGTGAAGCCGCGCCCGCCATTGAGCCTCACCGGCTTCTTTCCATTAGCAACCCTGGTTTTGGTCCTGATGATGGGTTAGAGCCTGTCGTTCTTACCCGCGACACTCTTCAACTAGAGTACGCCGAGTCCATCAGGAAGCTAGAAGGCCATCACTTAGTCGAGGACGGATCATCAAGTACAAGGGAGAGCCACGGATATGTCTTAACAAGGACTGTGGGTGCTAGAGGGACGCCTGAGGAAAAGGGACTCTTTGCAAAGGACCAAGACGTTCCGAGGGTTGATGGCTGGAGGGCCTGAGACGTCGCGGAGACGGCGGATGGAGTTGGCGCCTGTTGGCGCAGCAAATAAAATACCGTCTCTATCACGAGCATTGTACCGTTATCGAACGCATCAGAAGACTCACATTATTGCCCGTTGATCTCGAGCACTCGAGTTGCAGACGTAAGTAGACGCGCGTCGGACAAGAAAGCCATATGATCGCGTTTAGCAGTTTCTCTTTGTTTCTCCTTCGAGTTGTCTTGGATTCGCTTGGGCTTGGCTTGGACTTCTCCGTCACGTAGATCTTCTTGAGCAGCCATCGTCATTGTGCTCATAGCTTTACCCCGCCCAACTCGTCGCTATCCCTCGTCTACATAGGATCAAAGGGTACCTTTCACTACAGCAACCTAGCGTGGTAACGGGGTGTCCGGCAGCCGCTCCACCGGCGCACGTTTCGCTTGGAAAGATTAAATCTATGACGGGCGCTGTTGAGGTGTTCGCTTCTCTCGAACCTACCGCCAACTTCTACATTCTTTGAATTATTCTCTGGTTCGGCGCTGCAGGATGCCGCGCATGAACAGCTTCAGTGACGACGGGCGCTCGTTGACACCCGATTTGGACGAGAACAGGATGTCGCTCGAGGAAGAGCACGACGCGCCACCGCCTCCGCCGACGGTGACAGCCGCCGCGCTTCAACGGCCAACGATCGCACCCATCCATACAGCTGTCACCGAGCCCCACGCACCACAGTTCAAATCCCCTCCCTCCGCCGGCAGTCTCAGAAACCGTCTACATTTCCATGGTCCGCATTCACACACTGGGATGCCGCCAATCCCCGGTTCTCCGATGGTCAGCTCGAGTAAGAAATACGAGAGCCCAAAGGCGCATTTCAGGGCTGCAGTACACAAAGTGATGGCCATGCACCGAACTTCGTACATGTTGTCCTCTGGTCCGGCAGGCGTCGGCGCCGAACCTGGTATCGACCCGCGGAGGAGCAGCGCCAACCAGCAATATGGCCATATCTGGCAGAAATGCGTCATTGATATCGTGGACTATTCGCCGTTGAGGGCGAGCTTTGGGAGGATGACGAATGGCGAACTTGTGAGGCTGCTGGACAGCCCGGAGGCAAGCGCTAGGGAGCCCTGGGTTAAAGTCAGGTGGATTAATGTGGCGGGAATTAGTTGGGACGTGATCAGCGCGCTGGCGCTCAAGTATGGTACGTGTCTTACCCGCCTTTGACCTTCCATAATCATTCTGATGGCATATAGACATGCACCCTCTGTCTCTTGAGGATATACTCCATGCCGGTCGCCATGCCCGGTCCAAAGCGGACTACTACCCTCAACACCTCTTCATCCGCGTACTCTGCCACACTTTAGGCTCAGAGTCTTCCCGCGATGATGCGAACATCCAAGACGCTTTCACACCTATGGCCTCCGGAAGCGGCTGGTCTTCGAATGCACCAACTATGACCGGCATGCCCCGCTCATATTCACCACTACCTCTCGATGATAAACTCGGTATCGCGCTCGGCGACGACGAGTCCTTCAACATTGACGACCCGGGACGCACAACGGACCTCGAGTCTGGACGCCCTCACCCACAGCGAACCTTGCTGGCTCGCAAACGCCGCTCGCATGTCGCAGCCCTGACCCTCGAAGAACTCAAACGCGGAGAACGCGTGCCCGTTCGTATTCGGCCCATGTGCATGTTCCTCTTCCGGGACGGCACGGTCATCTCCTTCCACCCCGAGTCCAACTCAACAGAGTTCACGAGGCCGATTATGGAGCGCATCAGGCAGAGAGATACCAGTCTCAGGAGAACGGCAGACCCAAGCTTGCTGGTGCAGAGCCTGCTGGATCTGATTGTGGACGGGGCGCTGGAGGTGGTGGAGGAATATCATGCGAAGATCAATAAGCTTGAGAGGGCGGTGTTGATCAAGCCGCAAGTCAAGACTGTTCGTGACCGTACGTATCCGAACTGCAGTAGCCTTGCCGATAAGTTAACTCTGACGCACATCGCACAGTTCACATTCTTTCCGAGGACCTCATTCTGCACAAGCGTACCCTTGGACCGATCAAGACGCTCGTTTACGGCTTGAGGCGATACGATGTCGACCGCTGCGCAGCACTGGTCGAAGGGGGTTCAACCGAGCCCGTCGTCGGTTACATGTCCCATAAGTCGAACATTTACCTCGCCGACGTCCATGACCACATGGAGTACGCGCTCGCGTCGTTGGACATGTACGCTGCCATGGCGGAGAACCTGATTGGGTACACATTCAACATGGCGAGCTACGAGATGAACAACGTGATGCGGACATTGACGCTCGCAACGGTCATCTTTTACCCGCTTACACTGTTGACGGGTTACTTCGGAATGAACTTCGAGAGCATGTGGAGCGTGCAGCAGAACAGCGACCTACTGTTCTGGAAGATCGCTATCCCCATCATGGTCAGTGGATTCAGACTCTCGTCCTTTAGAGGCGCGCTCATACCCCCCTCTAGGCGGTCGTCGTACCCCTGTTCATGTGGAATGACATTGTACGGGCAACACATTACGTCCAGAAGCGCATGATCGAGCGCAACATCGAGAAAGTATGTAGCTTTAGATGTATCTCTATACTCCTTGACTGACTTTGCTCCACAGAACCTCAATAAGAAGCGTCGCTAGCTTCGTCCTCGCCGGACTGTCCTAGCCTTTACTCCGCCGTTCTTCCTGCCCTTTGCTCCCCTATCGTCATCCTGCCTCTACCGTCACGATTATCTTCCCATCGCAATATAAACCCATTTGCTAGATCCTATTAGATCTCGGACCACGACCATCTCGGACTTGCAAACCCCTCGGACCTCCTCCCACATGTTTATGCTCTCCCCGTCGCACTTTCGGACGTCCGCTCTCACTCACCCTCATTGCTTTCTCTCTGTGGTATGCATACTGTCGCAATGTTTGTCCTCCTCGTCATGACCGCTTTAGCGTACTCTAGTCGCAGCTAGCCCTGTATAATTATATTCGCCCCGAGCCGTACTCGGCGGACGTGCGCCTCATAGCGAGCGTGTTTCGCTCACCACTCGTACCTTTGTCGCGCTTTGCATCTGCATGTGCGCATATTCATCCCATAGTATGTCGCCGTGCTTGTCTGAGCAGCGTCTTCAATGCACTGACCTGGTTCCTGCTGCAAGCAACAGCACTAGCTCTTTCCGACATAACTCCGGATACGACTCTAGATACTCTGAGGTGTTTCATGAGTTCCATGGTTGATCGCCTTCAAGTTCGTCTCAATCCCCCATGTTTGCGGCCAAAAGCGATCTCAATACGTTCTATGGCCTGAAAGGGACCACTGACTTCAAATTTCAGGGCCCGGAACCCCTTTAACGCTTTTGTCATGGCATGAAAGCACAGTTCCCTTTCATGTCATGTCTCTCACCAAGCAGATGCCACTCGGGATATGCCTCGCGAAGCTATATAAGGTTCACTCCGAAGTGAATGCCTGCAACCGAACCCCACATCCCCCATCATGCATTCTTGGGCGTATGCCACCGACAAGCGTGCTCTCACACTTGACGAACTGAAGGTGAGAATGCCGTACGCTTTCCAAGTCAACTCGAAGTCTGACGTGTTATCGAACAACCAGAACGAGTTGCAGAAGACCTTGTCGACGTCCATCAATAAACGCTCCTTCGGACCAGACAAGACCAGCCTGGCTGATGGCTCGATCGACCAGACTAGTATTGCAAACTCGGTCAAGAATTGGAGGGTCGCCGCTTCGAACATCCCTGACGCCCCAAAGTCGTTGCTCTTTGTGCTTGGCGTCCTTTGTCCGTCTATCGACACACTCATCGCCCAACGCGCTAGCCCGCTGAATGATGGATTCGAGGAGAAATCCGCCTCCATACGCTGCCTACAGCATCTTGGTCCCACTCTGGGCCTCAAGGCTTCTCTAGGGCATGTCACCCTGTCTCTATCCGGAAAGGCCTCTACGGAGACATGCCCACGTTGGGACTACGAGGTGGACGGATGGGACGAAGATGAGCTCAATGAACACGAGGACGACGTATGGCTGGACCGCGCTAACATAGACGACGCGTCAATCTCGTGGAAGTTCACGCCTGTAGGTCACAGCGGCACGCTTGAGCCGTCACAGCAGCAGAAACTTGGCACAGTTCAGGTCATCAATAGCGAGCGCGAGTGGATGCCGCAATGGGATGAGCTCAGGGAGCCGGACGAGTCGATGTATACGGGGTGGGAGGGGCGTTATAATGGGGAGCCAGGCAAGTTATACAACGGTACGCTCTCAGATCACTCCGCGTCGCCTCGTTCACCAATCTGTTCACTCAGATTACTACCGCGCCGGTGTACTTCTCACCCTGATTTAATATTAATGGCCTTGTACTTTGGGAATCCGGAAACACCATGTAATACTGGTATACGTTCCCTCGTGTCTTGACTTTGGCCAATGGCTACGTAGTCTGCGAGTATGGATCGTGTGTTTACCAAATAATCCATGAACCCATGTGATCGCGTCTGTGCGGGAAAGTCGTTCCCAGCACAGTTGCCCGCTCAGTTTAAGCGCCCTTCTTCCGTTGCTCTTACTCGCTCAGCTGACAGTAGTCGAGCTTGTTTGGCGTCAGCTTGGATCCGGGAACTCCATACTCTATGCCACTAAAACAAGCAATTCTTGATTCTTGATTTTTACGACGGGACGGGCGCAGCAGCACGCGGGACGTCATTCTGCGTTGACCAACGCGCCGAGCGGCGGCGCCAGACAGAAATCTCATGCCGGCCGGTACATACCCAGTGAGCACTGTGTGAACACTGCTGGCTAGGAGCAACTACGCTCGACTACGGTGACGGGCCACGACCATGCGGTCAGGATGGCGCCGCACAGAGGTAAGGGCAATTGGTAATCCTTCCAAGCCACCGAGCGCATAAGCGAGGTGGCGAGTTCGCGAGTAACAGAAAACGCTTGAGGGTGCATGGGTGGTCGGTGAGCGCAACGAGCGGGTAGGAGAGGTATCTGGGCGAGATGCCCGTGCGAGGATGGCCATCTCGCGTGATCGCGTCGGACGTCCACGACGCGCGCTCGCGCTTCTCCCCCCAACCGTCATCAGCACAGGCAATCGCGATGTTTTGGACAGGTCCGCTGCCGTTCTTCAGCTTAGCTTCTTTTGTTGACCGTTGGTACAGCTTAAATTGGCGCCTCGACATGTGCGATGCTGTCGCGAAGGGCTAGTCGACGCATCGCGGGTCGTTCTCGTACGCTTTATTCTGCTACATCGCTCATAGCCCTTGTTGACAGCCCGCCAAGTAGATTGATCCATCGGCACCATACATCAAGCTCTGATTCCTGTCACCGGGACCCGACAAGCTCCTAATGCTGAGCACTGGCACAGTGCATCCAGCTCGCAGCGGTACTGCCAGTGGGCGCCCATGACCGCTCGTCGCAGAACACTCCCCAAATTTACGATGCCGACGCGCTTTGCATGTGTCTGGCAACTGGTCTCTCGCTGATACCCCAGGCAGTAGGGTATAATAGGTAAGCGACACCAACGCGTCGCCAGCATTTGCCGCAGATTCAATGAATCCGCGGCATTCTCCGAGTTTGATGGGAGCATTGCTCCCGCGGCATCACCGGCCCGGTCCCTCATTCCGCCTCCGGGCACCTGTAACGTACCTAGCATAGCGCGGCGTCGCCGTCCAGACCTGTGGCTGTGAATAAATGTTAAGAAAACTTTTCCTGACTGCCCGTGTGGCAGACTACCGTCACCTGTGGTCGACCTGCGCTCGGGTATCATCTCTTTTATTCATGCCACCCGAATCTCTGCGAAACGCTCGGCACGTCAGGCATCGATCTCGATACCCTAAGCAATACCTTGACCTGAAGTGCATTTGAAGAAGCCCGCTCACCCACGTCTGCTCGCCTATCAGAATTGTGCAGGGCGGCTGCGTCTGCCGCCGTCGTCTGGTCTCTCGAGACTCAAGAAGTGCAGCGAGCGCAAGCGTTCTACACCACGTTCCTCAGGCCCTAGTCGGGCGCCACCCGCTGGGTCTTCGACCACGTCGACGTGACCTCGCAGCCCAACTAAGAGCCTCCTGTCCATGGCCAGATGATGCGTCTCCCGAGCTCTCCGCCACCCAATCCAACCGCGTACACTACAAGCTCATCGCACCGATCGGCCAGCCCTCTCACGGCCTCTTCGCTCGTCTTCGGACTGCCTGATTGATATATTCAAATAAGTTACTCGCTCAAACCGGACCGACGCTCTCCATCCAGAGGTACATGCGCGGAAAGCGCACACGAGGCGGAAACGCGTGACGTCATCTTTCCAGACGCGTCGACCGACGCGTCGCGCCCGTCTGGCGGGATGCGCTGATGCGGCGTGCGGCGTGCGACGATCTCGAGCATTCTTCCTGTCATGGAGGAGCGCCCGTATAAGAGCGCCCAAGAGCCATAAACGCGCACTTTTGTCTGCGCCACCATCATCGGCTCTCACTGGACGACGCTCCCGCTTTTCAACTCAACTCGTGTTCAAACAAAATGACGAGGTCAGACGCAGAGGTCATCGAGCTCTTCCATGAGCAGGTGAATATGAGTGCGGATGAGCTCGAAGCTTGGCTTGCGGATCCGCAGAGCAAGAAGGCAGGCACTGGAGTCGGGCATGATAGCGGAGAACACATCGTCAAGATCTTGCGCGGGAACCCGGACAAAGACCCGGAGAAGTACTCTGCTGTGCGTATGCCCATTCCTCATGCTCTAAATCTGCTCGTTGCTGAGTAGAGTGTAGGAGGACCTCGAACATATGCACAAGGTTGTCGCGTGAGTACGGCCGAACAACTGACTTGACCGCCGACGCTGAACAGGCGTTGGCAGATACAACTCGCGTCATCTGAAGCAGGAAGATCATCTGAAGGATACCAAGACGACAGAGGAGCTTGAGAAGACAAAGAGCACCATTAGGTACTCCCACATGCTTCGCGCGTCTACATGCATCACTCATAACACGGCGTACAGCCTGAAGAACTGGGGTCACGACCCTGTCAAGGTGAAGAAGCAACAAGACGGCGAACTTCCCGCCAATGGCGATGACGGCGCCGATCCTGCAGAGCAGAAAGCCGATGGAGAAGATGAGCCGAAGGGGGATGCGGCGTCGGGCGAGACTGAGGAAGTGCAGCCTGTAGCGGATGAGAAGGAGGAGACCGGCGAGGCCGCGGCAGATGCGGACATGAGAGAGACGGTAGGGTCATGATCTCTGCATGTGCACATTCACGCTGAACATCATTCTTAGGAGAACGGCGAGGGTGAAGAACAAGCCGCGGCAGAAGACGGCGAGAGCGCGGATGTGGGGCAGAAGCGCAAGCGTAGCCTACGCTCGGCGGACAAGCCCGCGTCGAAGGGTAAGCCCGAGTCGCAGGCGGAGCCCAAGGCAAAGCATGCGCGCACGTCGAGCAAGGGCGACGGTACGTCGAAAGAGAACCCTGTGACGATAGACGAAGAGTCTTGACGGGTCTTCTCCGAATGCATGGAAGACGGGGCTGTAACATCTCTTGTACGATTGGTCGTCTTGATATACGATAATCTCGAAGTGCTGTATCTTGACGTGTAAGATGTCGGTTCGGTACCCTCTCCGCGCATTTGTATGGTAAGTCGCCGCGAAGACGAAGAATAGCTGGGTCGGTCAGAAGTTAGAACAGTCTGCTACAGCGTGAGCATCACATCGAGTGCCACCCACGACAAGGGTCGCCAAGGACTGTATACACCTCTAACAAAAGAGTATCAGTCAGCAGCAGCCAACGGCTGACTGTATATCACACTCGGCAGGGAAATGTCAAAGAAGGCGCCGACCCTGAAGGCGCATGACGAGGAGGGACAACACCGAAGAGCTTCTATCGCTGATGAGCGCCGTGGCAAAGCGTAAAACGCTGTCCGACCCAGCCTTCGCTGAATGCAGACCATGTTGTTCGGGAAGGCACCCCTGAACGCGTCGACCGAGGTGTGATAGACTGTGAGGCGCGGGAGGCCGTAGGCCGCCCGCGGGTCACGACGATCCTGGGCATAAAGAGGAGTGGGAGGTTGTGCGGTGTCTGCATCCAGCTCAATTAGCATTCACACACTACATACACTACTATCATGCCTGAACCGATCATCTACTATGATATGCCACGCAACGGCGCCGAGAATATGACGGACGGCGAGCAGAGCTGGAGTCTCAACACCTTGAAGTATGTCTCCTCTTGAACGTCCTCATCTATCTGCCGAGCTCACCACCCCTGCGCAGAACACGGTATGCTTCCTCCTTCACGCCTCTTCCAGCAACGCATAACCTAACATATCCATATTAGCTACGCCCTAAACATCAAAGGCCTCCCTTACAAAACCGAATGGCTCTGCTTCTCTCAGGTCGCGCCCAAGATGAAAGAGCTCGGTCTAGGCCCGCACCCCTCCAGCATTGGCGCCAAAGGCATAGCCTCCATCGCCTACTCCGTCCCCACCATCGTCGACCCAAACAACGCCGGGCACATCCAAACCGAGTCCTTCGCCATCGCACAGTACTTGGATGCCAAGTACCCCGACACGCCGAAGCTCGTTCCGGCTGGAACCGCCGCGTTGCAGCAAGCGTATCTCGATAACGTGTTCAGGCCGCTCGTCGGCGCTTGTTTCCCGATCATATGCTATCCCATCTTCGAGCAGTGCTGTATCGCGCAGGCCGACAGCGACCATTTCCGGCGGACGAGGGAGGAATGGTTCAACGGGACCAAGCTCGAGGATATCGCGCCGCAGGGAGAGAAGGTCGGCGAGGCGTGTGCGGAATTTAGGAAGCATTTGGATGTGATTGCGGGGCATGTCGCTGCGAACGGGCCGGACGCTGGGGTGCTGATCAGTGGAGGGGAGACGCCGAATCATGCGGATACGAGTATCGCGGCGGTGTTGATTAGCGTGGTCAAGCTCATGGGAAAGCAGCATGAGCTCTCGAAGGTCATATTGGAGCATCCGTGGGCGGGGAAGTACTTACAGGTCTTCTCAAAGTGGGAGTGAATGAAGAGCGTTCGGAACCTTGTATAACAATGGATAAACATGTGTTGGGACACTATAGCAATGCGAGCGATGAGTACACAACAACGATAGCAATGAACATTTCACGATCTCCTTCCAAATAAGCCAATAATCTACGTGGGCGTCTCCTTGCACAGATCCCACTCCCTCGTCGAGCCTCGCTTCTTGTACGCGATATCCAGCGCGCTGACGCCTCCGCCCCAAGTCTCGGGCGCAGGGCTACTTGTCCCGCTCTTCCGACTCTTCTTGTCAATCTTGTCCAGACCGAGTGCCTTTCGCTCGCGCCGCTCCCTGATGACTTCGAGCATAGCTTCCCAGCCGTCAAACTCAGAGCCTTGTACGAGACCAGTGGCAGGGACCTTCGGCGTACTGGATAGCGGGGCGACGTCGAGACGCGGGTCGTAAGAGTCTTCGAAGTACTTGTCCATCTTCGAGGGCACCATTGGTGGGAGCGGAGGTGCAGGTGCAGGAGGCTCAGGCGGACGATCCTTCTTCGAGGACTTCTGCCGTTTGGGCGATGGAGGTGGCGAGAAGCGCGGTCGGGGTGGTCGAGGCGGCATGGGTGGAAGCAGAGAAGACGACTTCTTCGAGGGCCTCGCGGCAGGCTGCGGTGAAGGTGGTCCGGGAGGTGGTGATGGCGGTCCTGGCGGTGGAGGCGAAGACGGTTCTTGAGGCTCAGGTTCGGCTTTTGCCTTGCCCTTCTCTCTTCTCCGTGAGTCGGAGTCGGGGCGGTCGACAGATCTCTCATGCGACCCAGATTCGGACAGGGTCTCAGAACGCGGTGCATCACGGTCAGGGGAACGGGAGGCACGTTGTCCAGACGAACCATCGTCGCGTGCGCTGCCATGCTGCCGTTCAGAGTTCGGCGTACGCGAACGATGCCGCCTCTTGCGTGGAGGTAGGTCTTCTTCGGCATTGTCCGGCGAGCGAGAACGTCTGCGAGTCCGCTGCCCGTCGTCATCGTCTTTCCGAGACGAACGTCTGCTACGATGACTGCGGTGGTGATCTCTGTCTTCGTTGTGGCGGGAAGAGCGTTGGCTACGGTGCCGGCGGCGATCATCGGCATCACGCTCTTCCCTGTCACCCGCGGGCCGGCGGCGGCGATCATCTTCATGTCGCCGCGACGGGCGCTCCGTCGAGCGCTCGCGGCGCCGATGCCGACGGTCACGTTCTTCGTCCATATCCTCGTCCTCCTCGTCTCTCCTACTTCTCCTTCTCCGTCGCCGCTCATAGTCATCATCTTCCTCGTCATATTCATGGCCTCTTCGCTCCCAACTTCTCTCCCGCCGTTTGCGGTCGTCCCGACGACGAGATGATGAAGAGCCAGTATCGCGTCGGGCACGTTCTGCAGCCACAGCCTCCTCAGCTCGTGCACGTCGCTCTGCCCGTTCGCGTGCCTCCTTCTCGGCACGTATCTCGGCGGCGCTCTCCGCCTGAGCCCGGAGTATTGTGCGGTTGTGGTCATCGGTATTACGGATGATGTTCGAAAGGAAGCGCTTGTTCGTACGCGGACCCTTGCTATCTTCACTACCACAGACTGTCAGATAAATTCACTTAACGATACAAATATTATATACGCACTAGGAGTAGCCAGGCAAGAACGCGCGAATCCCGTCCTCAGCCTTGTACTTCTCCACCTTCTCCTTCGCCTCCTTCATAATCAACTCCGCAACATGCCGGTCCAAGTCTGTGTCGTCTACACTCTCAGAGACAGCGGCACCCATTTGTGCCCGGACGAGGCTGGAGACTACGGAGGAGAGGGAGCTGCTTGCCATCGCATGCAAGTCAGAGTTGTGGCTGGAAGCAACCTGGCCGCCGTCAACGCGGGAAAGCTTTCGGTACTCCCGGCCCGAGGCTCCGCGGCTACAAGCTCACGTTCAGCTCTCGCCAGCGACCACCACCTGCAAGAGTACACGACCGCTGTCTTCCTCGCGACATCCAAATGAGGCCTTGGCCTGATGCTCAACCTGACTACGCAGACGACACATCTATCGGTCGACATCGCCAACGTACTATTCTATGCGATGGCGTCGGAGGCCAATTCTCAGGCTGGTTAGCCGCTGCTCTATTCCGATCCGATTTTGAATTAAGCTGTCCTTGCTTCCGCAACTCTGACCGCCGGGACCATGACGCCTGGAAGACCGTGATATATAAATTAAGCAGATCGTGCCAGATACATCCCTTTGGCACAAACTTCCGGCGGTTCGAATTCCACGCCAACTGGGTTCAACCCCGCACTCACTCCAGTATCCCCTGCAAACCTCCCGGTTTCTTATCCACTTCATCCACTTCAACGAATGTATCAAGGATCCGATTATGCGATGCGTCTTCGTGGCTGTCGTCGGCACCTGAAGGGGCAAAACGTATCGAGGTGATGGCATGGGCGGACTGGCTCGCGACACTGCGCTCAACCAATGACTCCCGCAAGGACACAAGAAATATGATGAGGGTAGGATACATCCCCTACATGACTATGTCAGTATCACGTGTGTATTCGAGATGTAGCTACATGCAACGCGTACCGATATCTGGCACATTATGGCTGTCGCCCAGTAGAATGCAATCAATGCTGATTCGTTGCCGGTTTCGATTGCCCCAACGTAATTTGCATATACGTATAGCACGCGAAGAAACGTATAAGCAGCACCTGTCTCAATTATGACATATAGTATTGCCCCTGGTCGCTGATGCTTAGATGAGCTTCGCCGGTTCGGAAGCAGGTCGTTCAGCTGCCGCCGATGTATCCTGAGATTAAGTGGCATGACTTTTAGTAGTCTTCTTACCTATAAGCGTATAATCAGCCTACCACGCCTTCCATGCAAGCAGAATAGTTGCGAGTAGCTGGGCACAAGCTGTCGTTGACAAAGTTGTGGCCTGCACGATCAAGGCCAACTTTCCTCCGTCAATCTCCCAGTATCGTATCCAGAATGCAGGAGATGGACTGTCGCTTTCACCGCCGTATCTGCCAAAGATCATCATCTCGTTTAGTATGTATAGAGCTACAACGTTGCGTCAGCACAGTCAATACCAAGCGTTTCGATGTTGACACTACGACGCACCAGTAGATAGAGTGATTGCGATGATAGAGACGACCTTGAGCCAGCGTGGTTTCCCATATATTAGGTAGGCTCTCCAAAGAGCTACAATGTCGCTCATGAAGATCTGAATTCGCTACGTATCAGGCCGAGGTAGCGCTGAGGAAGGTTGATGATCTCACAGTGATCACTTCGCAGGCGTCGTGTGCGGTCTTGATACCACCGTCCAGCTTCTCGATAGCCAAGCCGGCCGAGATCTCTGGAACAGTTGACGATAACCGGCTCGGAAGGAGCCGATACATCTCCAGCCAAAGCACGGACACGTCAAGAGCCCACGTCACCGTTGAGAGCACGAATAGGACAAAGGATATGACGAGGATCCACCAGACACGTTGGGTGTGTTTCCTGGTGAACATCGCTTAGTGACGATCGATAATGAGCATAACTGAGAGAACTCATACATGTAGAATCGCAGACAGTAGAAGATCATGAGCGCGACATACAACGCTAGAATTGTGCTGTTCAGTCCTCAGACTACACTTATCAGCTAAGCGTGTACGCACCATAAAGCATGCTTTCTAGTAGAAGAGGGAACATCCGGTATGTTGCGATGTTCCAGACATCTTGCACGACCTCTTCGCGCTGCTCTGTCACGAAGGTAGGATCAAAAGAGTCGTTGAGATCACCACGTCGAGACAAAATGGTCATCGGTATGGCTCATAGAGCTCGCTGGACAGTAAGAAGTGCTTATATACTTCACATCGATCAGGAAGCGAACACAGCCGGTCGTGGTCCGTCGGGTCACAATTTGATAGAATACCGATGTGAACCTGCTCGAGGAGTTGTCCGCTCGGACCTTGAGCGGAGCCCAAAGGAGGAACTTCGGAATCGATGGTATAGCGACCCATGCACCCGCCTGGAAAGACGAGCAGCAGGGAATCAAACATGAGGCCTAGGGTAAGCCGGCGTTGTCGATGTGCATAGCGCGTCGCCCTCCATGCAAAGAAGTCGAAGAAGCAGAGGCCCACACGCTTCCTATTGCCTCGTATCGCGCGCAATCACATCTACCTGTCTACGCCTACTAGCGTTCCCTGCGCGTATCGTCCATCTATCTGCGATATACAGCTAGATAGCTGTGTCTCCCGGCCCCGCACGCCCGCATGTGGTTCCATGGCACATGCGTGTGGATGCTGCTATCATTCTGCGAAGATGCTAGTTGCGAGGGACGATGCATACTATAGCCTTATGAAGACGGGGTTACGGAAGAACATATATCACTGACCGTACAATTCCCATAACACGAAAGTCCTTGAGTCCTAACCATTCCAATCCCTGTGGCAGATCCTACTTCTCCAAGATGTCGCGAGCTCATCGACCATGCACCTTTGAACTCCGGGATAGCCTTGGCGTCCACGAAACGATCGTACGTCCACTGCCCAACCAAACACCACATGTCCAGCATTCGAAGTCCTACCGGAAGCGGTCAGTATGCGCCAGGCGTGACATGTGAGCGCGACGTACGTCGTCTTGGCCTGTTCAGTCGAACACTTCCCCCACGGGCATACAATACAACACCCAATGTGCCGCCCACGTCTTCTTGCACAGCTCATTGCGGAAGACGAGCAACTCGCCACACGCCTTCGCATGGTTCACCGAGTCAGCATCGATGGGCGCAATTACTAACGGTCTACCTGGACTTGGTTCGTTTAGCCATTGCATGATAACCAGACTGACACGAAAGTGGGTGCAGGACGGGCGCTTGACGAAAGGAGCGGTCACACCGCCATTATCCCCGGTGCCAGCGAGGCGCAATGGAGCACCGCATGTTGCGTCTTCTCTCAATTGAGACGACGCATTTCCGTTCTCACATCGGGCGCAGGGAGAGAGTCACCGTAGCGGACAAGTCAGGATGGTGGCCAAAGGCCGCCGCCGTCAGCGCGGGAAATCTTCCGGTGCACCGGCCCGAAGTCACTGATCTATTGCGCGTGATGTATAGCTTTCCAGACCGTATATAGCAATAAAATCTCGACCGAGCGCACTGATGGCAGACAGACTCTAAGTACGTGCTGGTGTTCGAGGGATGCCCTCCATTTTTGACTCCGAAAGCGATAAACCTTCGGATCCGGATAGAGACTGCTCAGTGTCTGTGGACCACTCAGAACCGGTACGAGGAAATCCAGCATCGATTGAACCGAGTGCAAGACGCATGGAGATGCGACCGAGTTCCGACGATGCGTTCAGGATACTGCGCTCAAGGAATGACTGCTGTACTGAGACCATAAAGACGATGAGGGTAGGGTACATTCCCTGTGTGAGCACCATCAGCGCTGGTCCCGCGGTTCATTGTGTCCACGAAGCATACCGATATCTGGCTCATGAAGGCATTCACCCAATAGTACGCGGACTGCCCGAGTATCGCGCTGTGCGTTCCAAAGTTTGCGAGGACGTAGAGCACGCGCAGGCATGCATACACGACGCCAGTCTCGGTGATGATGTGCAGAACGGCCAGTAGACGCTGATGTCTGGGCGAGTCGTGCCGATCTGGTACGAGCTCCTTCAGCTGTCGTCGATGTATCCTGTAGGCACATTCTGTATCAATGCTATGGAAATCCCCCCGGCGCAGGCGAATGCATACCACGCTTTACGGGCTATGAGTCCCGTTGCGAGCACCTGGGCGGATGCAGTTGCGGACATGGTCAAGGCCTGGACAGCGATTGCCAACCTTCCCCCGTCGATGTCCCAATATGGCACCCAGAACGTGCGTGTCACGGTCATCGCGGAACTGCTCGAGAAGCGAGCGTGAATCATGGTCTCGTTGACAATGTATAGCCCTGCCAAGCTGGTTAGTTCAGGCTAGTCCCACGAGCACCTTTGACATGATCATACGCACCAGTAGAGAAGGAGACAACCACGACAGAGACGATCTTGAGCCACATCGGTTTATTGTAGATAACGTATGCCCTCCACGAGGACACGATGTCACTGAGAGATATCTGAGTCTCCTATTAAGAAGTGAACTCGACACATAGACGATCTCTAGACTCACGATGATGATCTCACATGCATCATGCGCCTTGAAGATACCAGTAAGTCTGCCGATGGTCCGATCTACTGACGCATCGGATGCTGTCTGCAATAGGCGACCCGAAAAGAGCTGATAAGCATCGAGCCAGAGCGTTGATACATCGAGAGCCCACGCTAGAGTCGAGAGTATATATAAGCCGGCAGATATTGCGAAGAGTGCCCACACACGCTGAGTGTCGCGTCTAGAAACGAGTCCGGGTTAGGCAAGATCGTAAGATACCTGACTTAGACGCCAACGCGAACCTGTAGAACCGCAGACAGTAGAAGATCATTAGGGCCGTATAGAGCGCTGCAAGAAGGTCGCATCAGACGGGTGACCATACACAATGGACGATCATACTCACCAAATAACATGCTTTCCAGCAGAAGGGGAAATGTGCGGTACGTGATAATGTCCCAGAAGCCTTGCGCAATGTCTTCGAGCTGCTCCGATGTGCTGATAGAGTTCAGCGCGCCGCTAGTCTGGTCACGGTAGTATAGACGAGGCATATTCGCACTTGGGTTGACGCTGGCCATTCGTGCGATCCTGATCATACTTATCGAGTGCTATAGGAGCACCGCCGCTCATGCCATTTCTCATACGAAACCTAGTTCAATGAGTTTCACTAGTGACGCGATGCTGCATACAACGTCCGACATTGAGATAGCCGGCGGTCTTTTGCACTGCTCGAGATGACAGAAGGAAAGCCCGAGCGCCATAGTAGCCCGAAAATGCACGGCTAATTCGGTCGTTTCAGCTAACGCGTGTCTCCGGGACGCGCTGGGTGGCTATGTTGTCTCGGCCATAGAACCTCCGTTCTCTGTCAATATACGAAGTTGGGTCCAAGCTTGGCACAAGCGTCGGAGGACAGGGATGGGTGTCAGCCTCGCGTCATTGATCCTGCGAATATAATCCCCTGGGACCCATACGTCCCTATACGGGTCGTCATCGCACGTTCAACAGGTTCAATTCGGTCATTGAACTACTGGCTCCCATCCCGCAACCATGTCCAAGCCAGCTGACCCTGCACCCGAAGTGGTCCGAGAGTACGAGCATGACGAAGGGGAGGAGAGTGACGAGTATGATCTCGATGCGAGTTCATTCACCGGCGCCAAATGTATAGTATTGGCGCTCATGCTCAGCACACAGGAAGAGAAAGACGAGGAGACCGGCGGTTTCGAGGATGACGTAGAAGACGAGGGCGATGAAGAGGGCGAAGAAGAGGGCCAGGTACGTTGCCGGTTCCCCAGATGGAGAAAGGTCTTCCTGACGCGTTTCTACAGCGGGGGAGCAGCTTGACGGCGCTCCTGCTCGGCGGTAACGGTGAACAGGTTCGTGTCTTATATCACGCGTATGACTAGTTCATTCACAGTGTACTCAGGATGACGATGAGGAGGACGAAGAGGAAGATGAATATCAAGAGGCGCCGGAGAAGGTGGCCGTTGGAGAGAAGCGCGCGCGCGAGGCGGAACTGGAGGAAGAGGACGGAGAAGCGAAGAAGGTCAAGGTTTGACCGTAGCCAGCGATGTTCTACAAGTGTTGTATCCATACTGTACATTATACATCAGACGAGCCTCCAATGAATCAAGCCTAGGTGTCCTTCTCAGGGCACAATGATCTCCTCCTTCCATTCCTCCCCGAAGCGCCTAAAGCGCGTTCGCCTGTTCGGCCGGATGGCCATCTGCACCCAATCAACTTCACTTGGCTCCAAAATGACAAGGGCATAGTTTCTGAACGCCTCCTCCGACAGCTTCTTTTCCTCGTCTGTCTTCGCCTCGGACAACTTCTTCACCGTAGTCGGCCACTCGTCCATAGCGGGGTATCCTCCCGGCAACGCTTCTCCCGGCGGCGGGCGGCACCAGCTCGCGCGCATATGTTCGGAAACGGCTTCGAACTGCTCCCGCCGCTTTGCCTGCCAATCAGCCCCCGCCGCATCGTAAGCCGCGAGCGCGGGACAGTCCGGCGGCGCGGGCGTGGACGAGGGAAGCGATGAACCAAGTTCGGGAGATGGCACAATGCGCATGCGGCCAGCGATGCGGAACTGGTCGCCAGATGCGTCGATCCACCAGCAGAGCTCGACGAACGAGTGGGCGGCGAGCTCGCGCGTCTTGGGCGTGCGCGCGTCGGTGGACGAGATCAAGAGCGGCAAGCCGGGTTTGCCTTCGACCTCCATGAAGTCACGATTGATCATAGATCGTACATGCGGACGATTCTGCGCGTCGACAGTCGCAAGCTGAAATACTGGCGGACAAACATTAGATTAAGTCCGTGAATTGGGACTGTATGGCGTACGGGTAGACTTGGCATGTTCATCTGTGGCCTTCTTCAAGGCGGTCAACCAACGTGGTGCGGGAGACATGATGAGCGTAGTCCCGGTGGTCGTGGTCTGCTGTAGAAGCTGTCGAAGGCGTCTGTGCGCTGTTCGCGAGTTCACGTTCATAGATTGCAACACATCGACCATTCGGATTCGACTACTCGGGTTTACTTTGACATCGACGCGTGACGTCAGACTAGAGCGCTCAACTGATGGTGCAAGTCGTGTGCGAAAACCACGAATATACGGCAGATCAGGACAGTCACGGATGGTACAGAAAGCCAGAGCAGTTGTATTTTTGGTACAGTACATAGTGCGTGTGGGACAATATAGGACAGCGGGGAGGACTATTCGAATAGCCGATGTCGCGGCACGGGGTGAAGCTAGTCAAGAGCAAGTCGCCTGCAGGAACGTCTCGTGTTTTGAAGCTATTGTACAGCTCTAAAGGGCGGGAAACATTGATGAGTGCACGGAGAGGAGCAACGCTCGCGTATTTGAATCGCAGTTGTGTATAATCCTGCCGCCTCAAGGACGTCTCTATCACGATGCGGCGCGCACAGAACTTCTTGCGCCGGGTTTCTTCAAGTCCTTAGCGATGTTCTGCGATTTATCGTTCAAGCCTCGATCTGCGGGTAGGAAAGGGTTGCAACGTACTCTGAGCGTCCGAGCAATCCAGAGCCTTTTCAAGTGGCGTACGCCGCGCATCAGGTCTTGCCAGAGAAACAGCGGGAGGCAAACGATGAGGACTGGAAGCGCGATCTTCCAAAAGAGAAGATCACTGTGCTCTTGAACACTCCACATGCTGGTGAAGTTCATGCCCTATATCACAAAGAACCATTAGTTATGGCTGAAGGACAATCACAGGACATCTAGTTGCCAATGAACGTACGAAATAACCCGTGAGCAGAGTGAGCGGGAAGAATATAACCGTGACCAGATTGAGAGATCGCATAGCCTTGTTCATCTCATAGCTAGCCATCTGTGTGAGGTAGTGAGCATTTCCTTCGAGATACCAGAGCCGTCATGAATAAGTACATACGTCGAATGTGTACTCCATGAGATTCTTGGTTATATCCGCGTACATGTCCAAATTCGCAAGCGCGTACTCCATGTGCTCCTGAACGTCGGCGAGGTAGACTTTTGCTTCGGGAGTGATGTACGGGGAGACCGACTGGCCACTCTTCCGGCGGCCCATGGCGACTGCGGATCGTTTCGCATCCGAATCCTTGAGTACGGACACGAGTGTCTTGATCGGTCCCATCGTGCGTTTGCGAAAGATGATTTCTGCGGACAGGACATGAAGCGCGCGCACTGTTGGAACTTCGGGGGCTTTGAGCACCGCACGCTTTAGGTCTTGGATTCTGACACGATACTCGTCCGCCACCTCGAGAGTGCGGTCGGCCACCAGATCGAGAAGGCTTTGCAGCAGCAGTGAAGCGTCCGCTGTCTGTCGCAGGAGACTACCGGCTTGGCATAAGCGACGAGAGATGGGTGTGGTGAAGCTTAAATCGGGGCCAGGGGCGAAGGTGATGATCGTTCCGTCCTGATACATGAAGACGTCGAGTAGCTTCAGATCAACGTCAACCAGATCATCCCCCTGCTGCCAAAGTTTTGCCGCATTCGCATCGGTAGGATATGTCGGCGGATTCGAGCTGACTCTCGAAGGGTTGCTTCGACCTGCTTCTACATCCCGAATACTGTCCATACCGATGTCGGACTGGGAGCCGGTCGTAGCAGAGGTAGGGTGAGTTCCATCGATGGACAAATGGTCCCGCAAGGTACGTGCACGGTGTATCGGGGTAGAGGAAACTCCTTCGATTGGCGACACGTCGCGCAAAGAGGACAGAGGGGATTCGTCACCGTCGTTGCCTTGATCGTCTGCGCTGTCCTGGGAGCTCCTGACTAGGATATGGGCCAGCACACGCAGGTGGAGATGTTCATGATAATAATCAGACTTGGAACGTGCACGATCATGCTGTCGAAACAAGCTCTTGACTGCGATCGGGTGCATGGCTATCTTTGAGTGAGTCACAAATCAAGGCAAGATAGAAATGTGGAGAGACTGACCATGCATCTTGGCAATGGTAAATAGTACCTCGAAGTCAATACCGGCCACGTTGATCCATCGCACATTCCTCCCTTCCGACCGTGACTTCTGTCCTTCGCCCGCCACCCAAGCTGCAAAGGCCGTGTTATCCATGACGCCTGTAGCGTTATGAATCTTCGACGAATAATCTATAACCTCGATCTCGCAGTTGGTACGAACACCGCCGTACAGTCGTCGAGATGCCTCGAGGTTCAAGTCCACACCCGGTTCAGGCTGAACGACGTCGCGAGAGTGGGATACATTGCTGTGTTTTCGAAAACGGCTGTCTGTGCTGGATTTGAGCGGAGACGTAGGAGTAGTCGAGGTGGATGAGGGAGAGTGGCCCCACTGTTCCGCCCTCAGGTGCGTTTGAGGACTAGTAGGCGCGGGGTGATGAGGAGGAAAAGGGATATCTGTCTGGAGTCGTAAAGCTTCTCGTGGCTCGTGAGACGCAAAGGGTGTTTGTACTGCCGTTCTTGAGTCCGTATCATGTCGGTCAACGAAACTTGAACTCACCAGGAGTCACCTCGATTATCGGGGGCGATGACGGTTGTGTGGTGCCGTGTTCATCCTTCTTGTCGACGCGCTCTGGAGGACTGAGCATACTCAAATGAGCCTGAGGGTTATGGCCGTCACTGTAAGACACGTCCAGTTATGCGAAGGGATCGGAAGGGATAACTTGGACCTCCCGCAAAGGAGAACAAGGATAATATACCATGGCGAGGGTCCGTGGCAGGGCGGGAAGGGGTTACAAGGCCCGGGTTGACATTAATGGAAGGACTACGTTCCATGAACATAGGATGGAATGTACGCAATTGCGACTGAATTGTTATCTGACACGTGTTGTGCGTCGTGTCAGTCTATACCACACCTGAACGTCAATATCAGGATAGAGTGCTCGCCGGAAGGCGTCCGGTAAGCCCCGCCATGTCGATAGAGAGATCCTTCATCTAGTGACCCCTTCAAGGACGGCTTGCCTTCGTACCGTCCACCATTCCACTTAGCATTCACGCTCGCAGCCCAGTCTTCACTGCGCAGAGGTAAGAGAGAGCCAGCGTAAGGACATCGAGCTTGACATGCTTGACAGCGGAAACGGAAGAGTATGAAGACGCCTGCTGCGTGCGTTCAGAATCCGCCAATCGGTGCGGGGCTGTGGTGGTCGTCTGTTGGAAGTTCTTGAACGTGGCTTCTCGTTAAGCGCTGATGATCTCACGTGGGTAAACGTTCCTTGTCGACTTCCACCGGCAGAAGCATCCGGAAACTGTGAAACTCGTATCTATATTCGTTATTCACGCGTCCATCGATTACAATACATCGACGCTATGAGCGCTGCTCGGGTTCATGTCGCCACCGACGTGTGTGACTCTGTGATGTAATGCGTAAATGCACAAATCGAAGGCAGAAGTACGCTCGCAGATCATCATCCTCTGAGCACAGCACAAGGAGCGCGGATATATCGTAGGAGCAGGAGCACAGTTACATAAGGAGACATGATGTGAGCGTTTAACAGAGCACGTAGTGGGTGGGTTGGGACCTTCAGATATCGAACGAGACGATGGTCAGGTGCATATATATATATGATGGGAGAGGACGCATTCAAGCCATCTTGCGCCATTTTCCGTCCCGAGTCACATTCTGAAATTCATGTCAGCACCCACGCCTAACTCGTGCAAGACCATGACATACCTTCTTAATTCTACGCGCAAGCCAACGCTTCTTGAGATAATGCGCGACGCGCATGATATCGCCCCAAAGGAAGAGCGGAATACAAATAGCGAGCACGGGAAGGGCAATTTCCCAGAACAGGATGTCGCTATGCCCGTGTCCAATACTCCACATGAATTGGAAGTTCATGCCCTGGATGAAGCTCCGTCAGCTAGAGCGTTCAAGGGCGGTAGATCCATGAGTACATACGAAGTAGCCAGTGAGCAAAGTTAATGGGAAGAAGATGACGGTCACGAGCGTCAACGAGCGCATGACATTGTTCATGTCATAACTAGCCATCTATACAATCATATCAGCACCTCGGCCTAACCCATCTCTGACTGGAATCCCACATACGTTGAAAGTATAGCCGATGAGGTTCTCCGTCATAGCGGCGTACATGTCCAAGCTCGCGAGAGCGTACTCCATGTGGTCATGTACGTCCGCCAGGTAGACATTCGCCTTGGGTGTCATATACGAGAACTTCTCGCCGGGTCCGAGTGACATAACCGCAGCACACCGATCCGCATCGTATCGTCTCAAGCCGTAGACGAGCGTCTTGATAGGCCCCATGGTGCGTTTATGCAGAATGAGGTCGCCTGATAGAACGTGAAGCGCGCGCACGGTCGACACCTTGGGCTTGATGAGCACGACGCGCTCCAGGCGTTGTATCCTCCTGTGATACTCCTCCGTGACCTCGAGGGTACGATCAACGACAAGATCGAGTAAACTCTGGACCAGCAACGAGGAGTCGCCAGTCCTCCGAAGCGAGGTATCACGTTGTCGCACACGGGCAGTGATAGGCGCTGTGAAGCTCAAGTCCGCGCCGGGATGGAAGGTGATGATTGTCCCATCGGGGTACATGAAGATGCTCAGTGGCGCCAGTCGTACATCGACGCGGTCCGCTGCCTTCAGCTGTGCAAGTGTTGCGGCGTTGGCAGCGACTTTGCGTGTGCGGGAGTTGAATGAAGAGATGGAAGAGTTACGGCGGGCAGACGGCGATTCGCCGGCCTCCGCATCGGCGTAAGGATCCACAGAACCGTCGTATTCCGGACGTTCCTCCTCTCGTACGCTGCTTGACTTCTCGCCGTCCATGGGTTCAGGCGAGGCTGAGCGCGGCAGATTGGTGAGTGTGGTCCCGGAAGACCATGTCGGTGTCTTGCTGCTCGCGTTCGAGACGGGCGAGACTTCGTTGTCAGAATTATCTCCGAGCGTGTGCGTCAACACGCGAAGGAACATGTGCTGAGCATAATAATCCGCTTTGGACCTTGCTTGAGCACGCTGATGCAGCAAGTCCTCTAGAGCAAGAGGGTGCATGTCTATAGGGATACAATCAGTTAATTAATTGTTGATGCTTGGCGAATATCGGCCTCACTGACCGTATTTCAACGCAAGCGCAGTAATCACGTCGTAGCTGATCCCCGCGATGTTTATCCATCGGACCTTCGCCCACGCCGGGCGCCTACTCTTCGTATCGTCCTCCGCCCATCGCGCTAGCTCCGCGTTGCCCATGGTTACGCTGGTTGTGCGCAATGGGGAATAGTCCATGACCTCGATCATGCACCGAGCGCGCACACCGCCGTAGAGCTGTGCAGCCGTATCGCGGCGGACGTCCACACCCGGCTCTGCACCAATGGCGTTGCCCACCATGTGGAATGATGCGCGACGCATAGCCATGACTTTGTGCGCCGCCGCGCGAAAGCGCTCCTTTGGCGTCCCGTACTGTTGCTTGATAGAGACATGCGTCGGACGGTGGAGGTGGAGGAAGTGGTGTCGCGACTTGTCCTCGCTATTCGGCGACCGTGCCACATTAGACGTCGTGCGAGTGCGTTCAGCTGAGGTATGCGCAGCAGGATGAGCATGGGAGGTTGTATCAACAGTCGGCCGTTGCGGCGACACCGGCGACCGCACAATGCCGTGCTCTTCTTCCTCGTCCTCACGATCCGAGAAACTGGGAGTAAGCGAGCGGCCCTCGTCGCTGAAGCTATTCTCGCGTGGCATGTTGGAGAAGATGGAGGCAGGAGGCAAGGATCACTCAGTGCGCGTGAGCATGGGGACCTTTCATGACAGCCTCGAGGTTGGCGCGACGGTGGGATGATGCGGAAGCGACTGTTGGCTGAAATAGAACTACGTGGTCCAGGCCGCACAATCAACGCCGGGGCAACTGAACGGGACGATGATGGCGCACAGATACGTCTGTACCTTCGGACGAAGGAAGTTCTTCAAGCTGCTTCGTTTCTTTCACAGAGCAAACGTCGGAGAACATGAGCGCACGAAGAGGACAAGCGGCGCGGCAAGATTGGCCGGCGGAACACGGCCACGTGAGTTTATAACGCAGGTCGTAACCTCGAATGCAGGCCCGGGGCACAAGAAGCGATCGGCGTACTGCGCCGAGTGCAAGAAATGCAGGTTCGAACAGGCTGGGAACACTCTTCTCATTCAATCTCATGAAGCCTAATCCCGCGCTTTCATCCTCACGAGTTAGCACTGGGCAAGCTCGAAAGTATTGGATACAGGTTGAACGACTATGGCTACAAGCGCTAAAAATGGGTACATTTGCATAGCATGGCTCTAAATGCCTCATCTCAGAGGCAGTGGCAAACATCACAACCTGAGACGCCCAAAATATACAGCGGCGTCTATCTTCTCAATCCGGCGTTACAACCATCGCTGATGGGCGGGCGTCCATTCGACATTGATTCCGGGTGGCTTTTCATTTGGTCAGATGATAAAGGTTTGCTGTTCGCAACTATGAGCATGAGTATGCTCGTTGTTCATTGACAAGGGGCCTACATACAAGCTTTCCGCGCACTCATGAGCGCAGTCAGGCAAAAGACACGGACCCAAGGAACGTGCTTCCTTCCTTGTGCGTATAAGTAGACACCTTTACCTTCCGAGAGAGTTTTCGCATATCCCGTATATAGAGCCTCGGGTGCAACGGCAATATCTATGCATTGGGCGGGTATGCTGCCCGCGCCCAATAGCGAGGCTCGATCATGATTGGCACCCCTCGGGGATCGACGGCGACCCATCAATGGAGGAAACGGCAGATGCTAACACGATGCATACATACGCCACCATCCCTCATGATTGATAAGTCAATTCTTATGGGCGCCTGGCTTCTCAGTATACAGAGAGTATACAATGAGGGAGCTCACCGCCTCGTGTGGCATCGGCTGATCTCAGCATACCAATAGACCGAGAGCAGATTGCGCCGGGTAAAAGATGGACATGGTAACGCATCGTCCTGTGGCGCAGGGATCTTCCTCGTATGCAGGTCGCAGCGAGAAAGACCTGTCACGACGGGCTGACCGGGATGCGGACCAGCTGCGACTCTGCGAGAGGGCCTCTTGACACAGGGTCATCAACATCAACTCAAACGTGATGCTGTGAGAACATTCAATCCTCCGTCGAAGGATGGGGGTAAACGCATGTTGACGCGCGTTGAGAACTGGATGTTCAAGATACATCCGGAGCGCTGTGCGGGGGTGCCCCACTGATAGATGCGAGACGAGATAGAAGCACGCTGTTGTAGACAGAGATGAACTCCGGTCTGGAGAACGAAACGCGGCGACGTGATGACCTATGTGCTGAGATGCGGTGCAAAAGGCAGTCGCCTGCGCCTATAGGTCCAGGGTGGCACATCGCTTTGTTCTCGGCATCGTGGGAAGTTTTGCGTTGACGCAATGCTCCACGACAAGTCTGATAAACATGGAAGTAAGAGGAGCGCAGGCCATTGTTCTTCCTCGCAGTTCATGGTGGGGTCTTCTCTTCTGGCCATGGAAGCTCATAGATACCGGCCGGAGCTTGGTTGATACACACTGTGCTGACGAAACGATGGGAGGCGGCCACACGACGGCAGTGCAGATGTGCTGTCTGATGGCTTGAAGAAAGTGAATGCTGGCATTGTTTTGGGCATACCGCAGCGCGTGCCGGCGCTTCACGAGAGTTCACCGCGCAGACTGCGAGCCTTCGGCTGAGCGCTTTATATACCCCAACATCTCCAGTCCTGTTTTCCTTGTCTCAGTCCACGACATCAGTCCCGACTCGACCAGATCGCTCCTCGTGCAGCGCATTCACACTCACTTCGCTTTCTTCGTTGCTTTCACCTACTCTACCACATTCACCCACAGTTCCCTTCTGTAAACATTATCAACACAATGACGACCATTGACAAGAGCACGCTCAAGGACATCAAGCTCGGCTACGCGTCGTGCTCCATTGGGTACGACGAGTCGCACACCCTGCCGGTCAGGTTCGATGCAATCCGCGCGGCGGGCTTCCACGCCGTCGAGATCTCTATGCGCGACGTTTGGCCATTCGCGAACCAGTTCATGGGCAAGCCTGTGGCGGAGGACGACTACGACACGCTGTGCGTTGTCGCAGAAGAAGTCCGCCGCATGGCCGACGAGCGCGGCCTCCAGATCATCATCCTGCAACCGTTCCTCACCTTCGAGGGCTGGCCGCTCGGGAGCCCTGAGCGCGCCGACGCATGGCACCGGATCCGCGGTTGGGCGCGTATCATGAAGGTTCTCGGTACCGACCTGCTTCAGGTTAGCGCCTGTCATATCCTTTCGCAGAACGTATACTTACCTACGTCACACGCAGATTGGATCTACGACCTCATACGACACTATCCCGGAGCGCATGGTACCCGACTTGCAGGAGTTGTCGGACTTCTTCGCAACGCTCGGCCTCCGCATCGCATACGAAAACTGGTGCTGGTCCGTGCACGCGCCGGCATGGCAGCAGGTCTGGAAGATCGTGCAGGAGGTCAACCGCCCCAACTTCGGTCTCTGCCTCGACACCTTCCAGATTGCAGGCGGCGAGTGGGCGGACCCTCGTCGGGAGTCGGGTCTTGTCGACAAGCCCGCCGCCGAACTCGAGGCTTCATGGCGCGCCAGCCTGGCCGTGCTCGCATCCGTTCCCAAGGAGAAGATCTTCATCTTCCAGGTTTCAGACGCGTACCGCCCGTCACCGCCGATCCCGAACCGCATCATTGACGGGCTTACGCCGCAAGGATACTGGAGCCGCCGCTTCCGTCCCGTTATGGGAGAGGGGTACCTTCCCTGCACGGACATCGTCGAGGCTGTGCTCCAGACCGGCTACCGCGGGTGGTACTCCATCGAGGTCTTCGACCGCGGCTCGAAGGGCGAGGGACGGGTGTACGACCTCCCCGCATTTGCCCTGAACGCGAAGAAGAGCTTGTTCCACGCCATCGAGGAGTCTCTTGCTCGCGATGATGCCCGTGTTGCCGCCGCACCCAAGCGCGAGTCCACATTTACGGCGATGTCGCGGTATGGCGTTGGCCTCATCCTCAGCGTCGGCTTCGCTCTCTCGTTGTTCCCGGTTCACGTATAAGCCTCCAATCCCCGCATCACGTCCAGTCCCGTCCCACTCGCATATTTGCATTCGAACCCTTCCGTACCTATTATTTCTATTAGCACATCTCTAATCCTACCTGTACCCGGCCTGCGCTTGTATTGCCTGCTTCTCGTACCCACGTCATCTTGTACTCCAGAGCATCCACCACGAGCTAGTCATTACCACACTTAGAACTGTTGTACACTAGATGCGTCGTAATTATACTGCGATTCGACGTTAATCTTCCGTCAGACCGAGCGGACGCAGCGAGCGCAGGAGTTGACTTGAGCTCGAGCAATCACAGAGAGCGTAAGAGTGGCCGTGCATGCACACGAAAAGTGTATTGCAAGTAGTAGATCGCTTGCGTGGTATACCAACGCTCGTGGTGGTCGTCTCAGCTGTATCCCGGTCTCGGCTGCCCTTGTTCCCATCACTGCGGCAAGCCCCGATACTCGCGGTCATGTGGCTTGCTCGGATTGGCGCGCGCCTGCCATTTACGCGACTTCGTGCACGGAGAGTCGCTCTCTCGCATGAAACGTGAGTACGGAGGTACAGAGAGAGAGGTATCACATGGTCTCTAACAATGGTTACCGTCGTCTCCAATAGCATCTCACGTTAACCCTTTGAGCTCGCATCTGAAACGCATGGCAGTCGTCTGAAACTTCCAAAGCGACGAATATCAGGCCGTACGGCGTGTTGAGACCGAGCATAGACGGAATACCAGCGGAAGATGTGACTCCAAGGCGTATATGTAAATACTCTCTGACTCGCACTGGTCACCTTCTCCCACCTGACATCATGCATGCGAGTTTCTACGGACTATCATTCACGCTATGTGAACAATGACTCAGATACTGTGAGCTTATAAAATGTGCATGCAAATACCTAGCGTGCAGTCAGCACACTCTTATTCTTCTTCTGCAACACCAACTTGAACGCAGCCATGTCCAAGCCCATCATCCTTTACGATCTCGCACGTCCGGGGGCAACATCTGACTCTGAACAAAGTTGGAGCGGCAATACGTGCGTAGTCTAGCTGAGCAAGCCTTCAGGATAACTGACTGTAGACACTATAGACTGAGGTACGCACGCACGTCTCTCTCCTTTACCCACAGGACCGACAACAAGCCGCCATCTCATAGAACACGGTAGGAGCTTCGCGCAAGGATCCCTTCCGTAGACTCGTTGAATAATGCCTTCGTCGTTCGTTGAACAGCTTTGCACTCAACATCAAAGGCATCCCGTTTTGCACCGAGTGGGTCAAGTTTGCAGACGTAGAGTCGAAGATCAAGTCTCTCGGTCTCGAACCCTCTCACGACGGCCTTCTTGCGTATACGGTGCCCACCATCGTGGATCCCTCTACCCAACGGGTCATCACAGACTCCTTTGCCATCACGAAGTATCTGGATGAGACGTATCCGGATACGCCGACCCTCATCCCTGCCGGCACGGGTGCCTTGCAGAGCGCGTTCGTTGACAAGGTCGTGAGGTCGATTGTGCTCGCTGCCTTCGCAAGCCTTGTGGGACCGGTTTACGAGGCGGGATGCTTTGACGAAGCCGATCGTGCGCACTACCGCAAGACGCGGGAGGCATGGTTCGGGGGGAAACCGTTGGAGGACATCATCAAAATGGGCGACGAAGGAATGGAGAGTGGGTGCAAGGCATACAGCGATGGGCTTAGCGAGATGGCAAAGTACGCGGAACAGGCGGGTGGGGAAGGCGTCTTTCTCAGCGGGCAGGGTCCATGGTTCGCGGATACAGCCGTGGCCGCGGCTCTGACGTTCACCCTCAAGGCTTGTGGGAGGGAGCATCCATTCTCGAAGGCAATTCTGGAGCACGAGTGGGCCAATAAACTACTGGCAGCGTTTGACAAGTGGGCTTGAGGGGTCTTGTATCGCTGCGGCGGTAGCAAAATATGTTGTTCGTATTATAGTGTCAGATCACAGATGGCGTCGAAGATCACTACAGACTGCACAAGGAAATGAATTGAGAAGTATGTCGTCGTTCGCAGAAGCAGATGGTGGTGCAGACGAAGTTCGGTCAGCGGCGGACGTCCCGCGGGTATGCCGCCGCGAAACGCGATCATGTGGCTTTCTGGGTAGACACCAACCAAAACTCGGCTAGACCTGCATGACACTATCCGGTCAAATGCTGATAGGAACACTGTGCCCGTTACATGTGAGCTCTTGGAGGGCAGACTATATGCCACATAGATGACACACTGCTATTTATCTCCTTTTCTTCTGTGAACTTCCCAGGCAGACAAACCTGTCATGGATATGACGTGCCAGATGCTTCTTAGACGGCTGCTAATCCGGACCCACCCGTGTATCTATCTGGGAGCCAGACACGTCCTCACGTGGGCACCACTTATGATGTCAACAGCGGGTGATAGTAGTGGCAGTACATAACGGAGAAGCATATAAGGGATAGTCCCTTCTTTGAATGATCTTCTCAAGCCATCGCAATGTCCGAGTCAAACTCCATTATCCTTTACGACTTTCCACGCAAAGGACCACAGAATATGTCCGACTCTGAACAGAGTTGGAGCGGAAATACGTGCGTACGAGCCACCGCAGCGTGATGAATAAACGCCCTTATCGTCGATCATACAGGTTGAAGTACGTCCTCGCTCACTTGCGAGCTCAGACTGATTAACCGGATCACGGTCTCTAGAACGCGGTAAGTACTCTATGCTTGGGGTTGCGCAGTGATGCGCTCATGCTCACGTGTCATAGCTACGCTCTGAACATCAAGCGCCTCCCGTACCGTACCGAATGGGTCAGACTCTCGGGAGTGGAAGCCAAGATGAAGCCTCTCGGCCTCAAGCCTTCTCAGCCTGGCCCGATGCCTTATACGCTGCCCACAATCATGGATACCTCCACTGGACAAGTCATCAACGACTCTTTCGCCATTGCTCAGTATCTGGACAAGACGTACCCGGACACCCCGATGCTCATTCCTCCAGGTACCGCGGCGCTACAACGCGCATTCGTCGACAAGGTCGTGACGCAGCTTCTGTACGAAGCCGTTCCGGTGCTCATGCGGCCGGTGTACACCAAAGGCTGCCTCGACGATGCAGATGCGGCCCATTATCGCAGGACGCGCGAGGCTTGGTATGGAGGAAAACCGTTGGAGGAGATCATGAAGATGGGAGATAAAGGGCTGGAGAAGACATGTGAGGCTTTCCGCAAGGGATTGGACGACATCGAGCGGTATGCGAAGGAGGCGGGAGGGGGTGACCACTTCGTCGGTGAAGAGGGGCCTTGGTTCGCAGATACAGCCGTCGCCGCGGCGTTGATGTTCACGCTGAAGATGTGCGGGGAAGAGCACGCGCTGTCAAAGGTTATCCTAGAGCATGAATGGGCGAGCCAGTTTCTCGTGAAGTTTCAGAAGTGGATGTGAAGTCTGTGCTTTGTGATATGTAGCACTCGACAAAGTCTTTCTCAAAGAGTTTGTGATCAACCTGCGTGGATGACGGTGGCCAAGAGCAAGTCGTGCAGCGCGTCTTGCGTGCGCAGGTGTGCGCGCGCAAACGCGATCACATGGCATCTGAGTTCGCTCGACCGGTGCGGTAGACGCAAAACGGGCGCGTACCCGTCCTGACAGTGACTTCCCTTACTATCTCACCTGGATCACTCGATGCATTACCCATGAGGCGCTGAGCGGAGCGCCCCGCCAGAAGACGCCGGCATATATAGGCCCGGATGCATGCGAACGCACGATAGGAGTGGCAACACTTCGCGCGCCTTGAAAGCTACAGCTGCAACTCCTCGATCACACAACCTCCCATGACCAGCATCACATTCTACGACTTGTCGCGTCAAGGCTCTGAGGGCCTGACGGACTCCGAACGAAACTGGAGCCCGAATACGTGCGTTTGATAGTCTTACCCTCGATCACATTTGCTCAAAGTGTTTGTAGTTTGAAGTGAGTGATCATCCAAGCTTTTGGCTCGCTCTTAGGATATTAATTCCGCTCATGACATTGTAGGACACGGTAAGCGTACTCTATTGTCTACATCGTCCCGTACGGGATATGACCGGAGATCGTAGCCTGGCTCTAAACATCAAAGGCCTCTCCTACAAAACCGAGTGGCTCAAGTTCGCAGAGATCGCGCCGAAGCTGGAGTCCCTTGGCCTGGTACCTACACAACCTGGCCCAATCGCTTACACGCTCCCCCCAATCATCAACTCGTCATCGTCATCACCCAGGAAAAAAGTCATAGCCGACTCCTTCGCCATCGCGCAGTACCTCGACTCCGCCTATCCCGCCACACATCCACTCATCCCGGCCGGCACGGCGGCTCTACAGCTCGCTTACATCGAGAGGGCCGTAGATCCTCTCATGCGTGCAGCCTTTGCGGGACTGTGTCGACCCTCGTTCGAAAGAGGTTGTGTCGACGCTGCGGATAGGGCGCACTACCGCTCGACGCGCGAGGCCTTGTTCGGTGGAACAAGTCTAGAGGACATCATGGCTATGATGGATAGCACGGTCGAAGGGTCCTACAAGGCGTTCGACGAAGCGCTTGATGGGATGGCGCGGGATGCGAAGGCGGCTGGAGGGCAAGATGTGTTCATCGGAGGAGATGGCCCATGGCACGTTGATGCGGCCATTGCGGGAGTGTTAATGTCCGTGCTCAAGATGTGCGGAAGTGACCACGCCTTGTCAAAGGTGATCTTTGGGCACGAGTGGGCGTGCAGTCTGCTGGCAGCATTCGAAAAGTGGGCGTAGCTAGCATGGCCTCTAGTAGATCTTGCAGTCGGTACGGTGGCCAGACGCGAATAGTGAAGCGAGCATCTGGTGAAAGCAGCTGGAGCCTGATCGTGACCGGATGTCTTTGTTCTGTGGAGGTCCCGTGAATAGTTTTGTGCCGATGGCAGTCGGCAAAGCGGTCTGATGAGGGTTCGTCGAGACGGTCGTCCACAGCGACGAGGGATCTCCCCGATCTTCGCGCGATGCACTTGATGTGGGCGTTCGTGGGTGCGAACGACTTCTCCGAGTCCAATCCGAGTTTCTCGCAGCATCAGAACTATCTGTTATTGGTCTAGGCAAACACGAGGCAGCGATAGCAATAATCAACAAGCGAAGACTGGAAGCAGAAGTTCGAGAGTTCGCAAAGTTGGACTGTGCAGGCCATGTCCAAGTTCTTCAGCAAGCTCGGCTCGCGCAGGCAGTCCTCCGAAGCGGGCAGCTCGCCAGGCGGTACGCCACGGGCCTCGCGCGACCGCGCCGTGACCCTTCCGTCAGGAACATCGTCCCAGGCATCGACGCCGTCGTCCGAACGCGCGCCACCGCCACCGCCGTTGCCGCCGCGCGTGCAGGTCACCGCCGCGCGCTCCCCCTCCCCGGCCAGCAGCAGCATCTCTGGCCCACATGTCACGGTCGTCCCCCCGTCCCCTTCAAGCATATCCGCGTCTGTAATGCCCGAGGCGAACGGGAAGAACAAACCCCACAATGACGACGACTCAGATTCGTCGTCAGGCTCTGTCAACGAAGCCGAGTTTGGCGTCGCGCGCAAGCGCCCGTCGCCGCTGGATGATTTCGGGGAGGGAGGCGAGGATCTGCGGACGCCCACGCCTGGGCGAGTGAAAGCCCCGTTTAGCGGTGCGTGCGCGTCAGATGGGCATCATAGGTGTTTCAGCCCCTAAACACGCTCTTTAGACTCGCCCTCGACGTGGGCCACATCCCCAGCCAGCATCGGAAATTCCTCAAACGGCTCTACGTCTGCACGACCATCGACTGCGCCTGGCAGCGCCAATTCCACGACTTCGCCCACCGCCACGTCGCCCAAATCTCCAAAGTCGCCGGCCAAATCACCCAAATCTTCGATGGACGACAACGACGCTACACCCACGAGTCCTGCCGAGCGCCATGCGCGTGCAGCGACGTACAATGGCCCAGTAGACCCTGCGTTGCTGGTGCCGACGCGCAATGGCCGCGATGCCGACGCCGTGTCCATGTCTTCCCGACGGTCGCGCAACCTCTTCAAGCGCCCATCATTCAATCAAGGGGAAGCGCCCGCCAAGTCGACTTCGCCGCGCCGAAAGCAGACAGGCCCTTCTGGAGGACTTGCAGGCGCAATTGCCTCTTCGGGACTGGCCATGGCTAATCCTGGCTTGACGGGCGTGCCACTACCAGATACGTGGAGCCCGGCTAGGAAGGATACTTGGAAAGACGGCGGGAAGAATGGCGACCCACCGCCTTCGCCACCCAGTCGCAAACCGCAGCATCGCTCGCCTGCGCTTTACGGCGACCCGGCACTGACGATCCCGCGGAGCCGCGCTGGGAGCGTCAGTAACGCGTCCGACATCGGTGATGGCGGCTTCTCTTCTGCCGTCTCCGACGCATCGTCTTCTGCCGGCGGAGCGGATAGCGAGAGCGAGGATGCCGCATTGCTAGCCGAACTCGGCGCTGATATACCGGTCACTGGCTTTGCGGTGGCGAGCAACAAGCGGAATTACGACTTCCATGAGCTGTTCCCCAGTGTACCGGAAGGAGACTATCTCATCGAAGATTATGGATGTGCGTTGCAAAGGGATATCCTGATACAAGGACGGCTGTATATCAGCGAGCATCACATTTGCTTTCATGCCAACATCTTTGGGTGCGTGCATTGCTCTAAACGTCAATGGGCTCTATTGATGCCGATGATGCGCGCGTGTAGTTGGGTGACAGACGTGATCATTCCCATAGCCGAAATCGTGTCAGTGGAGAAACGCATGACGGCGTTTGTTATCCCGAACGCCCTCCTCGTCAGTACACGCACAGCAAAGGTCCGTCGCGTGTTCACTTATTGCACTGGAATAGAAATACTTATATTGTGCAGTACGCCTTCGCGAGCTTCCTCGCACGCGACACCGTCTACGACGTGATAGACAACATCCGCAAACTCGAACGTCCCGACCCTGACGCTCCTCCAACAGGTACGCGTCGCCCAACTCTACCCACCATCTACTCTTTTGACTCAATGGCAACCTCAGGCGAAGGCCACGACCTCATCCTGACGTCAGGCTCACCTCCGCCAGTCGGCACGCCGGGCGCGGTGGCTACCGTGCAGGCCCACAAGCCCACGCAATGCGCGTGCGGAAAAGAAGGCAAACACTACACTGAGACCGCGCTCGAGAGTGTGTTGCCAGGCACGCCGGAGAGGATATACAACCTCATGTTCGCGAGCGGGTTCATGAAGGACTTCCAGCGCAATGAACAAAAGCTTGAGGGTGCGTCATCTCGGGGTTATGCGTGGCGTGCATTGTTAATCTCTACCCGCAGATATCCAAGTCAGTGACTGGGCGCCGGGAGAGAACAAGAGCCTGTCGAGGAACATGAGTTACATCAAGCCTCTCAACGGCTCGATCGGTCCCAAGAGCACAAAATGCGAGATCCACGACGAGACGGTGCGTTCTAGCCTCTGAGCTCCCGCTTACCATGCCTGACTTACGCCTGCTCACACTCAGGTTCACACCGACTGGGACGACTACGTGACGACGCTAACGACTACGCGCACGCCAGACGTGCCGAGCGGAAACGTGTTTTCCGTCAAAACTCGAACATGCATCATGTGGGCTTCGGCTGTCACCTCGCGTATCGTCGTGACGACCCAAGTCGAGTGGACCGGGCGCAGTTTCATCAAGGGCATCATCGAGCGCAGCTGCATCGACGGCCAGAAGACGTACCATGCCGACCTCGATAAGGCGATGCGCGCCTACATCAACGCGCATAAACAGGAGTTCCTCCCCGCCGGCCTCGAAGACGTCGTCTCTGCACCCGATCCGTCCGAACCGCCTACGAAGGATGCTCTGCCTCTCAATGGTACCGCCATCAGCGCTTCTGCGCAGGTGCAGGAGAAGTACAACGAGAAGCAGCGGGAGCGGGAACGGAACGCGAGGGGGATGCAGTGGGCTTACGACACATTCGAGGGTGCATTGGGCGTCGCGAAGCGCTCGACATCCGGTGCCCTCGATCTTCTCGGCGACGCATGGGATCAGACGCCCAGTACGGCGATCCTGTGGTTCGTCATTATCGCGCTACTACTCTCCAACTTCTGGACGATCGCGAACAACCGCAAGATCGACGCGGAGAGGGAGGCGAGGAGAACGTTGTACGGCGAGTCGAGGAAGGAGATGTTTGGGTATGACGCTCCACGGACGCGGCCGACGCATGGACGTCCTGTCGAGGAGGAGTGGGTTCAGTCGGCTGTGCAGAGCTTCTTGGAAGAACTTGCGGCACGGCGCGGGACGAGTAGCGCAAGTACAGCGCCGCCTGCCGCTCCGACAAGCGGAGAGGATATGAAGGCGCAGATCAAGGAGCTCGGCGCGGCGCTTGATGCGGTGGAAGAGAGGATCAAGGCGTTGAGGGCCAGTCTTGCAGAGCTCGACTGAGTGCGCTCTGCTGGTTCAGGATGGAAAGGACTGATTTATTCTGTATATACATGAATGGACTCTCTTGGAGCTTGGAGGTTTCGTTTGCTTGTTTTCCCCTCCGATCTTTTTTGGCATCATCCTCTCAATTTTGACCTTCATATGACTTCTTGACAAGTTGGAAACCCTATGTTTTGCCCGAACCACGAAAACCAGACATTGTCCGATGTATACAGAGTACCGATGAGCCACAGGAGTGCCTGTTCAACTCTCGGAGATGAACGGCCTAGGCCTTCGGGCCGTAGCGCCGAACGATGCCGCCACAACGCTCTGCACGCCCAACTGACATCTCACATCTTGCCCTGCACGACCATCACCAGCGCCAGAACACCTTTGGTCATAACCGCACATGGCTGCGATATACGAGACAGTCGTTCTCTTTGGCGACTCCATTACGCAAGGCGCTTGGGAGCACAACGGCTTCGGTGCACGACTCGCACGTACGCGCTTTCAAGTCTAATCTATTGACTTCCGAGCTTCAACTTGCTTTCGCGTCGTGCTTTTCTGGCTACAGATGCTTACGCGCGTCGATCTGACGTTCTCAATCGCGGTTTCTCAGGATACAACACTGAGTGGGCTTTGCCCATTGCGGATACGGTACGCCTCGTACGATGAGAGAGAACTTGAACTTACTAACTCTGAACCATCCTATGCACAGATCTTCCCCACGAGTTCCTCTGCAGTGACCGCACCCGTCCGCCTTGCGACGATATGGTTCGGCGCGAACGATGCCTGTCTCAAGCCGTCGCCGCAGCACGTCCCCCTCGACCGCTTCCGGTCCAACCTTCACACGCTCATCGAGCGCGTCCCGTCTGGCTCCGCCATTGTGCTGATAACCGCGCCTCCGGTGAACACACATCAACGCGGTGCCGACCTTGCATCGAGGGATCCGCCGAAAGAGCTCGATCGATCTTTCGATGTCACGAAGCAGTACGCTGAGGCGGTCAAGGAAGTGGGCAAGGAGAAGGGTGTACCGGTCGTAGATGCTTGGACTGCACTATGGGAAGCGGTTGGGAAGGAAGAGGCAAAACTTGACCAGGTGTTGTCGGACGGTTTGCATCTGAATGCCGCCGGATATGAGGTATGCTGCTTGCGGGGATTGTAGCATCTAATGCTCACGGAGACATAATTCAGGTCGTCTTTCGCGCACTCGCAGAGACTTTAGAGCGCGAGTTTCCGGAACTCAAGCCTGAGATGAACTGGAGAGAGTACAAGCATCCCACATGGGATTGGTTCAGCCAGCATGGTATGGAAGGCTGGGAAGAAAGGAGGAAACAAGCTCCATAATGGTTACAATATTACACTCTGTAATCGGTGATACAGTCTCGATAATCCGCAATGATTCGTTCCAGTCAAGATAAACATGTGGAAAGGAAACCTTGCAAACGTGAAGCTGATAGTACAGACAGGAGCCGCTACTCACTATCCCAGGATGGCCCGGGGCGTTGCACCACGGTGATCAGAGCTGTACTCCACTGTGCGACCTCGTCGTTAGCGGTGCTTCGCCGTGCCCGTACCTGAACGTTCGAGCAGTGTGCGCCCGAATCCTCGAATGGAGAGGCTTGCGCGATCCATGAGAGGTCGACATCTTCCGTAGTCACGAAGGTTTTGATGAGGCCGACGTCCAACTCCTGGCCAGGGGGTACCCAAAAGACAAACGGCAACCCTCCTTGATAGTCCTCATTAGGGCCATCTCCTATGAGTAGTTGACCCCCTGGGTAGATAGGCCGTTTGGCGTTCGATCCGTAGTATTCAGCTGCATCAACGTCAGCCAGAACATGAGGATCGATGTATCTACTCACTGATTGATAAGGTGCTACAGTCGAAGTAGAACAACCACAGGTAGAGCGGTTTGTGCGAGGTGTTTTTCACTGTTATTCCATACGGCGTTCTACCGTCTGCAACGACATTGGCAATACCGGATTGCACTGTGTCCTCTCCAGATCTACCGTAGGATGTCGTCCAGAATGACGCAAGAGATTGGTTGACGACGCTGTATATCTCAATCGAGATGGGACCGTCCTCAAGTCGCTCGCTCGAAGTTGGTGAACGACGCAGGTGCCAGAAGAACCTGGACGCAGCCACGAGGACGGGGTGGATATCTTCGTGGGTAGGTAACGTCGTCGCGTTCAGCTTTTCAATACCGTGTTCTCTGATCAACGAGTCTCGGATGAGGTACTCGATACGGCCATCTCGTGTAGCCCGAGCGCTGAGGCTTGCCTCCGTCTCGTCGACCAGGAGGATACCTGGACCGCTCGAGTCGTCACGAATCCTGTCCTTCGCAACAGCCCTCATGACAGGCACGAGATCTTCCGAGAGACCGATATGGAGACGGAGTTCCGCGAGTTTGCCCATGCGTGTCATGACTGCGAAGTACGATGAAGTTTCGCCAATCGCTAGACTCGAGGTCGGCGAAGATGGCGCGTAGAGTACGTCTGCGCCGAAGGGTCTGGCGGTCTTCATGGTGATCATTCGCGCCAAGGGTGTGTCGCCAGCCATGTAATCTGGCGATGGGTATACGGCGAACTCGGTGTCGTCCGCGACGCCTTGAACGGTACCACCACTCAAGGTGTATCTGTCCCCGTCAATGCCGATCTGAAAGGCGACTTTCCCGTATCCATATCCGTGTGAACTGAAAAGGGTCCGATCAGTGTCAACCCCTTCGCACAGAGGCCTCAATCTGGATCGTGATGTCAGTATATGTCTTCTCGAGTTGGTAGGGGCGTACTTCGACACGCTCTTGATACGTTGTGCGATCTGCTCGTATGTAACTTTGTCTGTCACCAGGTTGTGCAAGACGTCCAGCAGGGCCCGGGTAAACTCTCCTTCGACTGACAATTCCCCTTCGCCTCTAGTTACAACCTCATACGCGTCTTCCTCTGCACTGTATGCAGACAGAAACACATGTGGCTTAGGAAGATGGTCGTCTATGATGAAGCCAGCAGCAACTCTGAGCGCGCCACGGACCATGAACCGATGACCCAGTATATTCTTGTCGAGCATTCCAGTGACAGCATCGAACTCCTCCGTGTCTAAGCCTCGCTGGAGGCGTAAGGGACTCGCCCCACGCGTCTCGGAGTCGGCCGAGTAGCAGCAATCGACGATAACGGTCTGCGCGCACACATGAGCTTCGGTACGTCGAGATAGCATGTCTCTTTCTCACAATGTTATTCCCTTTCTCCTCCATGAGATTCGAGAGGAGCACAGCAAGAGTTCTATCGAGGATGGGTGGGACACATTTGGCCCTATCATTGAAGAGACTATCGTACGGGACAATTGCCCGCATCTTCTCGTGCGGGTTGTCCCATGAAAGAATCCAACCGAATGCCTTTGGCGGAGACAGCGAAGTGCCATATCCAGCGAAATAGATGACTATAGGGTCGTTCCTATCGATGGTACGTCGGGTGCGCATCGCTGTAAGCTCTTGGATGATGGCGTCTCGCGTGGCCTCTTCGTCGCGGAGATCCGTGATCTGGTGGTCTGGCACGTTGAACTTGTCACGGAGACAAGCATGCATGGCATCCGCGTCTGAGGCGGCTCCGCGTAGAGGGTGACGTTCATACCGGCTGATACCGATAATAAACGCATGTAAGCGTGAACCTGGGCGTAACGTCCTGTACAAGTTGATATGAGCCCGGTGTACACCTGAAGATGCAGCAGCATAAGACGAACACTGGGGACTGGCTGCTCGCATAGGGGGCATCACTACATATGGAGTCATTGATCAGCTTCAGCACCTGCAATCTCTGAGATGCTACATACCAGGCAGCGGCGAGGTGCAAGACTGCATCTTCAACGTTATCCACCGAAAGCGGTCCGGAGGGTAGTTCAAGTAACATGTTATGAAGGCAGGTCCTGGGTTGCGCGATAGAAGACAACCTCTCTTATACACATACGCAAGTGTCTAGAAGCCACTGCATCTAAAGATAAATGCATGCTTCGTCGTTAATCTAGGACCCGAACCTTCTGCTGAGTTCACATAGAGGTCGCCGATACTCACGGAGATGCCGATAGTACAGCCTGATGCCCTGACTCTGAGAGCCCTCATACTAGAGATTCAAGACGTGAGCCATAGGCGCCGCGTGCTGTTCGAAGATACCACAGTGGCGATGACCGCTGAATGGAGCCATGCTATGCTCGTCCTGATCACGAGTAAGCATATGAACTCTTTGATTTGGGAATTGAATTGGCACTGAATCCAAATTCACAAGCAGCCCGGAGATATACGCTCCGTATCTATGCAGGGATCGGCAATAAGACGTGTATGCACCGCTGCAGAGCATCTGATGGATATTGAGCGAGGGAAACCTCGCGAGAACTGGCGCTACAGGCATAGCCTCCTCGCTCATCATTTTCTTCCCTCGGCCCTCGCACGCCTTACCGCTGCCTCCCACACGAGTTCAAATTATCGGTCGAGCTAATGAGCGGACCTGAGTTGGATGTCTAGCCAGCTGCCATGCCCACGAGTCTGACAACATTCGCACGGTTTCTCGGGTCGAGTCCAGCGCAAGACCTCAGTTCGCTCCACGCAGCTTGATTTGGCAATGAGCGGGACATGACAAGCAATAGAGGAGTACAGATTCATGGTTCGATAGGAAAGGCCCCGTGGACCGTGGCGATGGGCGAAGGCAACGTGCGGAAGCGTGCGGAGGGCGCCTTTTGCGGCCCGAAAGCCGATCAGCCGCCTAGCACTGGAGCACTTCCCGCACAGCGAGTATCAGCGGGGCAAGCTCTTCCGCTCCAACCACCATCACCAATCAATGCATGTCTCCGTCCACATGCGCATCTGCGAGCTAGGATGCGCACAAGCAACAACGGTCTCGTGACTTGCATTACGATACGATTAAGTAGCAGCCAATGCTCACGGGGACATAATTCAGGTCATCGTTCGCGCACTCGCAGAGACTTTGGAGCGTGAGTTTCCGGAACTCAAGCCTGAGATGAACTGGAGGGAGTACAAGCATCCGACATGGGACTGGTTCAGCCGGAAGGGTGGGAAGAATGGAAGATACAAATCCCATAACGGCTTCGAGACGCTATCCTATGATTCGTAATACAATTCCTCTTTTCAGCACTGGTACATCTGGGTCGGCATAAACGGGTGGGCAGGGAGTCTTGCATATATGCCACTGATAAGCCAGGTATGATTCGCTTCACTGACGTAGCTAGATTGGACGTTGCAGTATCGTGATCAGAGCTGTACTCCAACGTGCGTCCATGTCACCGGTGGCGTCTCGTCGTGCCGCTACTTGAATGTTCGGGCAGTGTGCGTCAGACCGCTCGGATGGAGAGTCTTGCGATATCCACGACAGGTCGACGTACTCTGTGGTGACAAATATTTTGACGAGGCCGACGTCGAACTCTTGACCAGAGGGGAGATAGAATGCAAATGGTAGTCCTCCTTGATTAGTGGAACCATCCCCTAAAAGTATCTGATCCCCTGGAACGATTGCCCGCTTAGAGCGCGATCCGTAGTATTCGACTACGCTAACGTCAGCCGGAAATGCGATGCCAAAGTAGCATCTACTCACGAATGGATAGGTTACTACAGTCGAAGTAAAATAACCACACATAGAGTGGTCTGTCTGAGCGGTTTCGCACCGTGAACCCGTACATCGTCCTACCGTCCGGAATGACGTTGATAACACCGGACCGTATCAGATCCTGTCCAGATCTATCGTAGGATGGCCTCCATCCTGGTTGGGATTGCACGACACGATGCATCTCAAGCGAGATCGCACGGTCCTCGAGTTGTTGGCCTGAAGTTGGTGAACGATGCAAATGCCAGAAGAATCTGGACGCCGCCATGAGGACGGGGTGGATACATTGGGGGGTAGAGAGCGTGGTCACAGACAGCGTTTCGAGGCTGTGCGGTTGTACCAGCGGGTCTCGAATAAAGTACTCGATACGGCCATCTTGTGTAGCCCGAGCGCTGAGGCTTGCCTCCGTCTCGTCGACCAGGAGGATACCTGGACCGCTCGAGTCGTCACGAAGCCTGTCCTTCGCAACAGCCTTCATGACAGGTACGAGATCCTCCAAGAGACCGATATGGAGACGGAGTTCCGCGAGTTTGCCCATGCGTGTCATGACTGCGAAGTACGATGAAGTTTCTCCAATCGCTAGACTCGAGGTCGGCGAGGATGGCGCGCAGAGTACGTCTGCGCCGAAGGGTTTGGCGGTGTTCGCGGTGATCATCAGCGCCAAGGGTGTGTCGCCAGCCATGTAATCTGGCGATGGGTATACGGCGAACTCGGTGTCATCCGCGACGCCTTGAACGGTACCACCACTCAAGGTGTATCTGTCCTCGTCAACGCCGATCTGAAATGCGACTCTCCCGTGTTCGCGTCCACGTATACTAAAAAGGTGCCGATCAGTGTCAACCCCTTCGCACAGAGGTCTGAGCCTAGATCGTGATATCAGTATACTTCTTCTTGCGCTGGTAGGGGCGTACCTCGCCACGCTCTCGATGCGTTGTGCAATCTGCACGTATGTGACTTTGTCCGTCACTAGGTTGTGCAAGACGTCCAGTAAGGCCCGGGTAAACTCTCCTTCGACTGACAATTCCCCTTCGCCTCCCGTAACATCCTCATACGCGTCTTCCTCCGTGCTGTATGCAGACAGGAACACATGTGGCTTAGAACGATGGTCTTCTGTGATGAAGCCAGGTGCGACTCTGAGCGCGCCACGATCGCCCAGAATATCCTTGTCAAGCATCCCATTGATGGGATCAAACTCCTCCGTCTCTAAGCCACGCTGGAGTCGCAAGGAAGTTACCCCACGCGTCTCGGAATTGGCCGAGTAGCAGCAATCGACGATAACTGCCTGTACACATGCATAAGCTTCGATGGGTCGCGATAACATGCCTCTTCTCACAATGTTATCCCCCTTATCCTCCATAACATTGAAGAGAAGCGTGGCAAGGGTTCTGTCGAGAATGGGCGGGACACATTTGGCCCTATCAATGAACAGACTGTCGTACGGGACTATCGCCCGCATCTTCTCGTCTGAATTCTCCCGTGAGATAAACCACCCGGACACGTTTGGCGGCCACAGGGAGGTACCGTATCCCGCAAAATAGAAGAGAATAGGATCATTCTTGTCGATGGTCCGCCGAGTGCGCATCGCCGTAAGCTCTTGGATGATGGCGTCTCGTGTGGCTTCTTCGTCTCGTAGAATCGTGATCTGGTGTTCCGGCACGTTGAACTTGTCACGGAGACAAGCATGCATGGCATCCGCGTCTGAGGCGGCTCCGCGTAGAGGGTGTCGTTCATATCGGCTGATACCAATAATCAGCGCATGTAAGCGTGAACCTGAGCGTAGCGTCCTGTAAAAGCTGACATGAGCCCGCGGTGCACCTGAAGATGTAGCGGCATAAGACAAACACTGGGGTCAGGCTGCTCGCATCGGGCGCGTCACTACAAATGAAGTCATTGGTCAATTCCAGCACCTGCAATCTCTAAGATGCCACATACCCGGCAGCGGTGACGAGGTGCGAGACTGCGTCTTCAACGTTATCCACTGAAAGCGGTCCGGAGGGTAGATCGAGTAGCATGTCGATGGGGCTTATGGAGGCAGGTCCTGGGTCGTGCAATAGAAGCCAACCTCTCATATACACATCCGAAAGTGTCTAGAAGCCACTGCATCTAAAGATAAATGTATGTTTCGTCGTTAATCTAGGGCCTGAACCTTCTGCTGAGTTCATATGAAGGTCGCCGATACTCACGGAGATGCCGATGGTACAGCCTGATGCCCCGAATCTGAGAGCTCTCATACCAGAGCTTCGAGGAGGAAGCCATAGAACGCCGTGCGCCGTTCGAAGATACCGCGATGGCGGTGACCGCTGACTGGTGCAGTGCTATGCTCGTCTTGATCACGAGTAAGCATATGAACTCTTCGATCGATTGTGAGATTGGATTGGCACGGAATCCGACTTCACAAGCCGTACGGAGAAATCACTCCGTGTCTATGTAGGGACCAGCAGCACGACGCGTATGCACCGCTACAGAGCATCTGATGGATGGAAATCTCGCGAGAACTGGCGCTACAGGCATAGCCTCCTCGCTTATCACTTCCTTCCCTCAACTCTCGCGCGCTTGTCCGCTCCCTTCTATATAATTTCAGAATATCAGGCGAGCCGTTCAGCGGACCTGAAGTGGCTCTTTGACACCTCTCGATGTTTGGACATGCCCTGCAGTCCGCGAGCCCGAACAATATTCGCACCGCCGCTTCCTCGGTCGGGTACAATCGCATATCTCGCATGATGCCAGTGTCGAATCTCGACTCGCTTCGAGCATCTTGACTTGTCTATGAGTGAGACACAACAAGCAACATAGGGGGAGGAAGGGTGTGGTGATGGGCGAAGGCAACGAGCATCAGAGGGCACCTTCTCGGCCCGAAAGCCGAGCAGTGGCTTGGCAGCATCCGAGCACTGCCCCCCCGCACCGCGAGTACTGGCGGCGGCAGAGTCCTTTCGCTCTAACCACCACCGGTAATTCACGAATGTCTGCTCTTCCACCTACGTATGCATCTGCGAGCTGGGATGCTCATAAGCAACAACGGTTTCGGGACTTGCAATATGACACAGTCATCTCCACGGGGACCCTTGCGCAGCGTGCTGAACTGCTATTGCAGCTCGAGTCCGAACACGACGCTATACTCGCACTGGCAAAGACCGTACTCCATAGCCGCAACGCCTGCCTTCCCATCTCTGCTCTCCCTCCTGATGTATTCGTCAGGATTGTTACATTCGTCGCTCAAGACGATCGCCCGAGCGGGGAGATCCTAGGACGAAAATTTCGCGTCTCGACGAAATGGGGTTGTGGATTCATGAGGATAATCGGTGTATGCAAACGGTGGAGGTCAATGTGTCTCGAAGCCACCGAACTTTGGACAGAATCGGAGGCCCCTGCGCCGTACTTCTCAGCTGGATCCCTGGCCAGCGAAACCCTGAGGAAACGCATGATTCCCGTCCCTGCGTTGTTTCCCGCAGTGCGCGAACTTCGCCTCTTGCACCTACGCATGAGCCACGAAGAGACGTTGAACCTCGTTAGCCATCTTCCGATGCTTGAGGTCCTCGAACTTCGCGATTGTGCTTTGGGTGACACGAATGCTCGCTCAGAGTCTGAAGTGGCCGAACTGCCACGCTTACAGCAGTTGATGCTGGTCGCGCTGTACAGTGCGGCAGCCACTCATGACGAGTTAGGCATACATGCACCCTTATTCCGCATGCATGATAGCTTGCGCTACCCGCGTTCTGCCGCGGTCAAGCTCGCGCCGAAGCTAACGGCCGACTGGGGCGTCGCAGCGGCGGACGCGAAGGAGATCTCCGTCCTACGAACGCTTGTCTTGAGAGTACTGGACATCGTCAACTTGCCAAACACTTCCATATGCGCCCATCTTGGGCTGTCTGATTATCGCGACGAGACGGGAAGCAACTCAGACTCTATCTATTTTCGAGAAGTCACAGACTTCAACGCCATCGCAGCTCCCGTGAATAACGGCACCTCGAAAGGAGCTAATATTCAATTTTGGCGCGCGGTCATTGGCCCAGGGGAGCTGCCTATGAGCTCCGTCTTCGGCGATCCTGTCATAGCCGATATATTGGGCAGCATGGCTATGCTATCCATGCCCGATACATCTATCTTCCAACTGGACAAAGTCGAAGCAATGCCGGCTTTGTTATCGCATGCCTTCCGTCGCATTCGCATTCTCAGAGTATCGATTGAGAGCTCCGAACACGAGATGGCCATATGGCGACTTCTGTCCCAACTGCTCTCCGCCGACGCGAAGGGCGGCCTACGCTTCCCGGACTTGCAGGAGCTCTGGTTCGGTCCGTACAGTTGCCGCCGCAAGGACTTGCCACTTGCGATCAAGCGGCTCGTGAAACGCTTGCAAACTAGGGCACGTCACCCTGCGAATAGGATCCACACTATGCGGCTCGGGATCGCTCGTCCAGAAGGCCAGGGTGAAGAGGGGATAGATGCCTCGGTCCTTGAGAGCCTTTTCTTGACTGTCAACTGGGCCGACAGCTAGCAGGATGCGAGAATGCGAGAAGCTCCATTCATCATGACTGCAGCGGTTGATACGTTCCGGTATTATTGTGTTAGTATCATGAGAAGTCGTTTCTCATACATGCAATGCGTGTCAATATCAGGGAGTAGTACTACAATTCGCTCCAATCATAGCGCACAAACAAGCGGTGCCCATAACGCTGCCGAACAAGATCGTAGTTACATGTGGCTCAGGAGGGTGCCGCTCGCGGCATTCATACTTCCCGCGCGACGCTCACTAAGGTATCGAGATATGCCTCGGTTGCATGCTTTGCTTTCCGTGGTTCCAGGAGCGTCAAAGGACCTTCTAAGAACAATGCGGACATTTCAGCCGAAAACACCGACTAGCGATACACGCAAGCTTACTCACTCTCTCGGTCTTCCCAACGCCAGTGCTCGGGGTCCAAATACCATTGTAGTTCACTGTATCTCTTTCGGACATAATCTCCCAGTTGTGCAGCATCTTGGGGATTAAGCGTGCAATCGTGGTTATCACCCACAGTCAACGCATAGCCCACTCTGTCATCGCAGCGCACAACTGGCACAAACTTGATGTAAGGTGCATTGCCGTTCGCGAGACCCGCCTGTGCGGTGATCTCGACAGATATATCATCGGTCTCTAGGGTGTCCTCGTAATCAACATTGCCCTCGTCTCGGTCCCCAAGATAGCTGACGAGGTCGTCCATTCCTTTCGCATGAATGAGTTCGAGCGCCTCCAACCCCGTCATGACCCACCCAAGCCACAGTAGCGGTGGCTGTTGTAGTAGACCGTTGTCTCCCAGCAAGGCCGGGTGCAATCGCTCTTCTGGTATTGGCGTATTTCGTGCAATGTCTGCGCGTAGAGTACTCTGTGCTAAGCGTTAGCGGCATACTTGGCCAACACAGTGAGTGCATACCTCGTAGTCTAGCCGGGTTCCCGAAGGATAAAGGAGCGTCTTACGAAGGTCGTCTTCCGACATGGAGGGGAGAAGCAAGTACCGGATTTTCTCGTCCAACAGTTGGGCATCGAACTAAGACCACGTGAAGCGCTGATAACTCACTTCTCGATGCCACGCGTCCTGCCGCGCTGGCCCGCGCTGACGAACAGCGGCGCCTATGCAAAGCGCCCAAAGGATTCGGGTACGACCTTGCAAAAATGAGGTCCTTCTGTTCCCTGTCGCGCCGCCGAACCTCCTGGCGAATAGTAATGTCGGAGGAACACTTGACGTGGCCCGTGTCACGCTCGAGGCCGACGAATGATTGGTGGTAAACCCACTGTACGCCGTCACGGTGGTGGGAAAAGTAGACCATCGTCAGACGTGCGAGGAGAGCTTTCTCCTCAGTCTCCGAGAGAACGAGAATTCCGCCTTCGAGACGGCGTCACATAGCTCTGCGCAGCAATACGGCAGTGATCCATAGTGCATGATCTGGGATGGTGTGAAAACAACCACTGGTAGCCGATCCCTCAAGAGGATGTGTATCTCGAGACTTGCGCTAACCTTGAGATGAACGTGCCGACAGGCAATGGGGGTATGGATGTGAACAGGACTCTCGATAGACTTGAAAGTCGTGAACTAATGGAAAACATCACGGTCTTGCACTCGCTGGATGTGTACAACTATCGCCTGCCCCTGCCACCCTTCCCGCCCCTCTTCGGCGCACGCGCGTTCTTCGCCCTCTTCTTCTCTGCCAACGCGCGATCCCTTCTGATCTGCTCCGCCGACTTGAGCTCGCTCTTGACGCGACCAGCAGGCTTGCCGCCGCGTCTCGCAAGACCGGGTTTACCACCCTTGCCTTGCGCGCCCTTCGCGCCATAAGGCTTGCCCTTGCCCTTCGCACCACGCTCCTCTTCCGCACCCGCACCCTCCTGCGCCTCCCTCCTCTTGCCCATCTGTCTGCTCCTCCGTTCATAGTCGATATCCCTCTTATCCAACGGCCTGCCCTCCTTCTCCAAGTTATGCCTCCACTTCTTCCCTCCACTGAAACTCCTCGCATTCTCCCCCTCCTGCTCGCCCACCCTCGGAACGCCCACCTTCCTAGCCTTCCTCCACTCATCGTACCGTCCACTCCTATAACTAGCCGGCAACTTCACCCCACTCTCCGTCTTCACAAGCTTAACGTTATCCGCGCCCGCTCCGCCGCCCGCGACGAATTTCTTCTTCTTTTTGTCCCACGCTAACGCGGCGCGGCGTTGGGATGCGACGCCTTCGTCTCCTGCGAGATCGAATGAGGCGTGTGCGGCTTGCTCGACGAATGAGGCGCCGTCGCGAAGGGAGTAGCCTTTGTCGGTGTGGGCGGATGCTTGGGAGTAGCCCATGTAGAAGTTGGCGTCGCGGTATTTGTGCGATTTGGAGGAGCCGGTGTCGAAGACGGTCGCGAGCTCGGTTTCGGAGGCCATCTCTGCGTCTGAGTCGCCGCCGTCTACGTGTGCCGTCTCGCCTTCTTCACCTTCCTCGTCGTCTTCGTCTGAGCTGGCATCTGCGGCAGCGGGCGCCACAACCGCGCGAGCTCTGGCTTTCTCCAACGCCCCTCTCCTCGCCCTCATAAGATCCGCATTCAACGCCTTGGCCTTAGCGCCCACCTCAAGCACCGTCTCACTGGGCCTGAACGCGCCCACAGCAGCCAGCAGACCTTTCTTCGCCTCCTCGACCTCCACATCCCTCTTCAACTCTTCCCTCCTCTTGCCCTTGACCAACAACACCGGATGCACGCCCGTACTGCCGCCGACGCCGTTGCCAGCTAACCCCCACTTTTGCGGGTCGCGCGTCATGTCTTTGGTCCGTTTGTAGGAGGCTTGCGAGGCGCGGCCGCGCGAGCGCTCGTACATCGTTTGACCCTTTCTCATTACGCTTCGTAGTGCGGGGAGGTTGGTGGACGAAGCGTCCAGCGCGCGGACGTGTTCGGTGTCTTCGTCCAGCTGTGTACGCGGGAAGGGACCGAGGATGAGGTTGGACGCGAACACGCTCTCGTCCGTTTCGCCTCCGGGCGGAAGTGTGGCGCGTAAAGGACGGCCGAGGAAGAGTTGCAAGTCCAGGAGATGTGGAAGTTCGGGTACCGTGACGAAGCTCCATGCCCATCCTGCCCTTCCTGCACGCGCGGTACGACCGACACGATGAACGAAGACCCTGGCGCCGCTCGGGAAATCGTAGTTCACGACATTCGCGAGGACCGGAATATCGATACCGCGCGCCGCGACGTCCGTCACGACTAACACGTCTGCAAGTCCTTTCCTGAACTTGGACATCTGAGACGAACGCGCGACTTGGTCCAGCGAACCGTAGATGTGCGCGACGGACATGCCCGCGGCCGTGAGGAGCGCGGTGAGGTACTCGACGTGGTGTTTCGTCGCTGCGAAGAGAAGAGTCTGGTGTGGGAGCGCAGCGTGTTCGCGGGGCGGGTGCGCTCGGCGTTTGCCCTTTTTCTTCTTGTGGCTTTCATCGTCGTCTTCGTCGTCCGAGTCGGTGGATTTTGAGGTAGACTGTCCGGGGATGCCTTGGGGTACGCCGATCACGTCGCGTAGGAGTGAAAGCAACGCCGCGTCTTTCTCGTCTTGTTTGATGGAGAAGAACGCCATCCTGAGATCGGCGCTCAACTTCGAATCCGCGTCCAACCGCACTAAACGCGGGTTCTCGAGACCTGCGCGGGCGAACTCAACTAGGGATTTGGGCAGTGTCGCGGAGAAGAGGAGCGTTTGACGGCCGGCGGGGAGACGGTGAACAATTTCGGTCAGGGCTGTTTCGAAACCCATTTCGAAGAGCCTGTCTGCTTCGTCGAAGACGACGTATTGGACGGATTTGAGGTCGAGGTTCATTTCGACTGCCAGGTGGAGGAGACGGCCGGGTGTGGCGATGATGCTATGAGATAGATCAGAATAGGTGATAGAGTATGAGATGAAATTTACGAACACATCCGGGTTGCTTGAGATCATCTCAAACTGCTCGTCCAGACTCTCGCCTCCAACGACCAGACCCCATCGCAGACCCTGACTCCGCTTGCTGCTCTCGCCTTCGTCGCCCTCCCTATCACCCGCATGTCCGCCCTCGCCCTCTCTCCAGCCACGTGCCAGCTCCTTCCCGACTTTCATGATCTGCAGCGCGAGTTCACGCGTTGGCAACAGAATCAAAGCGCGAGCGCCGAATGTAGCCGAGTGTCGGCCGCCTAAGCGTTGTATCAATGGGATGAGGAAGGCAAGGGATTTGCCGGATCCGGTACGGGCCATTCCTACGAGGTCGCGTGGAGGTGATTGGAGGAGTAGAGGGATCGAGAGGCGTTGGATTGGCGTTGGCGTACGGAAGCCTTGGAGGGTCAATTGTCGCAATAGCCAGGGATATAACCCTACAAAGTATTAGCATCACGATAAAACATAGTATAATTATTCCTTACCCATGCTCTGGAAGCTCCCTCCTCCAACCTCTCCTTTCGCCAATCTATTCTTCCCCTTCCCACCCTTGGCATTCTTAACGACCTCGGCGCCCTCTTTGGTGTTCCTCTTCGCAATACTCTCCCTGATCAGCTCCTCAATAGCATCATCGCCATCACCGTCTCCGTCGGATTCAGGTGCAAGAGGCCCAGAGCCGAGTTTGCGCTTTTTAGTTGTGCGACCAGTCAAGGCGGAGGAAATGTCGATCTCAGAGTCGGAGTTGGCGACCGAGGCAAGGGAGAAGGCGTCGTCAGAGCCAAGCTCGTCGTCGGACGTTGCGCGCGAGCGCTTTTTGGTAGGTGCCATGGAGGGAGGGGACAGGGTTCAGATATTAGCGCGAGCCGCGTGCAAGTCGCAGATGCAGAAAATCTGCTTACGTTAGCATGGCTCGGTGATCGCTCGGCTAGCGGCGGAACCGAAGCGGACTCAACAAGCACTCAACGCGTCGCCGCGCGCGCTTGTTGCTCTTCGACCACGACGAGCTAGATGATGTTATGCCTGCTGTTGCGCCTTGTTCGAACTACGAAGCTACTTGCGGTCCTGTGAAGAGATATCACGCTCAATGAAAATGTCTTTGATATCCCGGCTGTTGAAGCGCTGAAGGCGACTGTAGTTCGCCAGTACGCAAGGCGCGCGTTTCGCGGGGCGTCTACAATGCAAGCCTTTTGCCCATTCCGGAACTCGCCTATCCTCCCTAGAGTTAAAGAAGCATACGCGCACTTTCACGCGTCTGATGCGCCTGGACCCACTTTGGGCAAAGGGTGCGACTTCGCGCGCAGGGTTGAGGGTGTTGCGCCCGCGGAGCGCGGGGCGCGGAGGCACATGCGCGCGTACCTCACAATATAGCAGACCAATGTTCGTATCTCGACTTGTGGCTGTTGCCCTCTCTCTCGCAGCTGGGCAGAGGGTGTTTGGCGGATAGTGTGAGTATATATACGGCGCGCGTGGAGTGCCCGAGTTGGGTCGTCGCTGATACGCTCGGCTTCCATTCATCACACTCTAACTCTCTTCTCTTCTCGCTTCTGGTTCTTCGGTTTGTGGAAACATGAAGCTACAGGTTAACGCTGTGGCGTACGCGGCTACGGCTATCCTTGACACCGAACCGTACGTGATCTGCTCTACATTCCTTGTACACCGACTAACCTTGTATTCGCAGGTTGTGGCGAGACGCGCGACTCGCGCCTACTTACGTTGCAGGCTTGTCTGCGATCGCGTTCTTTCTGTCAGTCTTGCACGGCGCACTACGCTCTCGCCTGTCAACGAGCACTGGTCCCGTCGACACCTCTCACAAGTCCACCCCAGCACATACGGCGTCGCCTGGAGGTATCACCATCTTCGGACTCAGGTTCGCTCAAGCTCTCTGCGTACTCGTCCTACTAGCGCTCCACGCATTCGACTTCGCGCGCAAGACGTACACCCATGCATTAGGCTCCGGCGACCGTGGTGCTGCGCTTGCTCTCGCGCTCACACTCACATACGTACGTTCATAACGATTATGTCTATCCCTACTCAGAGCTTACGTCCCCCACTCAGGCCTACGCGTCTGCGCTTGCTTTACTCAACCTTGTAGTCTCGAGCGTTTACATGCGCATGGCTTCACTGCATCTGACGCTCATCTTCCTCACGGGCTTCGCGGTCTACGCCTACCGGGACATCTGGCCGCTCATGACGTACACGCTCGACCCGGTAGACTCGGAAGGCGCTCTTCTTTGGGTCAAGGTCGCCCTACTTGGAGCGGCAGGCATTGTCATCCCGCTGGTGACCCCACGGCGATACATTCCTGTCGACCCAGAGGTATGAACCTCTATGTTGCAAGAATACACTCAACGCTGACGTCCGTCACAGCGCACGACCGAACAGCCCAACGCCGAACAAACTTGTTCTCTCCTTTCTCTCCTGCTATACAGCTTCCTTGACAAGACTGTCTACGCTTCTCAGCCGATCCTCGGGATAGCCGACTACGACCGTGCTAAGTACTTGGTGGAGAGAAACTTCAAGTATCTGGACGTGTTCTCTGGTGCGAAGAGGCGGCATGTGTTCTTTACGCTTATGCGCGTGTTCCGTGAGTTTAGTTCGTGTACCAGAGCGCAGTGCAACATTGACATTGGGCGCGATAGGCTGGGAGTACATCTCACTGGTGTTCTTGATGGTTTTGAGGGCTATTGCTCTACTTCTTGCGCCTGTCGGCATCAACCGCTTGCTTGCGTGAGTTTCTATACTAAACCTGCTCTCTGTGGTTGCTGACTAGGACACAGTTACCTTGAATCGAACGGAGAAGACGCCGTCGTTCGTCCATGGGTCTGGTGTCTGGTGATGTTCCTTGGCCCATTTGCGGGTGCCGTCGTAACCCAGTACTCAAATTTCATGACCGTATGTCCCTGTGTCATCCTTCATTACGCTTGCGGCTAACACACCACAGACAGCGACACTCGTCCGCGCCGAAGCGATGCTCACACAATTGATCTTCGAGCACGCCCTGCGCATGCGCGTCAAGTCCGAGCCGGCCTCCTCTTCGACAGGAGGAGACAAGAAGAACGACGACCTATCTGGCAAGCTCAACAACCTCGTCACTTCGGATCTGCAGAACGTCGTTAATGGACGCGATTTCCTTGTGGTCGTGATCTTCACGCCCACGACGGTCGCCATATCGCTGTACTTCTTGTATGGGATTCTCGGGTGGAGGTACGCGCGCATTGTATACTAGTTTGTTCGCAGTGCTGATCAATTGCCAGTGCTTTCGTCGGCCTGGCCGTAATGCTCGCCAGCCTTCCCCTCCCCTTCCACCTCACCCGCGCCCTCCAAACCGTGCACCGCACCCTCATGCAAAAGACCGACGCGCGTGTCCAGATCGTAAGCGAGATGACGGGCGCGCTGAAGATGGTGAAGATGTTTGGATGGGAGAGGAAGATGGCTGAAAGGCTTGAAGGGAAGAGGGAGGATGAGTTGAGGTGGTTGAGGTGGAGTGGGCTGATTGAGTTGGGGAACGATAGTGTTACGCTGTGAGTGACGCCTCTTTTACCGTGGCGGACGATGGATACTGAGAATGGCTGCACAGGGTGATACCGGTCTTGCAGATGACGGCTACCTATGTAGTCTTCACAGTTGTCATGGGCGGAAAGCTCACGCGTACGTCCTTCATCCAGCCTTTTCCCCTGGGACATATGCTCATACACATCTCAGCGTCTATCGTTTTCCCTTCAATGTCCGTCTTCATGCTCCTCCGCCAACAGATCGGATCGTTCTTCTACTTCGCCTCCCCGCTCATCAAAGCCAAGGTCTCGCTCGATCGCATCACTGACTTCCTCCGCGAGACCGAACTTCTCGACCAGTTCACTTCCGAAGATGTCGTCTCCTCCACCGTCCCATTGCAGGACGACTCACATATCGGAATCCGCGACGCGTCCTTCACCTGGTCTACCTCTCCCTCACCAAACGCATTTACCCTCCGCATTCCCGACTCGTTAACCTTCGAGCGCGGGAAGATCAACAGTATCACCGGACCGACCGGATGCGGCAAGACGAGCCTTCTCATGGCGCTTCTCGGCGAGATGCACTTTGCGCCGCTCAGATCCGGCGCACAAGTTAGCCTTTCCCGCTCTGGCGGTGTCGCGTACGCTGCGCAGGAGAGTTGGGTCATGAGTGGCACTATTCGGGATAACATCCTGTTCGGGGCGGAGTACGAC